ATTCAAAGGATTCTAACGACATAGTTAGAAGATAAAATCATTAGTACGGTGATATTATTATTTCTCGCACATCACGCCTAATATTTAAACAGTGACTCTATTGATGTAGATACATATTCACAACGCATAAACTTGTCGACAAGGACAGTTTTCTTAGCTTAAGTGGTGTGCTTCGTTCACAATGTAGATTACCAGTCATAACGTGTAACAAAGTACTCTGTCGTCTCGTTTAATACGTAAGCGTTCGCTATCCGTACAAGATGTTGCAGAACCATCCTACACGACTTCAATTTAATTAAAGTTCAACCAATTCTATTTTTTTTTATTAACACAAAGCCTTTTGACGACAGCTTAAAACTAAATTCACATTGCAAACTTAAGATCTGATATAGTTTGTACGTGGAAAAGATATTTCAATTAATGTGCCAATTAAAATTGTTGCTTTTTGATTCTGATTTACACCTACAGAATGAATAGGTAATAAATTTTCTATTTGTTAATTATGTTAATTGAGTGATAATCGGTATCGTAAGAGAAAGATAATGGAAAAATAATGATTCTAATTATGAGAATTACGGGATAAGGAAGCCAGGTTTATCTGTTTCGGAACAGAAGAGGAAAATGAAGATGAGAATAGCTGCTAGAGCGAAATTATCTGCGGAACACTATATTGACTCAAGACTAACAAAGACCTTTCAGCCTCTAAAATTCTGTTTTACATCTTCCTGCTATTTCCCTTTGAACACGAGCTACACAATCTTCTATTTAAGGAAAAAGATAAAAAAAGTAATTAAAAAGTTTAGCAAATAGATTAATACAAAATTGAAGTGTTTTAGCACCTTGTGTAAAACATTCTTTTCTTTAAATCCGAAAAGGAAGTTAAACTTAAAACTAAATAAATTTCAAGAAATAATAATAAAAATCAATCAATCAGTCAGAAAATAAAATTTCTCATCCACTATTAAGGATAGAAGTGATTAATTTTTGCATTCATGCTCTCAGTTTTCTACCTTATGTTATTTTAATACGATAATACTGTTCTTGAATATTTTTCTTTATTTTCTTTTTCTAATCATTAATTATTCCATTGTATTACATTTAAGGCGTCGCAATTCGTTAGCCACCAACGACCAACATGACAGTGAATGGTGTTAAAAATGGCATTTTACGAAGAAAAACTATTGTTATGAATGAAATATCAGCAAACGTTCTAAAAACTTATGTTACACTTTCGACCCGACGAATTTCGCGAAAACAAGCGACGCGTAATTCGCGATAGATCATTCTATCGCGTAACCGCGAAATTATGTCACGCCCGAGTGTGATTCTTGTCCAAGCTGGAGGATTACGTCATGTCGATGCTTGAAAGCAAGTATATGCTGGCATAACATATTTGGAAGATCGTTTCGTACCGAGGTCGTCATGTAAAAATGAACAGATAAGACCGACAAAGAATCAAAATCCGCAATAAGTTACGAGTTCGTTTAAGAAGCGAGAACCATTCGTTTGTATCTCCCCGTATAAGCTCACCTACTTTCTCATAAAAGAAAACCGTGGCCATTATTGAATTTATAGTTTAATGTTTTATTAAAAATCTAGAACGAATATTAACCCACTGATTCTCAGAGGTTTAAAGTACATTGTTTTCAAGATAGTACTTTTTATTACAAATAAAAGTAAATATAAACTGATAGGAAAATAAATAAGTCTCTACTTATATTAAAAGTATTGATACTATAAAAATTTAATAAAACTAAAAGAACAAAATTGTGATGAAAGCATAGCAAAATGTGGGATATACGCAGTTTTGGGTGTTAATGGGTTCATACAGGACCGAATTACGATCCCTGGAGCCCGGGGCTATCAAACATTTGAGGGTTGATTCAAAAATTGAAATTCATTTTAAATAAAATTAAATAATATTTAATCGTAAAGAAAAAGGCATCAGTAAACATTTCATTTAATATTTGTTGACATAGCAAATGGAAGCCTTAAAAGAGATCTCCTGGAAAATGGGGACCGGGACTGTAACCCTCCTTAGGCCCCATTGATCCGGCGCTGGGTTAATGTTTAAACGAGTTCTAAATTATAAAAGATAAAATGTGTCATAGTTCAAGAATTAAAAAAATTATTCGCCATTGTATTTTGTTATAAACTGATACATGCATCTGATTCAAAGAAATGATTTATGATTTATACTGAAAAGTCTCAAAATCTAAATTATTTATTTAGAAATTAGAAATATAAATCCACTCGAAAAAAAAAAAAAAAATATGTACTGATACTGTTTGCTGTGTGTCAACGATAATCATTAAAACCTCGTAAATATTGTATTATTACAAGACATAATTGCTGGAGTACGTTTCATTTTATCTTTCTCTCAGATTCAAGCGAAAGTTCCAAAGTTCGGAAGAAATTCTTATGATAATGAAATAACCATCCTCAATTTATGTAATGTTCATTCAAAAACTGTGTCTGTATCTTTCATGAATTCACTGACATGAACATAATTTTCATTGAGCAATATTCCCACAAAGTATTACAAGATAAATCTGTCCCCTGATTCATAACATTTCTCAGAAAATATTTTACTAATTTAAACAAAAACCAATGAAAGTAGGATAAATATAGCCAGAATCGGATTGAGATTCCTGGAGCCCCGAGCTATCAAACCTCCGAGGACTCCTTTGATGAATATTATTAAAAAATTGAAATTTATTCTAAATATAATTAAATAACATTTAATATTTAGTAAAAAATAGATTATATTCAATATCTTTTAACATAGTATAAAAGGTTTATAATGGGGCCTGGGGCTATAACACCCCTTAAACTTCCGTTTAATCCGATAGTGAATGTAACATAATTGTAATTTTCTATAATTAGGCATTAGAATTTAATTTGTTTTTTCGCCTATTTATAAACATTTATTTTTAATGCCAATTTTTGTACATACAAATTTTTATATTACTTTCTTCTTATGAAACATGTTTACAAATGCTCAGTGACTATACTGAAAAATAACAATTAGATATAATTATTTTTTTTACTATTCATATTTCTTTTGAAAGAACATATAACTTACTTGTTAAATGACCTCCAATCATCATAAGGGTTCGATGCATCCTGCGGTTCTTGGAAGAATTGTAAAAATCTAAAGCGGTCAGGATACCTTGACACGCGATTGAAAACAAGGTGACTTGTCACGACCAATCACGTAGGTGGCATTAAAGTGATGCATTAATGCAATAGTGACCTTGATTCTATATAATCTTTCGGTCGTGGGCGGATGCTGAAGCGCGGTTTCGCATCTTTCTTTTGTTACACGAATCCGTTCGTTATTAAAATCTTCGAACTCGACTGGCTTCGAATTACCGTGCTTCTGTTTAAAAAGAAACAGCGCAGCCTTCCTCGGTAAACATTCGGTTCGTGAACTCAATCCGGATTCGCAAATATTTTTGTAAGGCTCTCGAACGATTCCTGGAAAAGTATGGAGAAACGACGGCGAGGAAAGAATATGCTTTGATGTCGTTACGCAACATCGGATTTAATGATTTTCCGCTTTTGTATATTTTTAGAGATTTGCTAATATGATCCGTTTAAAAGTTCCATTTCTCCCAGTACTGTTCTTTTCTTTAATTTTTTTTTTATGAGTATTAACTTGAAAATGTTTACAACGGTAATTATTATTCATTTCCTTTTACTATTTTGAAAAAAGAATGTTTTTTTTTATCATTTTGATCAGTCAATAGAAAATAATCAAAAGCAACAAAAGCTACACGGTAATTTCTAATGAAAAATGTACAAAAGAAAATTAATCATATTTAAAATAGTCTTTGATTGTTTCTTAGCTCATTCATCACGATCGCAACAGCGTGCAATTGCTTTGAGCTCGAACCTATAAAGTGTTCCAGCATACCGCTAAGGTTAACGCTCCAAATTTCTATATTCAACTTCGAGCAACAAACACGTGAGCACCTGAATAACCAACTGCTACGCGAATAACCAAGGAAACACAAACGCGTGCGTTCCATTTTTTTAACACGAGAGATTCTCCTGCATCGTGTTCACATCCACGGGTCGTAAGGATCCTGTGTGTACAGCTGATGAAAACGATACAGTAGAGCAGTAAAATCAGCAAACACGTTTTAAACATGTAGACGAGAAATTTGTGGCATACATAGAGTATGAAGTTTAATCTTACTTGAGATCATACAAAATGTAGTAATACCTACCAAATTATCTCTAACATCATAATGACAGAATCTATATAAATAAAAATTAAATGCTGTTCGTTGGTAAGCGCATCACTTGAGAACGGCTGGACCGATTTGGCTAATTTTTTTTTTTTAAATGTTCATAATAGTCTGAATAAGGTTTTTAGGGAAAGAAAAATTTAAAAAGTTGCCCGGAAAAATGGAAAATTCGGGAAAAAATAAAAGTGCTTTTTTCTATGGGATTTTTGTATGAACTAAAGACCATAACTCACCATTCGAACGATGGATATGGGTAATTCTCTTTTTGTTTTGTTCATTATGGCCCTGGAAAAGTTTTCAGGAAAAAAAATTCGAGACTATTACAAAGGAAAATGGGAAAATTCGGACAAACTGCAAAAATTAAAATTTTTGAAACGGTACAAGTAGCAAGTTGATATGTTTGGCTGGGCATTATTGGTTCCCAATGAGTCCGTCGTCGAGCACAGCGTCGAATTTTTATTAGAGAAACGAGAAACAAAGTAAAAATGAGAAAAAATACGTTGTTTATACATTTCCAATAGCTTTTTACAAATTCACAAACCGATCACAAACAAATTTATTGAAATTTGGGCAGGACAAGGTCTATCGGGTCAAGCATAAAGCAAATTGCAACAACTAAACCAATGTTACAAAATAATAATATTGACCATGCACCGTGAACCACCGCTGTTGTACTTCAATGTACTTCATAGAAAATATTAATGAACCTTTTTTAATCGATACTTTTCCTTTTATTTGCTTCAGATATGCAGAGATCCGTACAAATGCGATTGCAAGGGAATAAAAGGTATTCCTGGATTTATTGGGATCACTGGACCACAGGGACCGGAAGGACTTCCGGGTGACATCGGTCCGGATGGTCCTCCCGGTCCAAAGGGTGAGAAGGGAGCTGGTGGAGAACTGGGTGGAACTGGAGAGAAAGGCTACAGGGTGAGTGAACAATTTTTAACAATTGCTAATATTTTATCAGCTACTTAATTAATTAGCGCATTTAAAAATAATAATTTATGCAATCATTCAACCGCATATGATTATGATAAAATGCAGAGTCGTTAAACCTTTCCCAATATTTATCAATTTTTAATTTTTAATTATGCCCCGATGTTAAAGATATTACATTTCTTATAATTGTAAAGTTAAAAGTAAATTGGGATACTTGAAACGAAATAAACTTAAAAAGTTTGTAGAATAGAATACAGCGATTAATGAATCTATGATGAAAACGTTTTGAATTTTCTCGTGATCATTACAAAATTCGTAAAATAAAATTGAAATACATTTTGAATGATTATGAAGTCGCACGCGTTTTTACCGAGAGATATAAATGTCGTGTTACATTGAAAGATAAATATACAAGTTGGAAACATGTTTTACACTATGCCGGCACAATTTTTAGTAACTGACGCAATTACATCATGAAAATCTTAATGAGAGCTACAGATGCCTTTTTTTCGTATCTTTACGATTCAAGCTCAACGAGGTGGGCGTATTATCGAAAAATAAAATACATATGAGTTATCCAAATCTGTAATATTGCAGATGCGTCTTAATTGCTTCCGCACTCTATGGTCATTTTTTATGAGAATCGCTTGAATTAGCCCTCCATAATTCAACAAGATATTTATTCTTTCGCGTGGAGTCATGACTATTACATTTTTCCTCTTGCACGTTAGCAATATGAATGTTTATTATGAAAACGTATTCACCTTGAAATTGTTTAACACTAAATCTAATATACGTGGGACTGAACGCAGTTAGCATATGAGGAATCAGTTATAGAAAAAAAAATAGTGTTGTAATAATAAAAAATTATAACACATATAATAATGTTCTGCTAATAGTAGTTCATCTATCTGATTATATTTTCTCTCAACATATTGTAAATAAATATCAATGCATATTCAGTCCCTGATTTTTGAAGTAAAAAAATATTTCTTTTTTACATTTTCTTTTCTACAATTTTAGTATCCAAAAATTTTTTTATTTACAAGTTTAATTTAAAAACTTTCAGCAAACAGCAGCCGTTTTTTATGTTTTTTGATAAATTTATATATTTGCAAAAATAGGTATACAAATTCTTTTACTTAAATAAAGGTAGTACTTATTTCTTAAGTTGAATTTTTAATTATTTTCGAATAAACACTGCACATCTACTTAATAAAAAATACATTTTCAATTCTAAAATTGATATGGAATAGTTGCAATTAAATCTTTAAACTTCGATTCGAAAATGACAGATGTAATTAACAATCAAAACTAAGAGTTTCCAATTAAATAACAAAATTACTTTGTATTACAGTTAAAATTTCTTTATCAAAAAATAAATTTTCAATAAAACGTCAGAAAAAAACACAATTAGAGTGAAACTAGTTTTTTTTTTAACTCAACTCAAATAAAAAAGAAAAGAAACTGAAAAAATTATGTCAGATACAATCAAGAACTAATTTGATTCGCGTGTGCTACTGTGCGAGTTAACGAGGATGTCAGGCGCGCGTTTTTCTTCGTTTTTTGATGAAATTATTCCCGGATGCTCGTGTATACATATACGCGTATCGAAGAAGGGATAAAAAAATCGTCATGGCGTCACCGACCAGAAAGTCGTTTCCAAATGCGGAGGACGAAAGAGAATTGCCGATGGACTCCCACGAAGTCCGCCCGCACTCGATGCTCTGGCACACAGAAGTACCGCGAGTTCGTTGTTTCGCAACTCGTTTCAGCCCTCTGCCGATATGACGTGATGTGACGGGACGTGACACGAAAATGATAGTCTCCCAACGAGACATGTTTCTTCTTCGAACCAAGATCACATCTCGACTGTATCTGATCGCGTTGCTTTTTTGACAAACGTCAAAGATCGGAGTGATCGACGATCATTGCACATTATATGAGAACTAAAGAAATTTCGATGTATAAATACGAATGTTTGAAATTGGATTTTTATTTGCCAAATTTGATTTTTAACAAGAAAGTTCGGACTTTTTTTTCTGAGTTACATAATGTAAAATTGTAGATTTTATTAATGAATAAAATTAATAGTAATCGAAAAGTATATTTTGACAAGTTGTACTATGGTATTTTAGTATGATATTTAAGTACTAGTCGAAATTTAATTTCTATTTAAATCAGAATTAGTACATATTTATAATACTAATTATTACAGATGAATGTGAATGATAATTCAAGCTCAATTTTCAAATTATGAAAGAAACGATAAACCTTTTTTAATTTATAAACTCCTATACAACGTTTGCTTACAATTCTTTCAGAAAAAGTTCATAAATTTTTCAGTACATAAAATTCTATATACTCTCAATATACAATTACTTATAATGCTCCATAATAAGTATATATCATTCAACCTTCGGGTAGTGGACCATGGAGAGAATCACGGTTTTAATTCAATTTTGTGTTTCATATTATTTTCATTTTCTAAATTTTACACTGTTTCTTTAAAGATTATTCTTCCAACATATAAAACCCTTTTATTTAAAAATTATACATTTAATTTTAGATTGATTTTGTAAGTGTGGGTCACGATTGACCGAGACTCCGTTGTTCAAAGATTAAAAAAGTACCTATATCTACTACTGATATATATTTTTTTAAATAGTAGATGATTTATTCCCTGGGTATTTGGTAATAAATCTAATTGTAATACTTACTTCTCGCTTTAATGCGATGACACCTCTTCTTATTAACATCGTATTAAAAAGAAGAAGAATTCAAGAGCCTGGTATAGAAAAAGGCGTTTAAAAAATGAAATTCCCATTAAAAATAGAAAGAAATAAGTCATCAATCATACTTTCAGAAAGTTCAATAACACATATAATATATATTTTTTTTAATCGTCTTCACCCGTAAAATACAAATATTCAATCGTATTTTTATTAATACGTTGAATGCCACAGGAGGAGTCATCGGTGAGCGGCTTCGCAAATTACCATACACATACCTAAATAATAGAAAACAATAGAAAAATATTATTTTAAATAGCATTGCCATTGTACAAATAATGTATAACAGTAAATAGAAAGCTTAAAATTTGAAATTTGAAAATGAACTATTCCTATGTTTAATACATATAATTAGAGCTTCAGTACGTCTCACAACAAATGTTCAACGTGTTAAAATGCAACACTTTAAAAAAGATATTTAAATAGAAATTACATAAGAAAAGTATCAGAAGGAGAACTGAGGATGAAATGACAAGATGATAAAACAATTTATCAAAAGGATGCAAAGCAATTTTAAGAGTTGTTAGCTCTTAACGAACCTCTATCAGTTTGCGGTCAGATAAGACTTTACGAGTTCTTCTTTCCCTCTTTTTTTTTCACCACGGCATGTACGGATTGCATCTTTACAACAGGGAGCAAGCGGTTCCAAACGAGTCATCTGCATGACGTCATGGCCCTTTCTGGTACCGCTGCATCGAGCGACCTTTTGGGCCATTGCAGTGTTGCCAGTATTTTCTCGAAACCTTTTGACCTCTTTTTTTTTGTTACTTCAAAGATACGATGAATAGAATGAACGATGGTTTAATTAAGCCTGACATTGTTGGCAATTTCCATGAAACGATTGTCATCAAATAATTAAAGTTCGTGGACGTCTGAAGTTTATATTTGAAACTTAAGGTTTCCATAGATAGATAGAAACATTATAAAATTTTATTGATCTCCATGACTTTCTATGTACGCGAAATATTTTTGCAGAAAGACCATTATCTTTCATATTGAAGTATATAAAATTTGTGCGATCACCTAAAAAAAATTTGGAATAAATCAAGCGTAAAATTTTATACAGTTTTGGTAAACAATTTGATCCGCATGAACTACATAGATTTGTGGTGTTAAATTTGCATTTCTCTAAATTGAAGATTTAAAAAGATATAGGTATTAAATAATTTTAATTTTTTTAAGTTTCTTTGTTTTAATAATACATTGGAAAAAATTACTTACAAACAATAGTCAACTATTTAAATAAACAATCATCACTAATAATTTATATAAATCAATAAGTGGTGATTTTTTTATCAGACTTTTTCAAATTAATTAACTTCGTTCAACATAATCACAAAATTTACAAATTTCTTATGAAATAAAAATTCAACCGATCTTAAAATTAATTCATCACTTCAATATTAGTTAATCACATTTAATCACCCTTCAATATAAGAACATTGTTCATCATCAACCCCATTTTCATTAATCAAAGGAAGTATCATAAATCAAACCTATCAGTTTCTGTCCTAAACGTCAATAAAATTAGCTTGGCTATCAGCAACGATTAAAATTACATTAACCATCAGTGTAAGAAGAACTTGTCGTATTTTAGATATCAAATAAGCCTCCCAGTGTCCTAGCAATTATAATGAATTCACAACGAAGAGTAACAATATTCAATGATACCGTCGAGTAATTTCATGGAACGGTCTTATTTAAAACTTTGCGTAATTATTTACATAGTTCTATCAAAATAGATTTGATTTGCGAATGGATGTAGGAGGAACGATACGTTCAAAACATCCAAAAACGTAGGAGAGACGTGTGATGATAAAACGAGAGAATATAGATAAAAATCAATATCCTGACAATTTTTTCATTTATTCAAGAATATCGAACGACAATGCTGATATCCAGGCCAGTTGTATGCAAATTTCATGGGACTGATCGTCGTAAATCTTTGAATACGTCTGGCTATGGCGATCGTAAAGTGGAAACGAACACGTTCGATTATCCTGGTCGTCGTTTTGACGAGATTGTTAGCATTTATCATTACTTTTCTTCCAATTCACAAAGTTCTATACGCTGCGCTGGTTCAATGTTGCCTGTTCGAGGTAACAATTTCTCGAGAGAACACGAAATCCTGTTGCAAAAGGAGCGCTAGCTGATGTCATGGTCCTTTCTGGAGAACGGATGTTGCGTTCAATGCAGCAAACGAAAAAATGGACACTCCTCTTCGTGGTTTCTTCGACCCTGCTTGTACGACGAGTTTGCTAGAAACTTGATATCTGATTGCATTCAAATGTTGACTGAAACCACAAATTTAAACAGAATGAAATTATCAAAAAAGAACGAAGGAAAAAGAAATTTGAAATACCATTACTATTAATGTTATATAATTTAAATACCATTGTTATTAATGTTATATAATAATAATAAACCTTATATTTTATAATATTCGACAGTACTACACTGATAGTATGAATTGAAAAATTGAAAATTAAAATTTCAAAATCCACAGGAGTATTCGTTGTAAATTATTCATTGTAAAAATGTAGTTCTCTAATTTTATTTTCCATCTACAGTATAGTATTACTTACTAATATCTCGTTGTGTTTTCATTTTTGGAAAAATTTATAGAGTAAACTGCTAATAATTACACGTTACTTTTTAAAAATATTAAGTTTCTAACAAATAAAAGTACTTGAATTTCTTGATGATATTTGTAGTATAGTAAGGGAATTAAATTAAAAAAGAAAACATTTGAACTTTTCTATGTTTAAAACGTGAAGTATCAATATAAAAAATAAACTGATGTAAGACGAACTGTAAAATAGAAGTAGCATGATGTCATGGCTTTTTTTCGTTGACCAGATGTTCTTGTTTGATGGGGTATGCTTTCACATAAACGATCGAACAAACGCAAATGAATTCTCCTCTAGATTTTAAAACGATATCCAGACATTTTGATTCTATTTATAATAGATACTTTAAATAAATATGTACCGTTCATTAATGTGAATCCAAAGCTAAAAATCTCTGCAATTTCATAAAATTTATTCCATAATTATTGTTCGACTTATTTTTCTACAATGTGTTACGAGTTTGATTCCATTTCCTACTGCGACTACAACTATCAATAATTTCTAACAAAACTTTCTTAGGTCAATAAAATCATTTGAAAACTATTATTATTTTTCCAAAAAGAACATCTCAGAAATTGAACTAGTCTTTGGCAATTTCTTTTCTCTTCCCTTTATGAAAATATTTACTCAATATGTAAATCTCAGAATCTAATAATTGTTCAATCACATTATCCTAATACATTTCTATGCAAAATGACATGAAAAATTGACTTATGTACATTATTTTACTATTCTTTCTTTACCTTATAAGAATTATAGGGACATATACATATTGCATTTTAAATAAAGAAGATATAATCATATGAATTACTTAAATTTCTACCCAAAGCAAACTATGACTGCTCTTGTTTTTCTGCTCTACTGAAAAGCAATGGAAATGGACTTGGATTAGTCTGGCTGTCAGATACAGATTTATTGATACAATAGAATTAATTGTAGACTTTTTACTTTGCTCATCGAATAGCAAAGTTCTTAAAAACGCCGTAGATCCTTTTCTTTGAATACCAACATGAAAAAATTCTATATCAACCTACAATATTCTGAGGATATTTCGGATGATGTCCTTATAAGAAAAATGAAAAATTCGAAACTTTACACTTTTCCCAAAAGTTCACAAGAGTTTCCAAAACTTAATAATTAGCTTCCGATTCACTGGCAGTTAAAACGTTCGTAAATTCACCCGATATTCCTGGTAAATAACCAAATAAATAAATAAATGAAAAGAAATCAATCTCCATTTTTCGGTCGCAACAGAATGGTTAAATTCGAACAAAAGCGGCAGACCTCGCTCCGAAATTACCGAGTACGTAGTGGGAATGGCACAATTCTACGCTTTGGGTTAACGATTCGGCCCAGGCCGGCGAATGTAGGCGTTAATGATAAATTACAGCATCTCGCGTTCCTCGCGTTTGGCATTGATCCCTATCTACGTAACGATTACCCAGATATTACATATTACGTGCATACCCACGTGCTGCGACTACATACTTTGTACGACGGGTCGATGAAGTCGTCGTCTACGTCGTTGTCTCGTTATCAGGATTGGCACGAATTAACGTTGGAAATGCGGACCTTTCCTGTTGCAGTTCCGTCCTGAGATTGCTCGATTGCCGGTTTCTCGCGTTTTCCTCTGCGTTACACGCGACCGCGTTAATATTTCCGTTTTAAATGAGTACACACAGCCGAGTTTTCGACCATCGATACCAACGATCATAGGTATATGATATTGAATTTCAATGTTTTTAATTCTTTTTTTTTGTTTAATTCACATAAGCAAAAAAATGTTATAAACATGGGTATAATAAAAATTATTCATTTTGAAATTACAAAATGATTTGAATTATAAGCTTGTAAGAGAAGAGAAGAAAAAAAGAAAAAGTGAAACTAAATGTTTCGTGTGGTGCTTTACTTTATGTACTGCTTTGTAACTCTAATCACGTATTTCACTTGAATACCTGAAATCGAATTTATCGTTCTTTTCTACATGTATTACAATGAATCACAGAAAGTTAATCCTTCACTTTTTATTCTTTGCAAAGAGGATTTTAAATGTACTGTGTTCTGTATTTATTACAGAGACCAGAGGAATAAAACTAATGTTTTGTTTTAGTAAGAATTTAGTGAATAGGAAATATTCATGAATGAATTTCAATAGCCCTAATACCAAATAAGAAACTTTCATAACATCATTAAGTAATTAATAAGGGGTTAATTGGAAACCAGGCACATGTCGTATTTTTTACCATTAATTAAAAACAAAAATAATTTTTCCTTCAACTTGCTTTTTCCTAAAATAATAAAACAGTGACATTTGCCTCTTTTCCATTTTCATTCAGCCTCTTCCTAAATTTTCATTCCCCTTCTAATAACATTAGAACTATTACCAGTTTCCCAGCACGTTTTACTATCACCCCAAAAGAAATAAATTCGACTCATCAAAGAGCCTATTAATATCGGCGAAACCTTTTTGTCCCGTAAACAATTGGAAAATCCTAGTTGTTCCACGTGGCGATCATCAAGCTGATCAAAGAGCAAGTTAAAAGCTAGCGTGAAAATACACGGGGTTGGAAAAAAAGGAAGAAGAAGAGACCTACGTCTACGCCCACGCGGTAATGGAGACGACGATGTTGACGAGGCCGGGACGAGCACGTGTTACCCCTATTTTGTTTCGCTTCAACGAAGTAGGGTATCTAAGCGCCGATAAAGAAATCTCAGTTTCACCGACGATATACGCCTCTCTGCCACGCGGCTATCCTTCTTTGATACCGAACAACCTACGTGCCATTAACCCCTCGTGACATTCGCACTTTGTACCACCCTGTCACCGATACAAGAAAAACTTACGACTTGTATCACGGATTCGACTCGTAACAAACTATGAATGACGATTTCTTTCCACTTGACGTAATTCGTATTTTTGTCTGAGGTAGGTCAAATCCCAAAGAGTCCAACTCTTGCTTTATTTTAACATAGTTTTCATTCATAATTTCGATTAATAAGATATACAGTGGTACCTCGGTATACGTCTGCTTTGGAATACGTCCAATTCGGAATACGTCCTGTTTGGTCGTGACAAATTTCACTCGGTATACGACATACATTTTTTCTGTGAATTTTGCGCCATTTTTAAATAATTATCTCAGAGAAAAAATTAAATTAATAATCAATTATATTCGGAGTTGATGTATTATTAACTGACTGATCATACAAGTAAGGATATCATGTAACATACAATAACCGCAAAACAGGAGGCAATAAAATTTATTCCATTTGGTTTGTTAATTTAGAATCTATCATTAGGTTACATTTATATTTGACAAATTAATTATGTTAAATAAACTAGTGAATATTTTTTATAAACTTCTAGGAAATCGTTTAAACGCTGCTCATGACATAAACAGTATTTAAATTATTTTACAACCCCATTAATGTAGGTATAATATCAATAAGATTTTTTTTTTACATGAGAACGGATTAATCATTTTTACATTACTTCTTATGGGAAAGGTTGGTATGGTATACGTCCTATTCGGTATAAATCCAAACATCAGGAACGAATTAAGGTCGTATACCGAGGTACCACTGTATTTGTATACATATTTTGTATTTAATTGTACATTTCCTACATAATTAATCAAAAATATTTTCTTGGTCTTAATTAATAACACAGAAAATTCGGACGATCACGAGTGCAACAAGATGCATTTTGCAACTACCTGTTGCACGTTAAAAAATGAATGTCACTGGATATGAACACAATGAACTCGCGCAAGATAAATCGAAAATTGGGCTAATCTTTTTCAATTCATATTCAACCCATTGTTGATTTGCCGGTACATTTCATGGAGCGATAAGATACATCGAAAGTTGATAACAGCCACGGAACGGATACACGCGAGCGAGTCCTACGCGCTCGCTCGTCCTCCCATATCACAGAATGCGGGGGTGAGAAACGTTTCCGTTCTGCCATCGTCTACGTATCACTTTAATCTAATACCTCCAACTTTCAGACCATACTTTCGGCGCAAAAAACTCAGTGAATACGAAATTTCACCTAACTTATGGAGTTTCATAAAAGAAGAAAAAACGATACTTTAGTTTAACATTTCTTTTTGGTCGTTAATGTTTCATCAGGATAACAAAATATTTCAATTTATGTAAAAATTAGTATTCAAATATGCAGGAATAAATTTCATACTAATTATTAATTATTTCTTCTTGGTGGCTAAATTTACTTCATTCAAAATTCTACTTTAGCTTTTATTTTCTAATAATGTTATTTATTCTGTAACAAAATTAATTGAACAATTAGAAGCATTAATTCTTTTATCATTCGTAAAGTATTCTGAAAGAAATCATTCCAACATAGTACTCTTAACGCTCTGATTACCGTCCAATTACCGTTTAGCTCATGTCAAAACTTTGTCTAGTCAATTTAATTATCGTATTTTCTTTCTATTACTCGCAAAATTTATTAGAAAACTGTATTTTAATGAAATTGAAAATTTGAAACTCGAAATTCATTTCCTTTATTAAAATCTATAGATTGTTTTTTATATATGAAAATGAAATTTCTTGAAAAAGAGTTCCTTGTTATCTTATCAATACATTTATCCTTTAGAATTATAAGATACAATCATGTAATACGTATAAAAAGTAGCATTGTTCTAAAAGTATTATTCTGTAAAAATTAAATTAAATAACGGCTGGAAGAAATAATTCTATTACATATAAAATTCTTTTCTTCATAAAATTCTTTACTACTTCACTCACCGATATACTTACCTCTTCGTTTCGCAAATTGCATTATTATTGAAGATGCAATCACGTAATGCATATAAGAAATAATGCTATTACGAAGACATAACTTTCATAGAACACTTCGCCTCGCAAAGTTACTTATTAGTTCAACGTTCGATGCACTTACCCCATAGTTTCGCAAGCCTTCTAGATCTCCATAACCAAGCTTATTGCTTTAATCAAGGGAACGATTTCAATCGTTCAGTTGAATTTATCTTTCCTCGTGTATTTTCGCAAAATTAGGTCGTCCCATTAAAAGCGTACGCAGAACAGAAGCAAAAGGGGGGGAAGAATGAAAAAAAAGGGAGGATGACATACCACGCGTACTGTGATAACGCACTTCCCATTGACAGATCATTCTCTGCATCCAGCCAACGTGGAACCGGATGTCGAGTGATCTCATATCCAGATACGCTCTTCCTACCCTTCCTTCCTTAACGTCTGACAGCATTTCAGCGAACAATTTATCTATAAACCTAAAACGAAAAAAAAAAGCAATTAGTTTCGATAACGAAGTTAATTGACTATCAGCTGGCACGTTCGTTAAAGTGTAATCGGATGACCGATCCTGCTAATTGAAAATCGTCAACGTATTTTCTCCATCAAATTGTGCGATATTTTAATAAGCGGTGTCAATCAAAATAACGTCTGTGTCGAGCGAATATTTTTCCCTCTGGTATCCTTTGTAACGTTAATGTATGTAATATCAATAATTCAATATTTATTGGGTAACAATGGTTCTGCGGAATTGCTGATATTTGCAATGAAATGTAAAAATTATTACCTCTGTTTGTGGTTTAATTATACAAACGATTGAACAACCTTGGCCAAAGGTATTAAGCACTGTTATTACAACTTTCAATTGGCCTAACGGAATATTGCAAAATTTTAATAAAAAATGTTTATCTTTATATTTCAGTAACATAATTTTTTTTCTGACGCAAAAATAGTTTTAAATAATTTATGTTTTATAGGGTGCTTAATACTTTTGGCCAAGGCTGTAGAATGTAGAGAATATTTTGGAAAAATATTTCGATGATTTCATTGCAACAAAATTCTTTTTCAAATTTCATTAATAGGCTCATCGGTGCTCGACTAAAATCCAATTAATAAATGTTTGATTACTATTGATTCGTTGGTTGAAATAAAAAAATTACGTGTGTTTCAATGAAGGAAAAATTTAAAATAAGGGTTGCTGCTCTCGATTTTCTAATTAGTTGAAACTTTTCAAAAATTTTCATTGCAAAGTATAGTAAATTTGCCACCTATTTCTATGCGAAACATTGTGTATTTCGATAATAAAATAACACAATATTTAACTACATTTTACTTATTAACCAAAGCTTGTTATAAGCTAAAAAATAATTTAGTATTATGAATCGAAAAAAAGTTCTCTACCATTGAAATGATTGAATTTTTTGTTACATTTTTTTGTTAAACCTATCATTCACATTTCATGGAAAATATGTACGCACCACACTCAACGCATGCTTTCAGCGTGCGTTTTAAATTCGGTGTACTCCATTTAAGGGTTTGATTTATGACTCGTCATCGTAAATTCAGTTCTTTCCGTGAATTCACACCAAGCCAGCCAATCAGTGCAAGCCTTTAAAAGGAAGTGTGTCAATTTGTATCGAAAGTGACCATACTTGGTAGACATCGGTATCTTCAACCTTCCAGTTACTGGTATTCTTAGCTTGTAAATTCACCTTTCCCGAGGGTAAAGAAACTTCCTGACTCTTATTTTCTTCTCGCTCAAAACTTTCTTGAATCATGACAAATGTTGTGGTATTTTTCTCACTTGCATCGCACATTTGGATTTGCATAAAATATGTTAATCTTTCGATAGGAGTCCAATTAACAGGTTCGTTGCGAACCGTGGACCGCGAATATTCACTAATAGAATAGTAATTATTACAATATTATTATGATTATTAATATCAATGTTGATGATATTAATTGAGCTTGACGCGACTCCACAACATTCATGGCGACTGTGTTAATCGCCATTACCTAAAGCATTCATCAAATTTGACAATTTTCTGAAAAATAAAAATTTCAAAAAAATTTCTTATCCTTAATTTGACATTATTTTCAATTCTAAAATACTGATTGTAATATTCAACGAATAATTTAAAATAATTTTAATAAACAGAAAAAAATACTAGACTGCAGAGTGTAAAAGTGTTTGTAATAAGACCTAAATTAAGCATCAAAAATGAAGTTATTTCAAGCTCGAGATAAAACGACAGAGCAATTACAAATCATTTCAAGCATAATGAAATTTGGTTTAAACACAAAGTTGTCCCTTATGCGCCGATCAATCTTCGTCTGTTTGTTAATGAACTATTTGACAAATGCAATGCGGCCGGTAAAATGCCAAAATCAGTCGATCGACAAAGGTATTCGACTCAATACTCGTTCGCTAATATTTCGGCGTTGCGCATTTGTTCGGTCATAATTAGTAAAACGCGCATGATTTTAATAAAAGCCCGTTGAAATATCTTGCAATTACAAACGGTTTGTGGTTCTATGAATTTGTCAAGGACAATAACTGTCCAATCTATGCCCTATTCTCTTTCCCCGTTTATCTTCTTTGAATCTACGAAAGACATATTTTAAATTTTCATTATAGGCTCACATAGAGAAGTTGAAAAATTGCCTTTTACTATTTCTTTCCCCATTTCGACAAATTGTAATTTTTTAAAACGACAAAAGTATATATCCTAGTAAATTAATTTATATAGCTTCTCGAAAAACCACAAGTCATGTGGTCCAATTTTAAATGAGGTATCCTGTTTTAAACGGTGCGGTGGTCGAATACTTTTGCACGCCACTGTATATCATATATTCATATAGTGAAATAAAATCTTATAATTGATTATTAATTTTCCAAAATATCCATTCGTTTATTTATCTATCAATGTTCAGATTTTTTTCAATGGCGGATTCAAGAGTCTTTCTCGTCGTATAAAGGTACCCGAGTACATAGGTATACCCCTTTTTGCAAGATTGAAAATTTGCTTGTAATTTATATTTTAATATCTGTTTAGGTACCTATATATCTAAAAAATTTGGATGTGTTTCCGAATGGCCCCACCAAAATTGAGAACTCAGCTTCGGTATATAACATAAATTGACTACAAGAAACCGATTGAAGTTAGTTTCAGAGCTGGATGTCTTACCGTTTTCGAGATATCGTAAGGTTAGATTAGGTTAGGTTCTGTGTATGCGCAGTACCGAATAGCGCATACGCAGTATTGAATAGCGTATGCTCAGTATCGAATAGCACATACGTAGTCCCAAAATTGCACAAAAATTTCTTGCCACGATATCTCAAAAACAGTAAGACATCACATCCAGCTCTGAAACCAATTTTAATCGGGTTCTGGTAGTCAATTTAGGTTGCATACCAAACCTGAGTTCTCAATTTTGGTGGAGCCATTCGGAAACTTATCCAAAAGTTTTTTTCGTGACATAATATTTTTGTATATTTTGTTACCCTTGGGATCCGATTGCTCCTATTCCCCTCCTTCTGAGTTAGCCATTGATTTTTTTCTGATATTCGTTATACTTTCTTTTTTCATTTTTGATCCTGCGACGAATATTCAACGACGAAAAGGTTCGTGTTATCGAGTGAAAAAAAATTTCGCAACCTCGTATTCGCGACGATAACAGCGACTTTCACACGACGTACAAATTCCCGCAAGTGTTAATCATGGTGATGGCTGTCAAACTCGACCGTATCTGACCCGAATACGTTACTTTCGACCATGATTCGATATTAATCGGTCCCGAACAGTCGAGCCACGTCTCGTTCGTTTTCCTTGCAACGTCTCGGAGGACCGCTCGGTCACGAGCAATTAAGATAAATAATTAAGATAAATCAGCGCGTTTGCATAAATAATTCCACGAATCGGTCGGTCGCCTTTTTAATTTTTCAGACGGACGATTATAAATAAGACTCGATTAACGTTTCGCTGAACACGCGGTATTCCTGGTACGCACAGAATCGGGCATAGTTCATCAATTCCGGATGTCGGATATAATTAAGGCGTGAAATACGGGATCATTAAGCTCGCGATGATAAATTTCGTTCGTGCTTGCTCGTAGAACGATCCCGTTTTCATGGCCGATACATCTATTTTCTTTGTACCCTTTTATTTTTACTCATTTGGATACTATATTGCCCTCCTGAACTCAATTATTCTAACATTTATTTTGAAATGTCCCAAAATAATGATAAAAGATATGAAAAGAACGTAGAACATTCTAACTTCGCTTAAAAGGTAAAAAATATATCAAACTCGACATATTTCAAAATATTTAAAAAAATAAAGGAATAGTAATAGCATAACATACGCCAGCCACTCGCCATCATTCACTATAAAAATAGTCGTCCAATTTACGTCAAGAATCATATATTATTATTATTATTTTCAATAATTTATATAAAAATAGCTCTCGTGTTTTATTATTCCGATCCCTCTTCCTACAACCCTTTATTTTCGCAAAATTATCTACGTCATTTTTTGCAGATTTATAAAATATTCTGCAGTATTTAAACAGTTAAATATGCAAAATTGAGATAAAATAAAAGTTGATCTATAATCCTTTAGATTATGGAAGCTGTGAATATTTCAACTAAGCATGTCTTAATGCGTGTTGATGCGATTATTTAAAAATTGATGTGAATTAATGACCTGTATAAAAAAAGAATGTCAAATTATAGAACTAAAGAAAACCACACGCAATAATTATACAATGTTGTTGCATACTATTCTCAATCAGGCATGTTTCTTGGAAATTATGCAACAGGTTAACTGATAAAGCCGTTTCTTTTTTAAGCTTCTTTAAAAGCTAAGATTTTGTCTGCGTAATCATACGCAAGATAAGTGCGTGGATCGTGACGGAAGAAGATCAATAAGGTTAAGAATTTTCCATTAGAACATAAAAATTTAGGCCTGGATTAGTAAAAGATATAAATGTATAAGAAATTTACAATGTCTCATTCAAATGAAATTTGAATTTTTATATTAAAAATAAAATATAATACGTAATATAAATTATCTGTTCACAAAAATTTCAAGGACTTTGTCGAATCTGGTCAATATGATAAGTGTATCTAAAAGGAAAAGTAAAATGTTCTTGTAGCGATAATCATAACTTTCACATTGCTTTTTATAGAATTGGTATAAAATATTAAAAATGAATGAATTTGAATGAAATCAGTTCGTTAAGCAAATAAATATTAAATTGGCGACCGTTGCATTTTTCCCTGTAAAATCATCTATAATAATTTAATGAACAATAATTTTCAATCGAAATAAGCATCATTTGACTTAATAAATTTTCATTACATTTATGGTGATTTTTTTTAACCCTTTATTAGAATTTTGAAGCAAAATATATAAAAAAACAAAAATTTAATTATTATCAGACTACTATATTTTATATAGAAAAGTTTGAAAATTATACGAAAAGAATATCGTCTTTATCTGCTTAATTAACCCCATGTAATCGATTGCGTGCAAGAATCTGAAAGTGCATGCGACACCAGGCGAGAATGTGAACATAATGAATTGCATGTGAGCAAATAAAATATCGGTTTACTGTGAGAATTAAATACATCTTATTGCTGTCCACATTTTATTCGAACATTCGTGATTCATAATTTAAGGGTACATGTCAGATATAAATTTCTTTTATTGTGGTGACGGACATACATTTACATTGCTTATAATAAATCAGGCTGCCAAATTTTATTTTACCTATCCTATATTTATCTAAAATAATAATAATAAAAGCTCATAATATATTACATAATTTTTAAATTTATTTTTTTTTTATGTCTGGATTCAAATTTCATTTTTATTAGAACTTACAGACATAATTAAATATAGGTATTAAATTTACCAATATAATTAACAGTATTAATACATCATAGTGAAAATTTATTACAAAGTTTATCAGAGCATCCACAATTTTCCAATGTATCTCCATCAACCTTTTCATAACGATTGCAAGGTTTTTTTAATCCAGATACAAATATAAAATATGCAAAATATGAAAAGTGCATTAATGAAGTTCATGTAATAAAATACTATTTACAGACGAAAGCATATTTTATAGTTTGTACATAATTTCGCTTTGCAATTTATATAATAACGTTGTAATTATGAGCCTGTCATGAGCCTGTAATTCAAAACGTCTGTCTTGCAAGGGTTAAAATATTCATATATTTAATTTTATTCAAAATCATCATGAATTTCTTTTACTTCTCGTTTCACGGAATTATTTAATTCCGTGAAGTATTAATTGTTGTTTTATCAATATTCAAAAATATCACAAAACAACGTAATAATACATTATCAGTAACATTACCATCATTTTGAAGCGGGTGATAAGATGAGCACCAAGTTTCGTATCGCTCAAACAGCCATCATGTTCGCATCAGGATTAGAAACACCCCAGAGATTCGCTGAGGAAGGCAACCGAGTGCAAGAGGGTGCAAACAACCCTCGTTTTTAGACTAGCGTAAATGTTGCGTGAAAAGGCACGAAAAATCGCCAAACTCTTCTTTCTGAGCTCTGTATTCATCCCTCTTTATTCTGTTCTCACTTTTCGTTTATGTTTTTCCTTTTTTTTTAACCAAATAAAATTGACGCAAACATTTTTAAATTGCGAAAGACGAATCAGCCTTTTCACGCTATCGCTAGTTTCTTTGCGCGGTCTCCGCTTCTCGAAGCCAAAGACGATGCATGAACACGCGGTTAATTAACAGAGACCACGAGCGTGCATCTTAATTACGCGGGTAATTCGAGTTTCGCGGCTAGTGGAATTGCAAGCATGCAAATTACTTCGCGCATGCTAGTCCCACGCAGAGCCACTTTTTCGCAGAATATTCTTTTTTAAACGGGAGTGATATGTGCACTCTGCTTTGTCGTGTGTACTGCTTTGCGTTGAATCTTACATATAAAGCGCAAACACGTCCATCCGTGTCACTTTTCAATTTGAGAACTACTAGGGTTAGAGATACGCTTCATACATCGTTAGAAAGGTCTCGCTGAGACTAGCTCAAAACCGTTGCGTTTGTGCGTCAAGTAAGTGGTCGGAGTTAAAAGTTACAGAGGTTTCAATTTTTCTATAGAAAGTCTATAGGTCGCACATTTTAGCTTAGAGATCCCTGACACCCCTGATGCCATAATGAAGGTATGCAAAGAGTGTCACCGGTGCTTCGGGGTCCCTAACACCCAAGGATGATATCAGGTCCGTATGAAGAGAGCACAACCAGTATAATAATCGTCCTCTAATTTCTTTCCGGAGTTTATTTAATTTACTTTATTAACTTTCTTTGCCTATTAAATAAGCTCATCGAAAGGGAATAACATTTATGATTGTATTCCTCTTCTGGGCCTCGGCCGAGGAGCCCTTTTATTTCACTTTTTTCAGTTATTTGTAAAATTTTATCCCTCTTTACAGGCCAAAACCACTCCTTTCAGTTATTAATTATTTTATTCTCCTTTATAGGACAAATCCACGCCTCCTAATTATTTATTATTTTATTTCTCTTGATGGGCCTCGCGGGGAACACCCTTCCCAGTTATTGTTTATCCTATTTCTACCCTTTATGGGCCAAGGCTTCCCTTTGCTTTAAAGGGAAATTCAGCTCAAATTTTGTCCACCAGAGGGCGTTAAATTGATTCGTACTTTAGTTCCTTTTTTCGCCACTAGAGGGCACTGTTTTTCGGGAAAATTTAGTTCAAATTTTGCCCGGCAGAGGGCGCTAAATTTATTCGTACCTTGGTTCTATTTTTTACCGCCAGAGGGCGCTGTCACGAACACCGAAAGCGTGATTTCAAGGATGATTTGTGGGTTGCATGGCTATAAGTGAAGCAGGGTGGTAAGAGGAACAGACATTTAAGGGATAGGAAGATGTAAGGGTATACGGGATAGAAAGATATAAAGGATAGAGAAATATAAAGGATGCAGTGATGTAAGGAATGCTGGGATGTAAATAATGCAGATTTATAAGGGGTGCAGAGATGTAAAGGAATCGAGGATGTAAAGGATGCACACGGGAGTAATAAAATCAACACGTTCGTCCTCCTAATGAGTTTATTCAATAAGCTAAGAAGAAATATACAGCAAATTAAATCAACGCAGAAAATAAAATAAGGGTATATGTATGTTTAGCAGGTAGATCTGCACCCCTCGACGGTTGCTATAAGCACAACCAATTTATCGTTTTTTACTTTAATGCTAATAAATTTTTATCTTTTTCTTTGTAATTATCCTAATTGCTATGGACCATCATTTTTTTCTTGCTGCTTCACTTTTGGTCTGACAATGAGAAGACAAATTGTTAATGAATTTTCATAGTAAGTAATACACATATACATGCAAATATTTAGAAATATATGATTATTTCGTTAAATGTTTGGAAAAAATCACATGGACCTACAAAAAGGGGGTGAGGCGAACAAAAAATAGATTTTGGCATACTATTTCTTATACGGAGTATGAACGAAAATGTTTACAATCCGCTTCTTAACCACTGGTTTATCGCTTCCGGTCCATTCTACAGACCGATCTTTGTCCGCTCAGTGTCCACTTAACTATACGCCATTCAATCCGCTAGAATGTTTCATAATACGCTTCCCATCCGCTCTAAATTCATTCGTCGTCCATTCATCGGCCATCTGACTACAAATTGAACCATTCCATATCGCTTATGTTGCTAAGTTGCAGAGGCTTGGGGTTGGCTACTCGTATTATTATTATTATTTTAGTTTTTAAAGTAACATAGGCGACAATTATCTATGCGATAATGAAGTACAATTGACAATCGCTAACAAAGCAGTTTATCTTATGCACCATGAACTGAATCGCGTTAACTCATACACTTTTTACAAACTCCTTGGAATCAGGAAATGTTTGAATGCTGCTTACTGTTGCAACGTCGATTAGATGACCTTCCATTGAATCAAGGGTGCGATGCAATCGTTTCTCGCAATTGCGACGAATGTTATTTAAATAAACGCGGTAGGCGTTGATCATGTCATCAGGAAACTTATTTTTATAAAGGAATTAACCGAGATAATGCAACTGACGACCACATTGTTGGAATTATTAAAGGAGGATGTACATATGCGGTTGATGATTGTTCAGATTGATAAGAATATTTTAGTACTTATAGGAATTTTATTAAAATATTACGTCTGTTACATAACGAATTATGTAAAATAACAAGCAATTTTCATTGTTTGAGAAATTTCCTTTTAGTATTACAATTTTCAGTTTAATTCTTTAAATTAAAAATTTTTTATTTAGTAGACATTCGAATGCTTTAAAATATAATTAAGTGATTTTATTTCTAAAATTTTAATACTTGAAATATTCAAGGTTAATATTATTACTTATACTGTTTTATACTGATGTCTCTTATATAAATTTTCTAACTTAAAGAGGTAAAAATTATGATCGCAAACAACTACTCACCTAATCACTGTTTCTTTTTCAGGGTGACCAAGGAATTCAAGGTTTTCCTGGATCTCCAGGACTGTCGGTTCGTACAGATCTCCATTTCATTAAAAGTTCGTTCCTTGAGTTTCAATTTTTACATTCAAGGTTTTCCTGACTCTTCGAATTTCCAAGTCTAAAGTCATTTTAAATTCTACAAACTATGAATCTAAATACTCCGACTAATTTGAGGAAATTTTTTGTGAATTTCGTTCTACAAATTTTGTTTGAACATAATTTTAGAAACACAAAAGTTTCTCAAAGGAAATAACTATAATTGCATAGAAAATTTTATTGTAACAAACTTTTTCTAATTACTTATAAAATATTGTACAACACCCTTCTTCATCTCTAGAATGGTTTCTTAATTTTATTTTAAACGAAGCAGAAACAATGTATATTTTAGAAGTATTAGTCTTCCAGAGAAACAGAAATAAAAGCGAGTACTTTTTTTACTCTACAACTCCGTTGTTGTCGACTAAAGTCGTCTTCGCAAATGGGTCAAGTGTACTTTATGACAAGTAGCGATGGGTTTAAGTTGTTTAAACGTTAATCCGTTCTCTACATACTTTTAAATAATAGAATAATAAAGTAATACATGAAATATTTCATATACGCAAAAATCGTTCAATAAATAATTTATCAAAAATTTAAATAGAACGCGTCCTTATAAATAACATTTTCGTTTTAAATATTTTATTGCAGTACTTGTTAATCATTTTTTTCTACCCATGTAACATTTCAAAGTGAAAATTATAAAATCCTAAGTCCTACTCCTAATTTCTAATTAAGACTTAATAATTCACAAAAATCACAATTAACTCCACATAAAATAAGGAATAACCAAAGTAACTCGATAAATATTTTGGAAAAAATCAATTCATCATATTGCTTACTGTATGCCCTGAAAAAATCTCGGAGAAACGAGGTGATCCTTCATCGGCGAGGACCTGTTCCTTCGTATCGAGGCCCTGCAAATAAAATCAAAAAAGGACGTGTCAAAGAAACGTGAAATAATAAAATTCTTGGCCACAGGGTAACACTGGCCTAGCCGGTGTAATGGGACCAGACGGTCTGGACGGATGCAACGGGACCGATGGACGTGCCGGTTCACCAGGAATGCCCGGTATCCATGGTGAACGTGGCCCACCAGGGCCAATCGGAGATTATGGACCCACTGGTGAACCAGGTGATGGTGGTATCAACTCCGTGGGCGTGAAGGGTATTCGTGGAAATCCAGGTGTTGACGGACCAAAGGTAACGAACTTAATCGGTAATTTAACGTTTTTCAATCAGGTAGCTAACGAGGGTCCTCTCCAAATGTCAGACATTCATTCTTATATCACTGAACTGTGATATTGGCCATTAAGATATTGCGGAGAATTTTTTTCTTTCTATCTTTATTCCATTTGAAAGACGGATGATCAAAACTGGTTAAAATGGTTCTTTCAACAAATACAATTTTAAATATAAAACATCTACGCTCACACGATTTTTAAATAATATCTTAAATCGAAAAGGAATGTCCTTCTTGTGCATTATAAAAGTAACAATTCGTTGTGCCTCTGAAAGTACAATTTTAACAAATAATTGTAGACATTATTACAAAAAAAATTTGTTTTTGTAAAAATATCATGACACCTTTATTCACTCGTATCTTCAATTATATTAAATTTTGAAGAATGATAAACATATATTTGCTTATTAAATCTACAATAAATAAGTTATAAAAAAGGTTATAATGATTTTACTACGATAGTAGAACGAAACTTATTTCCTATTGAAATTTTCAGTACTGAAAGAATCATGAGCTTGACCATATTTCCCTATACTGAATACAAAAACTTGTTGTAGCAACTTGAATAATGTTGTCCAGTAGGATGCAAACTTAATAATAAAATTTACCATTGTACCAGTGAATTCAAGGCACGTGCAAATCTGTCCTCGTGATTAGGTTCAATCCTATCGACATGGTTCGATAGTTGGAATTTAAATGCATTCAGTTAGTTTGTTTCCCAGAAAACGCAATTCACGTTGGGTGTAAAGTTACATCGGACGGGTAGAGAAAATTGTTGTTTCTTCGTTGAAGGATTTCCCTTCGTGGATAAATCCTGTCGACTAAAATGTAACTGTTCTCAGGGCGTAACTCGAAGACGGACTAGAGGAAATAGTTGGACAGAAGGTTATAGAACTGCAAGTTCGTCGGTGGTAGTAGTTTAGGAACGTGACGAGAATCCGAGGAAACTCGTCGAGATGCTGCAGAAATTTCTTCCTTCGCTTGGATAATGTCGACAGCATTTACTTTCCGAAAAGTTTCAATCGGATATTGAGATCGTTTGTTGCAATTGATGTTCGCGTTCATTAACCTGATACTTTAGAATATTCCCCGTAACTGAAGATTCAAAGTGGTGCTTCAAATGTGATGAGATCAATTATCGAATACTGAGAAAATGAATCTGGTTGAAGAGTTTAAACTAAAGAATTCATATTCGTGATTGATTATCTTAGAACGTTTTAATACCTATTTTATTATTGTATAATAAATAGTTGCAAAAAAGTAGTGTAGAGATATTTCAAAAAAATATGTTTGATTATTTAATAACATCAAAGAAAATTTCTTTGTTTTATATCTATTAATCTTTTGGTAACGAATTTTCAGTACTTGTGTTATTTATAAATTTTCAAAATCATTATAAGTATAATCGAAAGTCTGTTTAGGTTGCTTAAAAAAAGGATTATGGTACATATTTGTACTATTAGTCTTAGGATATGGTATGCAAATGAATCAACGGTCCTTTCTGACAGAATAATTTCAAAGATAACGTGGTTCATATTGAAACTGTTTTATAATTGAAATAAAAAATATCAGTCTATAAAATATAAGTATTGGTACACATATGCACCAGGAGGTCTCAAAGAGTTAAATGGAATATTAAACATACCTCATGATTGCAAAAAGAACTTATGAAGTCTTCACCAACATTGCAATCATTTTTAAAGAATTTTGAATTAAAATCTGAAATCTTTTAGTCTTCGGATTTGACAACATTTATTATAGCAAAAAATTGATTTCCTTTTTAATTACGAGTTATTAATCAAATTATTAAAGAGTTTGAATGACAAATTGAAACCTTCCACGAAAATACATGCTGGTATAGATTATTATAATCCTATGAAACGTTTATATCATTAGTCTAAAGGAACTTTTACAATATACATGAGACGCTCGTTTTTAAAAAATCTTGAAATATATCAGTAATATTTCCACTGACAATGAGATTGGGACTTGGACGACGTCCAAAACCTTAAAACCCGAACACTTTGAATTACAGACTAAAATTCTTCATTAAATCTAATCATAATGGTTCATAAAATTTCCCTCGTGGTAATCAATAAATTCAATACTTTTCAATTTTATTCCATCCATGCACAAATACAAATAATTGCCCATTAAGGGGTTAGGCCACTCTAGAGCAAGAAAAAATAGGCATATTTTGGGATTTTTTTTTTTTTAAATGATGGAATAAATCCAAATTTTGCAAGCATGCCTTTATTTTACAACTAATAAGCTTTAAAAATTAATTTTTGTATAGTGATTCAAGTCAAAATATGGGCTCTCCAGCATTTCTTCGATGACGCCTTTTCTTGTAAGGCTAAACGGCCGGACCAGCAGCTCGTGCAGTTTTTAATTTAGGATGAAACCACAAAATATTTTCGATTATATATGAGAACAGCTACCGAACTACGTAGGATTTTTTTGATATATTGATTTTTGCAAAAATGGCGTATGTTTTAAGAGAAAATGTAAAATTTCGAGAAGAAATCGCCAGAAAATTATTTATAACAAAAGAACTATGCAATATAATGAAAAAATCGTATGTAGTTCGGTAGAGAATTTAGTTTTGAATATATGTTAAATTTTCAAATCGTTTCGTGATGATCTGTTTGATTTATGGGTCCGGCCAGTTTGAAAAATGCAGTTTCGAGAAAAATGGGGCTGCGCCAGAATTCGAAATTCGAGTACTTAGAGATTTTTCTCACCCATAATCCTTTGCCATATCATTTTTAAGACATTAAGGCACCTTTTAAACAAAAAAAAAATGTCAATTTTACAAAATTCTAGAATGGTCTAACCCCTTATAAAAGTAACTTTTGCTTTCACAGGAAGAAGTCCACAGAAGAATACCAACAATATCTCAGTTATTCTGAAACTATGCTTCCACCACAGCCGTGTTAAATAGTGAAATTTCTGTTTAGGGTTACCCAGGACCATACGGGATTCCCGGTGAAATGGGTTATCCAGGAGAAACCGGCGACATGGTGAGTAAAGGATCACGATTCATTGGTTGGTATCTCGCTTCAGGTACCGTAACGAGCGATCGGGCCAACCGGAAGGGTTCGTGAACCTCTTACGAGCGTTTAGGTCGTGCCATTCGTTCGCCAAGGTACGCGGCGAGTCGGAGAAGAAAGGGACGAGATAAAGAAAGAGAGAGAAAGAAGGGCCCGGTGGTGGTTAAGCGTGTCTCGTTCCTTTTTGCAAGACGCCACCTGCTCGCATGAAATATCGTCTGGTTGGCTAAGTGTTCCTCGGCAATATTTAACGGACACGCCGGAAAGACTGCGAACCAGAAGAGGTTCAGAAGAATTTAAAAGAATGCACGGGTCGCGATATCGCGCGATAAGCTGCTCGCGGTGGAATCCCCTTACACGGTCTTCGTAAAAATTGCCGCGAAACGATCATGTAACCATCTTTTGTCCATTCCTCGCCTCCTCGCCTTTTTTCGCTGAGATAAAAATCGGCTCCGAGCGGCGAACAGCACTTCGCGAAATAGATTGCTGATGGAACACTGTAGATCCTGGCTCTTTCGCCGATAACGTGTTCATTTTTGATACCGCGTATAACTTTATTTCCGGTACCTTTATATTTGACCATCTTCTTTTTATTTTGATATTTATATCGTGATAAGTATTTTTTATTTATACGTAAAGGATTAAAGGTTAGGTTAATTATTCAATATCAAATAATCAATTTTGTGATATAAAATGATTAACACGATTTCCTGACGTAAAAGCTTGGTAGAATAACATGTAGCATGTTTGCAACATATTAATTTGTTTCATAAAAATGACTACATACACTTTTCATCAATATTTTTAATGCAAAACAACTGGTCCTTCGTTAAAACAAACAATGAATCAATCAATTTACAAAGGGAAAAAAAATTAAAAACTGAATAGGATTACTATCAGGTGTACAAATTAATTTGGTGCCTCGACTATGGCGCTTTCTTAATTACCATGTTAAATTTGAATATTTTCCCGCGCTTCTGGGTATTTGAAAAGTGGCGTGGGAATATGGTAACAATAAAAATTACTTTAATAATTGCAGTTACCATGATATTTTTAAAATAAATCTTCAATTGCAAAAAAAAAAGAAAGAATTAATACTTGAACAGCGAACCCTGGGCCTATAATTTTTGGACCAAAATGTTTCATAGAATGAAAGAACAATTTTTAAAGGAACAATGTAAAATTAAAAAAATGAAAATAATACGAAATACAAAGTTAAACTGACACTAGAACTATCGACGTTTGATGCACACTTATTTTTAAGTTTAAAATAATGTAGAAAATTAAATAAGTAAAGGATGAAACATAATTTGATATGTGCATCCATTCTTTATCTCGACAATAGTCAACATACATTTAAACAAAAATAGCTCGGTAAAATTTATAATTTAAAATAAAAAACTTGGAACCAGTCATTTTGATTGGTTTGGTAGTTCTAATGTTAAAATTGTGGCTCTCTCCAAGGTCCATCATTCGAGGATTAAAATTTGTACACCTGATATTATACTGATAGCAAATTGAAAGTTTAAATTTAAAAATTAATTATTCATAGATATCTTTAAATCTTAAAGGATGGATCAAATAGAAAATATTTTCTATAAAAAGAGAAATATTACAAAAAAATTCAAGAACGTCTGATTGTAAGAAAAAAAAGTGGAAAGCAAAAAAACCGGATGAGACTGGACGATCAAATGGAGCAAAGATGCCACGTGTTAATCTTTAAATACGAAACGGACCAGGATCTGCTGAAATCTGAAGCGTCGCGATCTTAGAGCTACTATCTGCTGACACGACAGTCACTGATAGCACAAGCTGTCGTCTTCTCTTGGGAGAAGATTTCACCGCGAGCGATCGGAAGCCTCCAAGAGAAACTCGAGATCTCTGTTCGTTGCTTTGGTCCGTTTGAAAATCCGCCGGTACACGTGTATCCCTTTTACTTTATCCTATAAAAGATGAGAAATTGGATAGAATTTTCATCCTTCGTCGCGTAAGATGCTGTATCTTGGACGATAGACCGTCGTATTCAATTTTATTTCAAAATGCTTAGCAGACGATGCTTGAAACTGTTTATATGGTATAACCAAAATTCAGATTGTTAAAGTAAATATTTTACCTTAGTAAAGAATATTCAACGACATAAGTAATTTAACGTATTAACAGAAAGACTGACCATTTAAAATGTTTATTTAGTGAAATATGTAGTTTTTGCTGATCGATAAATGATCTATAAAAAACTTAATCTCGGTAATGAACAATTTTTATGAAATATCGGAACAAAAAGAGATACATTTGTACAACAGCAATTTGTATTAAATAATGCAAACATTGAAAATTGTAATTTAAAAAATATAATTATAGTACGTATTCAGTGATGTCCATAGAACGGTGAAAACACTAAAAAAATATGAATAAGAGTAACAAGTAAATAGGGAAATAATTAACATTCTACAACGAACAAATTAATAAAAAGTGATGATTTTGTAGGGTTATACTGGTGCCCCCGGATTACCAGGCATGCAAGGTGAACCCGGTGAAACAGTGTTCGGTGTGCAAGGTCAATCAGGTGAACAAGGTGACAGGGGAGAAGCTGGGCCATCGAGCGACGGTAAATTCAGGAAAACGACGAAATCCACACCGGTGAAAGGTGTTAGGGGTAACAAAGGGATGCGAGGAGATTACGGAGATCGTGGCCGAAAGGGAGAGATGGGTGCTAAGGGTCCTCTAGTAAGTATCAACGCGAAATTTACTAACTACCTATTCGAACTAACTCCTTAGAAGAAGAAAAAAGTAAAACAATGAGCTTTTTGTGCCTTTCAAACTTCATCTAGTGTCATAAATGTGTGGCTCTGATATTTATCATTTTACACCATTATCCTTCACCTTCCGTTTATTTACTATTTACAATTAAAAAATTAGTAATTTTGCAGCGTTTGTAAATCAAATCTGTCAAAAAATATAATTCTATTAGTAATCTTTTGTTAAAAATAAAAAGGAATTCGAAACTAAAAATGTAAAATTCCATGAAAAGCTATGAATGCAATAATTATTTATTTATTATATTGCTAGAATATTGCAAACCTAATTCAAAAATGATCAATGAATTTTCATTAATAAAATTTCTATGCTAATTCACGTCATGAAAATACACCGTTAAAATAATTTAAAATATAAAGAGGAAGTCTTTCGGCGAAGCAAAAGCGAGCATAAAAATACGGAAGTTTGAAAATTGAATGATAATCCTTACGGATTATCGTATTCATGGTTTATGTGATATATTCACGCAGGGTCGGCCAGGCTTTCCCGGCATCAAAGGTATGAAAGGAGAACAAGGTGACGACGGTCCGAGAGGTAAACAGGGTGCAGAGGGTCCGCCAGGACCCGCAGGAGAAAAAGGAGATAAAGGGGCTCCAGGTTATGCTGGTAATCCTGGAGTCGACGGAACTGATGTAAGTATTATGGTTTTCATCGTTTTCTAAGAAATTCAAAATTACTACTCGACTATTTTACAAACACAAAAGTTTCTAGCAGTATTGGATATTCTATCAAAATTTGTAACGTATTATATTTTATTATTATGTTATTATAAAGTAGAACATAACAAACCATATCTATGGTCATAATTATATTTTTCTAATTTACTTTAAAATCATTGAACATTTTTCTTGCTTAATCAGCACAAAGTAAGAGCTGAAATATTCGCAAAACGTAGGAACAATTAAGTTTTACAAATGACTTTTCAACAATAATAATTATTATTAACAAATTCATTGACAATTGTATAAAGACTTCTTTTATTGCAATGTCACAGCTTTTTTGTAATCAAAATATTTTGATTAAAAATATTAATATAGAAGATTGCCTTAAATATGATGGAAACTTTTGCATAGTACAAGCTTAAAAAATATCTATTTATTGTATTTTATGAAAATCTAGGGTGAATCAGGAGAGCCAGGAAATCCTGGACCACCGGGTAAACAAGGAGCTGCTGGAGAGCCTGGAAAATATATACCAGAACTGGACGAAATAATTCAAGGAAATATTGGAATTCAAGGGGACTTAGGTTCGTGTTTTATTAATATTCATCTAAACAAAATGAGAAACAGTTTAGGATATTTATCAACCATACTTCGTATGCACGTTTCTCAATTGTAATCTACTAAACAAACCTCTTGAAAAAAATTAAATCTAAAGGAAAAGGCTTTCCAAAATTAAAGATACTTAGAATAATTAATATCAATGTTCAAGAATTCACGAATTCATAAATATTGTTGAGATCATATCTTTCTCGAAAACCGAAACTTCATTTCTGTAAAATAGAATTTTCTAAAACTCAAGACTTTGTATTATAGATAAACCTCAAAATGAATACGGTCATTTTTTCTTCTCGCAATATGTATATCAGAATGTAAATAAAATTTTAACAAACATTATTTGTATTATTCAGGACCACCTGGTAAACCAGGAGAACCAGGAACGCCTGGTTTACCTGGAAAAGTAGGTTACATCGGGCCACCTGGTCCCCCGGGACCTTCAGGTCCTCCCGGCTCGCCAGGATTAAAAGGATCTTCCGTCAAAGGAGAGCCAGGAGACGATGGTATGCATTATTGAATAACTCACAGAATTCACTAAACGGAAATACCGAGAATTCGTCGAATCGATTCATAAAATGTTGTATTGAACTTTCTTAGGTCTTCCCGGAGTAATGGGTTCTCATGGTCCTCCCGGTTTACCGGGTTTACCTGGACCTTTTGGACCAAAAGGATATCCTGGAATAACGATCATTGGACCGCCAGGTATTGACGGTAAACCTGGATATCCTGGAATTTCTGGATCACTTGGAGATCGCGGTGATCCTGGTCTACAAGGTAACAATCACATTCTATCATTATTTCAGTTAAATCATTTGTTGCAATCTGTTGATTTAATAACAATTTAACGTTTTGATTAATCAGGTCCAAAAGGTTTCCCCGGAAAAGGAATCAGAATTCGTGGTCCACCAGGCGAGCGTGGTTTACCAGGAACACCAGGTATCCCTGGACGCGATGGAAGGCCTGGTGAATTTGGTGTCTTTGGCCCAAAAGGTATCCGGGGTGACGATTGCGGCATTTGTTCACCAGGTAAGTTCTATCAATAAATTATTCAAATTGTAGCAGAAATAGATAAAAAATGCTCAGTGTAGTAATTAAAGCGAAAACGATAAATTTTCAGTTTGCATTGTGAAATCTTTAGCAAATCAATTATTATAATTACAAGAAAATTAAACATGGAAGGGAAAATATTATTCAAGTAGAATTTTGCAATTAAAAATTTAAATCAATATTCCTCCATTATAAATATAAATAAATAATGTGACAAAAAATCATCAGGAACATTTTAATTGAGTAATTAAATGAGACACAATTATTTTAAATCTGTCAATACTAAAAATGTAATATTTAAAACTTACACTCTGTGAACCCTACTTTCAAAATCTATAACTTAATATTGTTAAATTATTTCGCTTGAATTACTACTGTCGAGACGATATCAGCTTACTGGCGTGACTAATAACATAATGATAGTTCTTAAATAAATCAGTTATTGCTGTACATATCCTCAATTTGCAACGAAGTTATAACATTATCGAACATTAATCTCGTTTGATAATTTACTTTTGTCATTAAGTCCCATCAGGTATTTTTCTACGTTAAATTGAAAATATTCATCGTTCAAAGCATTAATTCCCTTTAATTCTAAAATAAAGTATTATAAGGACCAACGAAATATCATAAAAATATTTTATCGTACAGTTCTACAATACTGCGTTTAAAAATCAACTCTCCTTGTGAAATTGTTACATGTGGATATTCATACATACTGAAATGTGTAAAATCCATTATTTATATCTCATATCCTGTGTAATAATAATCATAACGTTAACAGCTTCACAGTACAGTTTCATTGAACAAAAACAAACTACTCCAAATACAATAATTTATTACTGTTTCAAAATTTGAATTTCATAAATAATTTCTGTTAAAAATTCTACCTCAGTATGTCACTAATATTCAAACTACTAATATTCTCGCCAAAATATTCAAACTATTAATACAGAAAATATATTTTTTAAACCAAAAATTCGAAAACTGTTATAAATAAACATTGGCGTACTTGGAATTTCTTCTGGGGCCCCTTAGAAATTTTTAGAATTTGAAATTTTGGAATTCTGTGATATTGAAATTTAAAAATACTAAAATGTTGATATCCTGGAATTTGGGAATTCTGAAAAATTGATATTTTGATTAGAATTTTACAGTCTCAGAATTTTGGAATTTTGGAATTCTGAAATGTAGGAAATCTGAAATTTGGAAATTTTGGTATTTGAAGCTTTTGAAATTCTGAAATTTTTGAATCTTAAAATTTTTTAATGGTGAGGGATCTCATTTGTGGAAAGAGGCCATCAATTGTGGAAATGAGCCTTATTGTTAGTTATACAGAATAACAGGCAAATATAAAAATTACATACGTAAAATAAAAAAATTGCAAACGTATTTTGAAAATGACTAGAAAGAAAATAGTCATTTTGAAAATGACTACACACATGTTTGTTAAAATCTCTTCCATCTTTTAAAGCTTTACCAGTGTGTTGTGTTAGTAAAACATAAATTCAAACTATTCTCCGAGACGAGTATAATTAAAATATTCTTTTGATTTTAACAAGCCAAATTTACCACAAAACCGACAAGAATATACACAGCCAATTTGCTTGTACTATCTGCTGTATCCTGTCGACGATGCAATTAATAACTATACAGATCAAATAATATCGATTGCCCGAGTTCCCCCAAGAGGAGGTTGCTGTGCCTGAAGACCCGCCCTAACTGCGTTCCCATCCACCCCCTTTTCGTGCAAATTTCTAATTTCATTCAAGATTATTCTTTCAAGATCCTTTTGATGCAAGTTTGCAAAACGTCTAACCCTTTGACTGTTATGCATACGAATAACAAAAAAAGAATTTTTGAGAAATCTTTCCGGTATATGTGAAATAAATAGAAGCATTTTAACTACTTTGAAATAGGTTCTTTTATGAGAATTTGCAAAATTCCTAATGGAAAAATTCATAGTAATGTGCAATCGCATACATATCCTGTCTACTTAAAAATATTAAAGGTTCCTTGTAGAAACATTTAAGAAAATTTTCTTCCTATGTTTCCTACATATCAATTTGAAGATAATAAACGCGAAATGCAAGAAAACCTAGCCTGAACTAAGAAATAAGCCACAGATGAAAATGTTACTACTCAGGAGTATAACAGGTATACCCGCAGTTACTATACAGTAAAAGCTGGATATATGCAACATCGCTATCCCCTCCACTTGGGGGGATCCTCCTAAGCGAACTGAGACGCTCGACGAGGAAGCCGTGTAATACATTCCGAACCGTTATATCGGTGTGACTAATACTAATTCAACGATAAAACTTTTTTATTTTTAACTTTTTCTTAATGAAACTTTTACTAACGCATTTGTGAGATTTTTCTGATTAAAATGATACCAAACATAAGGCAGGCCGTACACTAAAGATGCATCAAACACGCCACATGCAACATGCAACACGTCGCATGTTGTGTACGAACGTAGAATAGGTATCGCGGCTGAATACAAACGATGTGTACGGACGCAGAATCGACACCTCGACTGGATATATGCAACATTAAATGTCCTGAATCGACACCTCGGCTGGATATATGAAACATTAAATGTCCAGAATCGACACCTCGGCTGGATATATGCAACGTTTGAAATCCGAGCCGACACCGCAACCGGTTTTCATTTCCAATCCTCCTTTACTTTTCGCCAACTTTTAACATCAATTTTAGCAAGTAATTATAATTCAAACTGTATCGTGTTTGGTATCATTTTAATCCGAAAAATTTCACCAATGCGTTAGTAAAAGTTTCAGTAAAAAAAAAGTCAAAAATAAAAAAGTTTTATAGTTGAATTAGTATTAGTCACACCGATACGTTTCGGCTCTTTCCTTTGATCATCGGACCTCTCTCTTTTCACCACTGTCTGTCCTTTTCTACGTTCACGCTTGGCTGCTCGTCGCGTGTAACCCGAGATTAGACACCTCGACTGGATATATGCAACGTCTGGGTCCCAATGTTTGTTGCATATATCCAGCTTTTACTGTATATGCAACGTTTAAATGCCCAGAATCGACACCTCGGCTGGACATATGCAACGTTTAAATGCCCAGAATCGACACCTCGGCTGGATATATGCAACGTTTGAAAGCAGAACCGACACCGCGACCGGTTTTCATTTCCAACCCTCCTTTGCTTTCCGCCAACTTTTAACATCAATTTTAGCAAGTAATTATAATTGAAACTATATCGTGTTTGGTACCACTTTAATCACAAAAATCTCATCAATGCGCTAGTAAAAGTTTCATTAAAAAAAAAGTCAAAAATAAAAAAGTTTTTTGATTCAATTAGTATTAATCACACCGATACGTTTCGGCTCTTTCCTTTGATCATCGGACCTCTCTCTTTTCACCACTGTCTGTCCTTTTCTACGTTCACGCTTGGCTGCTCGTCGCGTGTAACCCGAGATTAGACACCTCGACTGGATATATGCAACGTCTGGGTCCCAATGTTTGTTGCATATATCCAGCTTTTACTGTATATGCAACGTTTAAATGCCCAGAATCGACACCTCGGCTGGACATATGCAACGTTTAAATGCCCAGAATCGACACCTCGGCTGGATATATGCAACGTTTGAAAGCAGAACCGACACCGCGACCGGTTTTCATTTCCAACCCTCCTTTGCTTTCCGCCAACTTTTAACATCAATTTTAGCAAGTAATTATAATTGAAACTATATCGTGTTTGGTACCACTTTAATCACAAAAATCTCATCAATGCGCTAGTAAAAGTTTCATTAAAAAAAAAGTCAAAAATAAAAAAGTTTTTTGATTCAATTAGTATTAATCACACCGATACGTTTCGGCTCTTTCCTTTGATCATCGGACCTCTCTCTTTTCACCACTGTCTGTCCTTTTCTACGTTCACGCTTGGCTGCTCGTCGCGTGTAACCCGAGATTAGACACCTCGACTGGATATATGCAACGTCTGGGTCCCAATGTTTGTTGCATATATCCAGCTTTTACTGTACTCGTCAAAAGCTACGTATATTTGATTGGGGTATCAGAGGCACCATAAAGCATGCGACTCACCGATTGTAGAATAAGTGAGATCACACTACTACGAAAGTCTGGTAAGGGACTATGACCCCAAAAGAAAATTCAACGGAAGTCATTAGCGAAGTCATCAGGCAGGATCCAACAAATTCAGAAGGTTGTGACAAAAATCTGGGGAAAAATTGAAAATATTTGAATTAATTTTATATCCATTCTTCATTATTAACTATTTTTCAACAATTTGAAACGTCGATTCCAGCAAAGTTGTATGCAAAGTTACAATTGATAAATTTTTAAACAATTTAAGAAAATTTGAATTGTTAATTATTAAAATTGTAAATTATTGTATTTTGGGATTAATTTAAAATAAAATAATAAGATACTTACAGTCTTTCCTCGTGGAGAATCGTCCAATATGATTCTTTTCAGTGTTGCACTGGCTCTAATACCAATGATTTCAAAAATAAAAAAATAAAAAATAAACTGTGAATACAATCCATGAATAATAATTAGTCGACGAACAAATGCTAGCTTTATGCTTGCAGTCAGAAAAATTAAGCAGAGCCACGTGCACTTTGGAAATAATTCATAATACATATGTAGCAGAAGTGAGTCTGTTTTCACGTTGACTAATCGAACGCAACACTACTCTCGAGGCCACTTTATCTTGAAAATTATACACATAAACACTGAATCTAAAGACCGCATTGCGCGCAGCCACGAAACTTCCTGGAAGAAAAATTTAATTAGCAGACGAGGGGGACGAGCGTTGAGAAATATAAACACATGTTTTTATTTCGAGATTTTCTTATTGTCGAGTGTTTATTAAGGAAATACTGCATCCATTGGGAACAAAAACAGAATGCTACGAAATAGTTTCAATAAAGATTATTATTTAAAATTGAGTATTATTCGTATACATGATATATCATATAGTAATACGGTAATGAAACATTTCGAATAATTGAGAACAATTATTCCAATGAATGTTAATTCAAATACAATAAATATAATAGATATTTAATTAATGCAAAAGATTTTCATTGTTAAAGTTGTAAACATATTAAAGAATAATAAAGAATATTAAACATATTGGAAACCAATTCTAATTTATAACTTTTCAGATTATAGTTTCTGTTCAGAAATCAAGGCTTGTTAGTCATGCTTAAATAAAATAAAATTTAGATTACGTATTTAATTAAGTTAATTTAAACTTACACTGAAAATTGTATAAAATGTAGTTAAAATGATATTACAAAACCAAATTATTTCATATGATCAAATATATAATCAATGAAATAATTAAATTATCCTAGAGAAAGATTGCAACATAAACTCTAATTTATTTGAAATATTTTTAAAAAATCCAAACTAAAATGGGAAATAGTTATTAAACAAAGAAATATTTATATTTATATCAACAAAAATGAACAAAACTTTCATTTAATCTTTTCTCTTTCCATCTCAAAGTGAATAATATGATACTTACAATAATTAACAATATTTCCATAATAAAATAATAATGAACATTACCCATTATTGATAAATCAAAATGTTACCGACTTCCAGTAAAATTCCGTAGATAACCAGCATAAACTGTCAGGGCGTTCTACGTATGGCGTCGTTCGCATCGCATCGCGCCCTTCAAATATGCAAAGGGTATAGCAGGATAAGATGGTCAAAAGTGCCCTTGAGCCGAATTTGCTTTGCAATGCACCATTCAATAGCATATCCCAAAAAACCATGGTACACCAAGTTTCAACCCTGTACCTCAACCGGGAGGGTAGTTACAGGGTAAGAAAGAAAAAGTAGTTTTTGCCATATTTTCCCTATTTAATGGCATTCAAAAAATCTGAAAAAATTCTAGAATATTCTAGCCATGTTTCTTTATGATTGTGAATTTTCTCAGTTTTTTCGGTTGCAAATCCTAGGCGTGAAAAATCAAAAACGCAAAAAAAAGGCGAAAAATAGAGATTTCGGGTAGAAGCTTTCGAGACACTAGATTTTTACTTTTACAGTAGTTAGATATTAGCATGACTGGTGTCCTCAATTTTTTTCAGATTTTTCATTCTGGTGCGTCAAACCGAAAAAAATCAATACTTAATAATAAAATATTTCAAAATTATTTTCATACGTTATTAAATGATTATTGTGTATTCTTATGTGATTAATAATTAAAAAAAAAATTGTTTTATGACAAAAAATATAATTGTACATTCATGGGGCGCGAACTCGTGACAAAAAAGTTTCCAGCGGTTCCATAGTCGGACACCTTACCAACTTATCCATCGGCAACGTTAAAAAACTTTCTAATATTTTAGAGGATAAGGTGCGTAATTTTCAATTATTTATAACAACTTCACTCTCTCCATTCAGATTTTACTGCATCCAGTGCAAAAATGTTCGAAATCACATAATGCACTAAGTGTGTAAAGGAAATGTAGAAATTGAAAGTATTTCTTATGTTATCGCACGAAATATGTCGAAAATATCGGTTTTTGATTTTTTTCGGTTTGACGCACCAGAATGAAAAATCTGAAAAAAATTGAGGACACCAGTCATGCTAATATCTAACTACTGTAAAAGTAAAAATCTAGTGTCTCGAAAGCTTCTACCCGAAATCTCTATTTTTCGACTTTTTTTTGCGTTTTTGATTTTTCACGCCTAGGATTTGCAACCGAAAAATCTGAGAAAATTCACAATCATAAAGAAACATGGCTAGAATATTCTAGAATTTTTTCAGATTTTTTGAATGCCATTAAATAGGGAAAATATAGCAAAAACTACTTTTTCTTTCTTACCCTGTAACTACCCTCCCGGTTGAGGTACAGGGTTGAAACTTGGTGTACCATGGTTTTTTGGGATATGCTATCGAATGGTGCATTGCGAAGCAAATTCGGCTCAAGGGCACTTTTGACCATCTTATCCTGCTATACCCTTTCAATCATTCAAATTCAATCTGACACAAATTACAATTACACGCTTATAACAATTAAATTAAAAGGAGAATGTTGACATAATTACTATTAAACAATTACTGCTACAATATTAGGTATACAAAAATATTATCGAATACAAAACATACAATGTAACAATGATTATTAATTAGGTTATCCTTTCACAATTCGTTTATAAGATGAATTTATTATTATTAATGAATAGATAATAAACAAGAATAATGACAATAATAGTAATAATAGAATAAATAAAAGTTTCGCTAATAGTAATAATAGAATAAATAAAAGTTTCGCTTACCTTCATTAACACGACGCTATGGATACGTCTTATCGCTTCGACATCCACGAGACCAATGAGGATGTTCTCCGTGTTGCCTTAAAGTCCTCTTGCGAGGAATGGAGGGGGTCAGGAAAAATCGTCGTTTTCTTACGTGCGAATGTTATTGAACTTAATCGCAAAATTATTATTGATATTTGTAGATGGTTTATTTGCAATTTGTTCTAATTAACATACATAATAACAATTTATTCGAACCAACAATGTTATAAATAATAAACATTTTGTACATTGACCTATATCTTATATACTTGAGTCATACATTAATATATTAGTAAAAATGCATTAAATAAAATACGTAAAATATTACATTAGAGTAAACTACTTTTTAACAATCTTGCAGCAATCATTAATAATATCACTTCTTCAATCACAATGTTCAAACCCTATGTTTTGAGTCTTTATTCTCACATTAATTAACCTCGCATTAACCTCGAGCAAAAGCTGTGCCACTTGTGCTCGTATGCGAATTCTAGTATGTTCAGTTCTATACCGTATTTTTGTACTAGTGTGTTACCTGTTCCTACAAAATTGAACATATTGTTCACTTATTCTGTCACGTATATGTATTCATGAAGTTTCTAGATTACTATCATACAATAATTAATATTTGTTGAATAGGATTACCTGGTCCAAAAGGTGAAAGCGGTGATGCAGGACTGAACGGGTATCCTGGAACACCGGGATTTCCAGGATTGCCAGGTCCCCGTGGATTTAAAGGAACTCAAGGCAAACCGGGTATTTCCGGTCCAGGAGGATTAGAAGGCGACAGCGGAAGACCAGGTATCGCTGGACCTCAGGGACCAAAAGGAGAGAAGGGAAAATTAATTCTACCAGATGGTGTCTTGATCGGAGAGCCTGGTGACTTCGGTGATAAAGGATTGCCGGGTATCGAAGGATCTGGAGGTCCACGAGGTGAACCTGGCTCTCGCGGTGACACAGGACCCCCAGGACCCAAAGGAGAGAAGGTAATAATATTTTAATAAAGTTCAGTGTTATGAACGCCAAAATAATGTAAAAAATGGAAGTCTAAATCACGTTCACAAATAATAAGATAATGTTTTTACAAATATGAAAAATAAAATCTGAAGCATTAAGACAACATACCGTTTCCATTCATGAAAATTTATAAAATAAGAGGCCTGCCTTTATTTTAGGGTGACCATGGTCCTCCAGGATTTTCGGGGCGTAATGGTTTTCCAGGTTCAGATGGTATTCCCGGTCCGAAAGGTGACGACGCTTTGACACCAATCGAATTTTTGCGTGGAGAACCAGGTCTTCCAGGTAGTCCTGGTCTTAAAGGTGCAGAAGGTGATAAAGGTGCAAAAGGAGAACGTGGACAATCCTCGCAATACGCTATTAATCTGAAAGGAGACAGGGGATACAAAGGAGAACGAGGTGCTCCAGGTGAGAAATAAAAGAAATGAATAATTATTTATTTAGAAGATAAATTCGTTTTAATACAATTTTATAATAAAATGGCGAAGCAGTATCAAAGTGATCAATACAGAATTTGTTCCTTGTAGGAGAGGACGGTGCTAAAGGAGCTCAAGGATGGTCAGGTGACGAAGGATTCCCTGGATTACCTGGAATTCCTGGATCCCCTGGTATATCACCTCAAGGTCCTATGGGTTTGAAAGGATACCCCGGAATGCCGGGAGAACAAGGTCCCCGTGGTCCATCGGGTACACCGGGACCACAAGGACCTGTTGGTTTTTCGGTAAATATACAAGCAATAACTACCACAAAAATAATAACCATTGATTAGTATCATTGATTAATATCTATTTAACTTTTTATCTACTATTTTAGGGTCGCATAGGCAACAAGGGTAACCGCGGTGACCCGGGTACGAATCAAACGTACGGTAATTACGGATTAATGGGTTTGGCTGGTGAAAAGGGAGACATTGGTAGTCCTGGACCACAGGGTTTCCAAGGTAGATCTGGAATAGACGGACCGAAGGGTGTGAAAGGTGGCAAAGGTGCCCCTGGCTTAGAAGGTCAGCCAGGACTACAGGTAAAGCAATTTTTACTTATATTAAAGAACAATAAAAATCAATGTAGAGATTCAACGAATGAAATCAATCTATAGGGTGCTAAAGGTCAACGAGGTGACAGTGTGCAAGGACCTCGAGGCTTCCCTGGATTAGCTGGCCAACCTGGAATGCCTGGAAGAATGGGAGAAGCCGGCATTCCAGGTATGATTACTTTCTAATAATTACATTCTGATTAAGCAGTTTGTCGAAGAAGCATTACCTTAAAAAAAATAATTTCTTTTCAAGGACCCGATGGACCACCTGGATTTGATGGAATGAAGGGTCTTAAAGGTGAAGTTGGATTCATAGGGCGTCGGGGTGACGATGGTGACATTGGTCCCATGGGTTATTTGGGAAGAGACGGAACGCCTGGTATGCCAGGTCCTCCTGGCGAAGAGGGTGACGTTGGTGAAATCGGTGAACCTGGTCCTCGGGGTTGGCCCGGGTTGGACGGAGTCGCGGGGCTACCAGGTTTTAAAGGGGAACAAGGAAAGATCGGTGTGCAAGGTGTTCCGGGAGGTCTTGGACCACCTGGCTTTAAGGGTGCCTCCGGAGATGCTGGCCCAGATGGTTTGGACGGACTTCCAGGTGAAAATTCGTTCAGCGGACCACAAGGTGATAGAGGTGAACCCGGTTTCATGGGAAAAATCGGTGCGCCTGGATTCCCTGGCGTTGATGGACGACCTGGACTGCCTGGTGAACCTGGTCTGGCAACTGATGGATTCGATGGCTTACCAGGATTGATAGGTGAACCTGGTTACGATGGATTCAATGGAGTGCCTGGACCAAAAGTGTGTATTCACTGATATTAATACTGAATCACTTTCACTATTATACTGAAACCATTAACAATCTCGTGAGATAATATTTTTATTTTTAACAAATCTTATTTACTATTATGTAGGGAGAAAGTGGTGATATGGGTCCTGATGGTTTGAAAGGACCAAGAGGAGACTGGGGATTCAAAGGAAGAGCAGGAACCCCTGGTATCCATGGTAGATATGGTGGAAAAGGTGAACGAGGTCCAATGGGTCCGCCTGGTTTCAATGGTCCTAAAGGTAGACGAGGATTGGATGGTGATCCTGGTCAAATGGGTCTACCAGGTAAGCTTTGCAAACGCTTATCGAATTAATGTTGGCGACGCAATAATTAAATCTATTTGAATACAATTTACAATTACGAAACATCTTTCATATTGTATATTAAACATTTCATGTAGATAGTTAATATTTTATGAAATAATGTTTAATTTTTCATCAGTGTCTATTGCATTTTTAAAAAAAATTAATATTCATAATAATAAAAATATTGAAATACTAATGAGATTAATGTATGAATTTATTCAGGAATGCCTGGAGATCAAGGTCCTCGAGGATTACCTGGTTTGATGGGTACACCAGGACCAAAGGGACAGACAGGTGATCATGGTCTGCCATCATATGCTGAAGCAGAGAAAGGTGATTTTGGAAATCCTGGTCTCGAAGGTCTACCTGGAGTAAAAGGACAACGGGGTGATCAAGGCTACATAGGATTACCTGGTCGTAAGGTACACTGAAGAAACATTAAATCTTAATTTTTCAAGTGTTCGTTAAAGAGAATTATTTTACTATCTTCAAATCATCATGATTTTATTATATTTTAAACTATAAATCCAGAATACAATACCACTTTTGCAAACTTTAAAACTTCATTCAATAGTTTCATGATTAATTTGAAAATATCTGTAGCACCAATACTCATATATAAGATTTCTTTTACTACGACTACAAATATGATAAGAATGTAAGTAATTATATCAGTTTAATTTTGTAATATAACGATGTAAAATACTTCCAGGGTGAAAAAGGTAATGAGGGATTCTATGGACCAGATGGATTCCCAGGTGTGCCAGGATTCCCAGGACTTCCTGGTGACCAAGGACCTCCTGGTTTTCCAGGTAAAAATAATCTAAACTCACTAAAGCATTTATTGTAATCCAGTAATAATAACAGCTGAATAAAACAATAATAAAGGAAATATTTTATTTTATGCAATATAACATATTTTTTTCAGGAGCACCTGGTGATTTTGCTGAACGAGGAGAAGCTGGACGACCTGGATTGGATGGAATACCGGGTACTCCTGGAATTCCAGGACAAAAAGGTGCTCCAGGACAATATGGACCCAATGGCCCTAAAGGAATTCGTGGAGAGATTGGTCTAACCATTCGTGGCCCCAAAGGAATTCTGGGAGATCAAGGTTACTAGTTCCTTTCAAATAGTATTTCTTTTTTTTGCTATAATATATATTTTAGTTATATTTTAATATATAAAAACAATAATATTGTATTTTTATTTCTTCATCAACAATACTATAGTTTCAACAAAATTTCTAACAAAAAATTCATATACATTGATATTTAGGTCCAAAAGGATTCGCTGGTTTCCCTGGGGCTCCAGGATTACAAGGATTACCAAGTCCACCTGGACCACCAGGACCAAAGGGTTCTCAGGGAGAACCTGGACTTCCTGGAATCTCTATTAAAGGACAACAGGGTGAACCGGGACTGCCTGGATTCAATGGTGGAATAGGATCAAAGGGAGAAAGGGGCGACACGGGTCTTCCTGGATTTGCAGGACTGCCTGGACATAAAGGAGAACGCGGGGATGAGGGCGAACCTGGTGTATCTGGAATGATAGGTTCTCCAGGTCCAAAGGTTAGTTGTTACAATTAATATTGTACATTTTATTCGATGATAGCATATGCGATTTTTAAAGATCCTAAACTTATTCGAGTCAATCCTTTTCTAAAAATTATTGAATTAGGAATTATGTGACACAGAGTAAATACTCCAAACATACTTCACTACTATATGTAAATTTCTACTATATTCTTTATAAAAATTACTTGATAGGGACCAAAAGGAAATCGAGGTAACAATCCATTCTCACCTTTCCCAAGGAAAGGACTACCTGGAGACACAGGACCTGAAGGATTACCAGGTATTGTCAATAATAAACAGTAAAATATTTTCGAAGATCATTTTGTTTAATAACAGTTAAAAATATTGTTTAAATGACTGTTAATATAGGTTTCCCTGGGCTGCAAGGAATGATGGGTGAACCAGGCCTAGATGGACTGCCTGGAAGAGCAGGAGAACCTGGAATGATTGGGGCACTAGGACTTCCAGGACCAGAGGGCAAAGAAGGTCCTGCTGGTTATTCTGGTCCTCGTGGTGCCGTTGGACGTCAAGGACCCCCGGGTAAGAAAAATATGAATACAAAAATAACTTCAATATGAAAAAAGAAAAAAGTGAATAATAATCTTATAAAAATTAATAATTCTTGAACATATTATTATTCACACCTGATTTATATTACCTGGTATTTTGCAAAACTGAAATCGTAAATGGTAATTTTTCAGGATACCCTGGAATCCCAGGAGCTCCAGCACCTCCAGCACCAGGACCACGAAACAGAGGTTTCCATTTTGCTCGACATTCACAATCCGAAATGATACCACTCTGTCCATCAAACACCGTGAAACTATGGGATGGTTTCTCTTTGTTGCACATAATGGGCAATGGAAAACCATACGCGCAAGATCTTGGTAAGAAAAAAAAATCGAGTATTTCAAACTAGTAGAAAATTCAAAATGTTATTTCTTAATTAATTTGTTATTCTGTTAGCTTATCACCGGACTAATAGAAACAAATATTTTATATTAGAGTAATTGTTTTACATCTTAAAAATTTGAAACTTAAAAATTAGAGTTTTGAAAATCTATAAAATGTATTTTTAATATACGATCTGTTTTCATTCAAGGTGCGCCCGGAAGTTGCGTGAGGAAGTTCTCCACCATGCCTTTCATGTTCTGTAACATCAACAACGTATGCGATTACGCGAATCGTGATGATTACAGTTACTGGTTAAGTACAACTGAACCTATGCCTATGTCTATGACGCCGATACCGGCACCGGAAATCGGCAGATACATTTCCAGATGTTCTGTTTGCGAGGCACCGACTCGCGCAATCGCGGTCCACAGTCAAACCATGTCGATACCACAGTGCCCGGGTGGTTGGGAGGAACTCTGGATCGGATATAGTTTCCTCATGGTAAATTCCTCAATTATTATTAGAAACATCTTCTTCTATTATTTGATGAGAGGGGTTTGATATTCATAATTTTTATAATGGAAAATGATTTATGATTTTCTTGTTGAAATTTAATATCGCCTTCGAGAGACTAAATTCAACAAAATTTACAGCACAGAGACGCAGGTGCAGGTGGTGGAGGTCAATCATTGATCTCCCCCGGATCATGTCTCGAAGAATTCCGTGCTAGACCGTTCATAGAGTGTCGAAGTCTTGGCACCTGCAACTACTTTTCCACTGCCACATCCTACTGGCTGGCCACCATCAAGGACCACGAAATGTTCCGTAAGCCTCTGCCGCAGACCTTGAAGAACGACCATACGTCACGAGTCAGTCGCTGTGCAGTCTGTATTCGTCGTCGCGTCAACGAGGACGGTAGTCAGTTGAAACCATTCACGTCGAACGGACAGAAGGAGACACTAGACAACATCCGGTATGCACCTCAGCCACGCTATCCTGATTATCAATACCCGAGGCAGGGTTCTCCAGGAAGAACAAGAAATCCGCACAGACGCATACCGTACCATTACCGAAAGAAAGGACGGTCCCGTAGACCGGACCGAACTACGGAGGTTCCAGAAGCTGCCTAAAAGTCATCGACGTGTCATGAAGTGACGTGCAGGGTAGCAGAGCGAACCCGTGTGTGTACATAACAAGATTTTCGAACCTGTTAGTTAAGTTATCGCGTCATTGTGTGGCGTAGCCGAGAGGAACGATGAATAATAAACGCCATAAGCGTGTAGCCACCTATTCGTGGCTGATGCCAAAAATTCACCGGGGACGCAAGTCCCGTTGAAACTGCCAATCGACATCCGCTTCGGGGCCCGAAGAACCCCGTCGTAACGATGAATTTAAATTAACAATACATGTATGATGTATGGCTATTGTAATAACTTGTTTATGTATGTATCTGCATTGAGTATAAAATAAAAAGTCTTTTGTAGAAGCTATCGGATATGACATTTTACACCATTTTAAATATGTTACGTTACCGGCTTATCATTCCTTTTTCTCCTTATTAACGAAAGAAATAAATTATTGAATAAATAAGTTATCATCAAATATTCAAATATTTTGTAAAATATCTCTAATTACAATAGAAAATGAATAATTTTCATAGGTAATGAAGAAATACATACATATGTATATGTATAGAATATTTTCACCTTCATTAGTTTTAGCGTTCACTGTTAAGCGGCGCTGATAGTACGGTTTGCAAAATGCGCATTGATGTAAAATTAAAAGATTTGTAAAAATTAAGTTTGCACATTGCTACCAATTTTTAAAGCACTTTGAAAAATTTATAATTTTTGTATAATGCAACATATATTACAAAATAACTGGTATAGATAAATAATTAATTTTTAAGTTTAGAGATTTAGATTGACAACATAAATGTTCAATTATTTTATTATAAATTAGAAACTCCAACTGGCATGAAATAACAATCTTTTTAACCAATCTTTTGAACCTTTTTAAAGCAACGTATCGAATAGCAGATATTTTAGTGTGTTATTTAAATATTAGACGTTTGAATAATTAAATGCCATTCTATTGTATTAAACAACTATAATATGTATTGAAATATGTTATCGTATATATAAATTAAAATAATTGATAATAATAATGATTACTGTATTATGTGTAATATTGAACAATATTAAATGTATTATAATATATGCTGAAAGAGTAACATCTATTACTCTATACTCTACACCAAGCTCCCTAAAACAAACTTTAATATTAAATATCTTGTGACCTATTACCTATGCCTAAAATCATATATCAGTAAACTCGGGGATATGAATATTTAACAGAATGCAATAGTTCATCGATTAACTGTAACGATAGATCTTTCCTTAGTAGATCTACTCTCTCTTGTCACGGATATCCACTTGCTAACTATTCCAGCATCGTCTATACGGCAACGTTGTTAACATCGTATATTTGTGCAATACATTTTCAGATTGGAACTGTATCTTACATCCACTCTGCTCAGGTTATCCTGTCTACGGATGAAGAATAAGATTGCAAAGCCCTTTCGCTAGGATGTTAGCGCATCTGATGATATGTTGCTACCGTTGCTCTAACGCTAACGGCTAACGTACAGAGTACGTGTACTGTAGCCGGATATCGACGCTCAAGGATGAACGCAACAACATAAATGAATTGTGGATCTATATAAAAATTTTTTGTTTTTATGAATTATTTCTATTACCTAAATTCAAACATTTTACAGATTTTTCATTTTTACATAAATACTATAAATTGATGTACTTAGAATTTTTGTTTGAAGTGGACATTAATTCTGATGGTTCCTTATTTTTGTCGCCGTTTTATTTCACAATTCCATGTAATAGAAAAGCAATATAAAAATGTAATTTAGTTTTATTGGATATTACATTTCGGTTCAATAATTTTTTATAGTAAAAAAGGATCTAGCCTGCATTTTTCAACCTTGAATTTTTTAATACTTATAATCAAAACGAAATTTTTCTGCAATAAAATATAAAATAATATTTGCTCTCCTACAAAATTTTACCGAGTTTCCACTAGTACGACTGCACCAAAGCCCTAAATACGATAGTGGCAATTGCCACCAGCAAAGCCGAAAGGGTTAAGGAGGACCAGACTCACCTAGTCAATGCAACTATGTAATTTACATATTTTTCATACGATATAATATGTTATAAATGCATAAACTTCTTCTGTGTGAATATAATTCATACTAAATAAAGATTTGATGCGTTTGCCAATCAAACCAGATCAAGAGATCAAATTAATTATATTCGATATTTTATTGTTCACAGAGTGAGTCATCTAACTTACGATTAGTTATCTTACAAGTTATCTTTGTTATTTGTAGAGTTAAGAAAAAGTTTATTCACAGGAATTAGGTATATATAAGTACATATATGTGCAATTGTATAGTATCAAGGTAATCGTAACATGGCAGCTGTAATTTTTTGTAGGTAATCTTCGAAAACTTTAAGATTAACTTTGTTTTTTCAAATGGAAATGAAAATCCCTTTTGTAGAATTTTTCGGAACATTCTGCTAAAAAGTTTATTAAGGTTTATTAGCATAACTTGCATTATCCTCTGGAGTAAATCCAATCCCTTAGAAATTTGGAAAAATCTGAAATTTTGGAATTTTGAAACTTTCAAGATCTAAAATTTTGGAATTTTATAATGGTGAAGGTCTACATTTTTCAGGAGTGGTCAAACCAGGCTCACCCTAGCCCCTACCTACTTACGCTAATGGCTAAAATATTTATAAAATTAACCACTTGTAATATATTTCAAAGTAAATGAAACACCTCATTTTCGAACTCAGAATATCTCACGAAATGAATCAACTTATTATAATAACAATTTGTATGTTTTTCTTTCTTTCTTTTTTGTAAATATAAGACAATAATTTCTTATAAATACACGAATTACTTCGGACCTTGTAAACATTTCAATTTTGTACAATTTAAAAATACTTAATAACACTTGATGTTCGACACTTTAGGAACATTGTTTTAAGCAAATGTTTCATTGTCAGTGACATAATCAACGCTGCGCGTAATATTATCTGCAGTTTCTCAATAGCACCACAAAAATTCTTTCATTGATGCTGGTGAATGAGATAACCTCTTCATTTCCTCTATGATAGGAAACAATTTACCTTGTCATTATACACATTGGCGTAACTGAGATTCTCTTCTGCGGTAGGTCAGGTCCATTAGCTCTGTAGCAGTATTAAGTGTTAATATTTCTAAATTTTAGAGCCTTAGTACCTACAATTTTTAAATCTGAAAATTACAGAACAGTGAGAGGGGGACTACATTTGGGGGAGGAGGGCACTACCCTAATCCCTACCTTGTTATGCCAATAATTACACATAGAAATTTAAAATAAACATATTATTGTTAATTATAGCATATGTTTCTCATAATATAAATAAAGCATAAATTATGCACGACTTTAAAAAAAGTTTCCTTACTCTTACACTAATAACACAGAAAATTATTTTTTCCCCTTAAAAATGAAAAATCATTGTAATATGTCCCCATTAGACAGGATGTCCCAGGATTAAACGATCAAACTGCACCAGCATGTTCTATGAGTAAAAATAAGAAATAAATGTTATATAAACATAGGTCCGCAGATGCTTTATAAAATAGTTATAATAAAAAATCGTGTATCGTTCAGACGTTAATTCGCGGCATGAAATAATAGAAAGGATTAATAGTGCATTCCCTGAATAAAGCAAGATAAAGATGAAATTCGGAGAGTGATAAATTCAGTTTTCCTAAGATGTCAAGCTCGCATTCATAACGGTGGACAGCACTTTGAAATGGAAACATAAATTTCTCTTCAATCTAATAAAGTATAACTAAGCGTTTACAGGCCTATGTTTATATAACATTTTTTTCTTATTTTTACTCATCGAACATGCTGGTGCAGTTTGATCGTTTAATCTTGGGACATCCTGTATATGTATACATGTATAATAAATTTTAATTTTCACCTTACATCCTAAGCGTTTCCTCTTTCAATAATTTTCTCAAATATGTTATCAAAATATGCATAAATTTATTGAAATTTTGTAAAATAAATTCTCCATCAAATATTTAATAAAAAATGATCATCATACGTTGCAGTAGGTACTACACTATTTCCGTTATGTTTGTATGAACGAAGAACGAAAAGGATGTACATATTTCATTTCACATATATTGATACAAAATGTATATTATCGGTGCTTATCATCAACAGTTCAAGGTCTTTCCGTTTTATGTACATATAAAATCGTCACCAACTGCAACGGGTTGTGCACTTCGCAAATAAGAGGGCTGGATATTACGTCCATAATCCTACTTTTTATTTCATTGTCAGTATTTTTCATCACCGTGTCACGACAATAATAATGCAAATCATATGGATTTTGTGAGTAATCATTGTGATAAAAATATTCAGTTAACGTAAGATAACTAATTGATTTGATTTCTAGTGTGTTCTTTGGTATAATTGCCAGTGGCACTTGCAACATCCTGAATCATCACCTTAATTCAAGGTGGTCATTTGGTGCAAATAAAGAATCCATCACTGAAGAATCAAAAATAGAACGATCTCTTTGTACCACTAAACAATGTCAAGAACTTGGTAAGCAAGAAACCTTAATTTTATTGTTATTCCATCAACTACAAACTTGGTAATATTTCTAAATTCTTCTCTGATTTTTAGTATTTAAAATATTTCTTATATTACTCTAAAATCTTATGAAGAGTAAAAGTTGGAAGAAATAATCCTATAGTGCTTCTTATTTTTAATCTTGTCACTTCGGCGTGCTTTTTGAAAATAATTTATTGCACTATGTTCTTAGAAATTTATATTTTATATTCTTCACGTATGAGCATCCACTGTTAAAATCAAAATGGCTGATATTCTAATTAAATACTGAATTACTATGAATAAGCCTTCAGTTAATAATTTTATTTTCTCTATTATTTATTAGCAAAATTGTTAATGGAAGGCATGAAAAAAAATATCAACCCATGCGATGATTTTTACGAGTACGTGTGTGGAAACTGGAAAATACACAATCCTCTTCCTCCAGATGAAAAACGATGGAACTTGGTAGTTAAACTTCAAAGAAATGTTGACAGACGTCTGGAAGGTTTGTTGAGCGTTTGTTGGGAATAGTGCAAAATATTTTTAAAAATATTTTATTAAATAAGACCATAGGTATCTTTAAAAATTTCTTTTTATAAATAGGTGATAACATATTTCTTTATATCTAGACCAGAGCTACAAAATTTAAAGCAAATCGATACTGATTTTGAATCGCTAATTTAAAAAATGTGGTTGTAAGAAAATCGCATTTAGTAACTTTATCAAGAGGAGTAAAGACAACTGAATACCTTTTTATTATTCTAACGTTTTCCATTCACAGAAATACTAAAAAGTGAAGCAACACCTGAAGATCTCTATGCAGTGAGATTTTCTAAACGAGCGTATAATGTTTGCATGGACACAGGTATTTCTTGCAAAAATATTCACCGACATGAAAGACAATTTTTTTTTTATTAATTATGGAAATCTATAAGTTGAAGCTTACAATTAATTTATAGACGAAATGGACAAAGCAGGACTTCAACCACTCGTGTCTACATTGTGGAGAGTAGGTGGATGGCCATTAATAATGGAAGAAGAGGAATGGGACGAGCAAATATTTAAATGGCAAACCATAGACGATTATTATGCTAATATAATAGGTTTAAATGCCTTTCACGACTTGCACATTGTCCAATACTGGAGCAGTAAAGAATATGATATAATTGTAAGTACTCCTCACGTATAAATTCAAATACATACCACTGATATTAATTAAGATTCCTCGTTCATGGTTTAAAACTTTAACCTGCAAATTAAATTAATAAATAATCCCAACAGACAATAATTTTATTTTTAATAGATTTGATCTATTATTTTGATGACAGTTATTTCTAACAGCGGTGTATTCATGTGTTTAATTAATACACTAATTACCATATCACCCACATTTGGATTTTAGGAATATTTTTATGTACTTAATTAGAAATATTTGTGTTAAATCAGCGTCAGATAAAAGGGTGGTCTCCCTTCGGTGGCAGTGGAAGCCGCCCCTTCCGCTGCATTCTTCAGCTTTACTTTCCGCGCCCCATTCCAAACCTTCTATTAACTGTATCAAAGATTCTCTTTAATATCTCTTTAATTTTATAAATATCTTTAATTCCCAAAATTAAAATTTTTACTTTAAACTATATTTTGTAATGATAACTTCTAAAATTTGATTTGTATTTATAAATTTATTTATTCTTACAAATACTTTATTACTTTCTACATTACATGCTATTACCATATTATTTTCTTTTGTAATTTTTACTTTATCTTCATCTATATTAATTTCTTTGATTAGAGGAATAATAATTATATTTAACTATTTCATCAGTTTAATTAATAATGAAAACTTGTTACTACCTTATAACAAGGTAGTAACCTTGGCCCTTTCTCTTTAGTATTAAATGCTATTTAATTTTATTTATAATAAATTTCAATTTTTCAACCAAGATTATTAACCAAGGTGCCCTCAAACGTTTGATAACCTTACGCAGCAGAAACTTTAGTCCGGTCCTGTGTTAGGTACTAAAGATTATGGACAAGATCACTTCTAAAGATTATGTTTCAGATCACTTCTCCCCATCTACCCCGAATGATGAGCGAACTTATAACTACGGAAGAAATAGACATGGATAGCAGTGATGAAAATAACGATAGTGGAGAAGGAAGTCAAGAAAAAGGTAGCGAGGAAGATGATAGAAAGGACGATGATGAGAGCGAAGACGATGAGGAGGAAAACGACGAGAAAGATGAATTTATTCTACATAAAAGGAAAATAACCAAAAAAAAGATTAATAAACAACTGGCAAATAAAACAAGAATAAATAAGCACATCAAAACTAGAACAAAGAGAAGCATAACAACAAGAGGAAATAAACACAGACAAATTTCTGACCATAAGATGAACAAATTGTTCAAATATAAACCAATATCTCAACCTAACAGTGTTAAAGAATCTGCAATAAATTACAATCTAAAAAACAAAAGAGAGCATGAAAATTTGAACAGTGACTTATATTTCAATGACGATGATGTTGAACATGAAAATATTAATGACGATGACATTGTTAGTTATAGTGATAATGAAGAAGAGAATGGAAACATCGAGCAAGATAAAGATAACAAAGAAAGCAGTGGTAATTACAATGATGATGAAGAAAACGAAGAAAGTGGTAGCGGCAGCGGTGATTATGAGGATGATGATGATGATGATGATAATGATGATGATGATGATGGCAGTGGCAGTGGCAATGGCGATGGTGAAGGCGATAAAACAGACGAAGATAATAGCAGCGAGGAAAGAAGAAAGGAACGCATGGACAACATAAAAAAAGCGAAGGAATTAAGGGAGAGTTATGCAAAGTATATGTTCAATGTTAGCATGGCACTTGCTAAAGCCAGAGGAATTCTTGTACCAGAAGAGAAACTGAAGAAAGATGTCGCGGATTTGTTGGAATTTGAGATAAATTTGTTAAAGGTAACTAATGGATTTCATATTATTCAGTGCATGTCAAAATTTCCATCGTTGAAAAAGTACATGACTTTAGTCTTCTAAAAATAATACTTATCTTTTATTAATTAATTATTAAACGAAATTTAATTTTCTTCGTTACCCGATCAATGGAAAGTTTTCAGAAAAATAAAATTCAACTGTTCGTGTTTGCAACGTTACATCCCTTGCCTGAAAGAGTGCTAGATAATGATGGATAATATCTTGAATAGAAACATTGCAGTCTTTATAAAACGTTATTCAAGAAATTTCCTCCAAGGTTAAAAGAATTATTTCATACTTCTAATAGAAACAGCACATTACAATTATAGTTATTTCATTTTTTAATTTAAACTTTCCATTTACAACCTAACGAAATTAATGCTATTCAAAATTTTCTTTATTTTTTTATCTTTCAATTATTCAAATTTGCACTGCTGGCATTGGCGTAATTAGATGGGGGTCACGGTGAACCCGAAAAAATCTAGACTGGACCTTTCCCAAAAATGTGGACCTTCACCATTCGAAAGTTTTAAGATTCCAAAAGTCCAGAATTCCAAGTTTTCAAATTTCCTTCGTTTCAGAATTCTGGAATTACAAATTTTTAAATTTGCAGAGTTCCAAAATTCAAAAATTTTGAGAACTTAAGATTCTACAATTTCAAACTCTCAAAATTTTGCGAACCTAAGATTCTACAATTTCAAAATTTCACAATTTCATAATTTCTAAATTTCTAAGAACCCCAGAAGAAGGTCCAAGGTACTCCAATGAATGTTGATCAATAACCATCATTGAATTCAACATTTTAAACTTCTTAAATGATTTTTGCAACATACTACTACAATACGTATTTTTTCAGATCGTATATAAGTATGGAGAAGAATTGAACATGACTCTTCAATTATTTCAAAAGAAATACGATTGTTTGGTACCTGTAACAAACAACGGAGAAGTAAGAAATTACGTTTGATTCAGAGAACGGACGAATTTAATTGTGAACTACAAATAGTATAAATCGATTTTCTAGATAAATTGGATAAGAAAAGTAGAAAACCTTTTTATCAGTGGAGGAATGGAGATTGATAAAAAAACACCGGTCGTTATCCCATCTTTTAGCTACATCAAGAATCTTAAAAAATTATTGGACAAAACACCGAGTAAAACAATTGGTATGCATATCCTTTGTAAATAAAATACAACGGTACTGATTTCATATTAATTGATTAATGATTGATGATCAATTTTACACAGTAAATTACGTACACTGGAATTTCCTTAGTAGAGTAATAAAGAGTACCACAAAGGAAATGAGAGATTGGTACTGGGGTAGCGAAATAATAACTGTTAAAAAAAGGTAATGAGTAATTTACAATAAAATGAAAAAAGAAACAATTAAACAATATTAATTCCTATATAGATCAAACCTATGCATCACTGAGATAGGAGCTGAATACAGTTTAGGATATGAATATGTAAAGAAATATTTCTCGGATAAAATCTTGCAAACGGTAAAGATTCGTGTGAACATTACAAAAATTATAATATATTCAGATAAACAAATCTCGTGCTGATAAAATGTCACTCATTGATGGAATTAATAAAGGCTTCAGATATGATTGACGATATTGAAAAGGAAGTCGAGTATCAGATCAAAGAATCAACTTGGATGGATATTGAAACTAAACATTTCATCTTAGATAAATTGGTGTACCTGAAGAAACTAATTGGATATCCAAAGTCATATCGAAATAATACTATTATGAATCAACTCTTTAAAGGTGTAAGTTTCTATCTTTCATCTCAATGGCATAATTATGTAGGGGCCAGGGTGGATCTGACTCCTCATCATTTTAAAACGTTAAAATTCTGAAATTCCACAATTTCACACTGCCAAAATTCCAGGATATCAAAATGAAATTCCAGATTACCAAAATTTAAAAATTTAAAAATTTCTGTGGTACTTGGCTTGCTCCAGAAAAAAATCCTAATTATGCCAAAGCTTTTTATTTGTAATTTTTTTTTCTTTATGTCTTTTCGTTTTTGGTTTATTTAATTTAATTAATTCTTAATTGTTTTTTAGCTTAGCGTTAGCCGATCGCATTACGATAATATTCTAAGCATAATGAGATATCTGAAATGGCAAAAATTAAAATTAATATTCAAAAAAGAGATTGAAACTTCTGAAGAGTGAGTATGTTGTCTGTAACTAAATCCAACGAAAATCCTACGCTTTTGCAATTATTGAAAAATAATTATTATTTCAAAGATTTTCAATAAAATGAAGAATAATTAAAGGAAAAATTCGTTTACAGATTTGTCATGAATCCTTTAACAATAAATGCCTTTTTCATAGTCTTTTACAATGCCATAGGTAAGTTATTAAAATACACGACAAATCTTTTGCATGACTTAATTTTCTTAACATTATTCACAGTATTACGGTTTTTGATTACAGAGGTAACTGCGGCAGACTTTCAGAGTCCTTTCTTCGATTCTCATCAACCATGGTATGCAGAAATTAACATTCCTATTTTTATATTTTAACGTTACTATAAAAATGCATTTTATTTCTTTCAAATAAAATATTTCTTTAAATTATATAGGTTTACCAATTTTGGGGCTATTGGAGCCATTATGGCTCACGAAGTGAATCATGGTTTCGATAGCAGTGGTAAATTACTTGATCTCTAATTACAACTTTTCCGTGACATTAACGTGACAATAACGATTTCGTTAGGTCGCGTATTTGACAAATGTGGTGAATACATGGCATGGTTACCTGCAATGGCAGAAGCATACGAGAAAAGAGCAGAATGTTTTCAAGATCAATTTACCAAGTATAGTGTGGTATACAATAAAACAGCGAATATCCCGATAGAGGTAATTATATGAAACAAACAATTTGTAGACATATTTACAACTAGCAATTTAAAAGTGAATTACAATTTTTCTAAATAACAGAAGCGAATTTATTGCTACTGATTTGCAAACAAAGTAATTACATATTTATTAGAATTAAAGGAAATAATACTAAATTGGATAAATTTTAATGTTTAAGATAACAAAATTTCTGAACATAATGCTGATATTAAAAAATTTGTTTAATATTATTATATTTTTCTAAAATTAGAGGTCTATTGACATTATTCAGAATTTCTCAATTTTTTATGATATCTTTTACGTAAAAAATAATGTAGACTTCTAAGAACATTTTTGAAAACTCTGTTCTGCCGATGTTGAAAATTCACATAAATTCTAAATTCTAGATTATTACTATAATAATTCACTGAAACCTGACATTTTTAATACATCTGGAAGTGAAGGATTTAAATAACATATTAGATTAATATTATAAGAATTCATTGGAAGATTCATTGTTGAAAATTAAAATTTTTTACATGCTTATTCGAACACGAATTCTTAAGAATATAACACGGTGGACAGAAAGCATCTCCCACCCTCTGAATACTAAATTTTATAACTTTCAAAATGGTCAGTATTAAGTTTCACTCATTTAAGAATATCCCCAGTACGTTTAATATGGAATTATCTATGTTAATAGGTTAATAATAATTCTTACTGAATCGAAATTTTAAGAGTATTAAACTTCTCACACGTGCAATGTTGCACATTAAACCTATATACATGTAATATAATTTAAAACGTCTATTAAGTTGAATTTCATTTATTTAACAAATATTTTATGTATTCATAATTGCAGGATTACGGTAAACAAACCGAAACAGAAAATATTGCGGATACAATGGGTTTGCAAGCCGCATTCAGAGCTTATCAACGAAGGCAACGAATATGTGAAGAACCTGACCCCATGTTGCCAGGATTAGAGAATTTCAGTAACGAACAACTCTTATTCATATCCTTTGGCAACGTAAGTTTCATTTTTCATTTTTTTTTCTTATATAATATATTCAACTTGTCAAAAGTATTTTAATAAATAAAAATAATACTATAAAAATTAATCAAATAGCAATCTTCCTCATTAGCACAACTATAATTTTTGTTTGAAGTAGACTAGGTTCCATAGCTGTTCCAAAAATATCAAGTAATATCTTCTATTATTCAATTGTAACAAACTTTTTATTTATCTTTTTACATAATAGGAATATTATTGCATACCTTGTATTTAGTTACATTACATATTACATGTTACATTTTGATCTACGTGTTTGTTTACATAAAGATAAGACTATAAGCTTATTTCAATAATTTGTTATCAGGAGCCAGTCAGCATTTTCAGGGGGTCTAAGTCTACTCTGTCCCTTATCTACTTATGTCAATAATCTTTATGACCGTATTAAGACTAACTAATATTGAAATTGTGTTTTTAAATTTACAGTTATGGTGTGAAGTCGCGGATCCAGAAGAGTTAGGAAAGAAAGTGCGAAGGGATTCTCATAGTTTGGCTCCGTTAAGATTGATTGGTTCTATATCGAATTCCGAGGATTTTGCTAAAACTTTCAATTGTCCAGAAGGAAGTCCAATGAACCCGAAGAAGAAATGCAACATATGGAAATAAGAATAATGCTCATATTGAATGCTGATACTTTCAATCTTTTATAATGAATATTTATACAATTTCACAATACTTCTAATACAATTCGTATCTATGAAATAAAATTACTATAGAAAATATTTTTTTATTTAATCCTATTCCTGTGATTTAATTCTCACCTGTAATATTTGAAGCAACGTTAATAAGTTCGACACGTTAGTATGATTCATTTAATACCTGGTATTTTTGTTATGTATTTTGACGTTCTGAAACATACAATTAAATGTCAATTTGTAATTATTTTGGCTTCCAAGTTTTCCTAACATCACTCGAGAGAATCGCACGGTCGATCTTAAATTAATACAAATCTAATCGATCTTAAAAAAATACAAAGAATTGTATTTTTTTTGTGTCAAATACCAACACAATTATTATAATTATATGCTTATTATTAATGTTTATATTTTCTATAAAAATGAAGAATCAAGAGATGAATATATTTTTAACATAAGAGTTCAATCTTTTGATACCAAAATTCCAAAGGTTCTGATGTAAAACATGGAAAATGAATGAATAAAATTTTAAAAATCCATTCTTTTCATTTCATTTCATTTTCGTTTCAACAAATACATTTGCCTTTTTTCTTTATTAAACTAACCGTAAAGTACATTATATTACTATTAAAAGTATATTTTGAAAATTGTTAAAGACAATACTAACGATATTTCTCTTTAGTTTACATTAAAATTAATAAACACTCAGTTTATTAATTACTAATAGCATTATAATATACATATTCATTATACTGTATCAAAATCTTATAATAATTTATAGTAATTTTAGCTCGTTTCATGCTATTCAGTTGGAATATTTATTTTCATAAGACTCACCTTTGTTGAAACCATTATGGTTCATCAGATAGGTAATTCATAAATTCGATAGCAGTGATGAATCGTTGCAAAATCTTTCGTAATTTCTACAAAGAATAGGTACTTAATGGGTTTCTTGTATAATAGCAACAGGTAATTTCATCAAAAACTCTACAATAACAGATGAATGTAATATAAGAAGAAAATGATACCTCATTAAGTTGGACAAGTATATTATACAATTCCATTGTTTAGGTACATAAATATCTTTTTCTCTTAATACTTATTTTGTGAATGTTTAATTAACATTATCAATGTATCAAAATCAAGATTCATTAATTTTTATTTAACAATAATAAAATCCTAATTTTTTACTTTGATTGCATGTTAAACGAACGGTAATTACAAATAAAACCTATTTGTGTGAGTTAACTTATTAATAATTGCTCGTAATAAATTAGAATACATAAGTAATATAAAAACTATTAAAATTCATATGTATTTGGCTATATAACTACATGATTTTATACAATATGTATTCTCTTCGCAGGTTATTAAAATTATTATTTAAATTCGCAGACTTATCAGAAAAAATTATTATAATAATATATTAGAGAAGCTTACTATACATGTTATAGTAGAATATTTAAAAAAAATCATTAAGCAAATCCCTGAAACTTCTTTTTATAATTACAATATTAGAAAATAAAATTCAATCGTATAAAGCACAATGCAAATAAAATGTTACATTGGTACAACGTTTAATTGTCCCCAAAGGAACTCTTTTTGAAGTAAGATAACGTTAAAACCACCTTTTAATACCTAAACATGTATAATGGGATATCTTTAATGCCACCTCAAAAAATTAAAATTACTTTATCTATTTTGTTACACTTAATAAGAATAAAATTTCTCTGCAAAATGGGCAGAGCTTTTTATTTTCTAAAATTCCGTGCTTCAAAGAGTTAACGGATTCTTAGATATCGACTTATAAATAGATATAATTAAGAAATAGAAAATTAAAATTTGAAGAAAAATATTAATTTTCCTATGATGAAACACCCTGTACACGAAGCGTATTTTATAACACCTACGCCCCTAATCAGTTTCATCTGATTGCAAACTATCAAACTACTGAAAACTATTAATGAACACAATCATCCATACCAAGCGGAAACAATTTCTAAATAAAGCTCCTGGATGCGATAATGAGACGATGCATCTGTAGAATCACAAGGGCAAAGGATGCACATTTTTTTCTGTCTAACTTCAAAGCCAGGAACTTTATGTTATAACATCTTATCAATGCATATCACATATAGTTTCAGGGTTACCTGGTAATCGCGGGTATAAAATTGACACCCATTCATCTTTCTTACACACTGTAATACAGAAGACTGGTTACCACATTGGAAGTCCGACTTCTATTTTCACGAAGTGGGGTTTCAATTTCGTCGTTGACATGTTACGGCTTTTGATTTTGTAAGTACATATCCTCTTTTATGAATCACTTTCTTTAGCAGGTGGTTTGTCAAATTAATTTTGTGAATATGTTATTAGAGCGTCTTTAGGCGCTGTTATAAACGCCAGTCTTTTACCTGATCATATCCTGAACTACCCTCGAGGTTTGCAAAGTTTATTTGGCACCAAACGGGAAACTGGCGGTGAAGAGAAAGCGGAAAGGAACGTGTGTAATAGTGCGGAATGTAAAGTAATTGGTAAGTACAAAAAATGAAGACAAGATTCTGATGATTGGAGTGGAATTAAACTGAGCAATGGAATTTGATATCCTTCTATGTACTATAATAATTTATTAAAAAGATACATACTCATTGGCGTAATTAGAGTTTTATTCTAAGGTGGGCCAGGTCTTTTAGAAATTTAGAAATTTTGGAATTGGAATTGTGCAATTTTGAAATTTTGTAATTTTGATCATGTGGAATCTTGAAAATCTGAAATATTGGAATTCAGAAATTTTAGAACGGTTAAACTCACTCTGATCCCTACTTACAATTAGTAACGCCAATGTAGATACTCGAAACCGTAAACACAAAAACACTTATCATTAAAGATATTTCGTTGCAAATCAAATTTGATGCAAATCATTTAAATATGTATAAATGGATAAGACCACATTAAAAGGGTTAAAGATGTTCATTATTAAGATAATAATCATTTTCTGTATTTGCATTACAGCTGATTTGCTCAAAACTAGTATGGACGAGACCGTAGATCCATGTGAAGATTTTTACGAGTTTGCATGTGGAAAATGGTCAATGAAAAATCCCGTTCCTGAAAATAGAACCGAATGGAGCTTGTGGATTATGGTGTCGGAGAAAGTTGAGAACCAAGTTCAATGTTTGTATTACCCTTTTAACCAGAATACTAATTTGACTATAATTCAAAAATAATTACATGGTAATATGAATTTTATTACCTTTTATTACTTTCAGCGATTATCGAAACTAAACCGAAACCCAATGATCTGTTTGCCGTCAAGCTTGCTAAGAAATGGTACGAAAGTTGCATGGATACAGGTATGTTTTTAAATATCGTTAATTATTTTTAGAAAATTAATATAAATTATTCTGCTTACAACATTTGTAACTTTGTTAAATTGAAAATAAGAAAGCAAAATGATATACGTTTGATTTTCTTATACAAAAATGTTAACAAACAAAGAAGAATATTCGATTATGCTCTTTGGAATATTTAAACTATTTTACTTTGAATTTATCAAGAATAATTTATACTTAACTCAATACTATCTCCTGACTGTAAAAACTATAAAAATGATAGGTTTAACATAACATAGGTAAAGGTTACAGACAAGAAAAGAACAGAATTCATCATTAAATTAAACGTTTAAATCACAGATATGATAGAAAGAAGAGGTGCGGAACCAATAATATCCACTCTATGGAGACACGGAGGATGGCCACTAATTATGGAAGAAGGTGAATGGGACGAACGCATATATCACTGGCAAATAGTCGACGACCATTTTGCTCGTTTATTAGGATTTAACGCATTTCATGACGTGCGTTATTCAAGTCTCACTTATGAAGACAACGATACAATACTGGTAATTTATAAAAATTTAATACTACGTATATACTAATCTATCGGGTCTGTCAATAAACAATGTCGTCTTAAGTTTAACTTTAACTTTAACTCCCTTGAATAATATTAAATGCCTATTAAATTAATACAGTGATAACATAGTATTATAACATTAATATATTATTAATATCACATACTTGCAGTTAGTACCTATACATGTAATATTAACACTAAACCTATCACACGCGGTCAAATGGAGACACGGAGGAGACACACCGTTTTTGAAATACGTATATGGACAATGTAGGAGTTTAGTGGAGGGGGAGAGAGGGTTTCGTCTACCCCAGGCCTGTCCAAGTAAGGGAATCCACTCCTGGAACACATGTTTTAGGTCCCCTTCCAACGCTGCTCCTTCAAGTAAGGTGGGACGGTTCCGACTACCGTCTCTCCGTCTTTCCTACTGTCTTTGGTAGTCGGAACCGTCCCATCTTACTTGAAGGAGCAGCGTTGGAAGGGGACCCAAAACATGTGTTCCAGGAGTGGATTCCCCTACTTGGACAGGCCTGGTCTACCCGAACGCCTTTAGTCCGGGCCGGGGGCCGCTAGGTGGCGGCGAGATGATCGGTGACAGTGTTCTCGCAAGCGGTCACCCGGCATACAGTTCGGTTATATAGAAGGTCCGAAGTACGGTATGATAAGTGTCTGGGGCAGGGATCGTGTGTTGTCAGCCCCACTGACGAATCTGACAGACGATCCCGAGACGGAAACGCCTTTTTCTCCTCCCTCCTACAATCAATACGTGCAATCAAGAATCCTATGATTTGTAAAAAGACGCGGTGGAAAAGAATAAAAGTAAACATTATTTATTTTTAAATATAAATAAATATTTTGTTCACTATTTAATTGTTCGTAATCTTCTCTACTCTATATTAAGAAATATGTCTTTTTTAAAGCGGTCATTTGACCGCTCAAGGTAGAGATAGGTATACATGAAGTATCGATAGGTTTGGTGTTAAATACTGAATTAAAGTATTAGAATATAAAATTATTTCTTCCGTCACGATTATTTCTACTCTTATAACGCTAGAAATACTGGCATTCGATACACACTGGCTTTTAAATTAAAAATACAATAGAAAAATAAATAGATACAACCAGCATATATAATAGCTAATTTTTTATCTCAATAAGATATATGTCAACAAAAACACTTTAACAAATTCTATGATTTAAAATAGAAACCTGAAACCTGTCATTTGAAAATCATCAATCAATAACTACCTGCTCGCTATTTTAGATTGATGCCCCCCATTTACCACTCGGTGTGGAAAAGTTACTTTCTGTTGATGCTATATTGAATAATATGGATAGCAGTGATGAAAACAACGAAAGCGGAGAAGGTAGTCAGGAAGCAGGAAGCAGAGAAAGAGGTGAAGAACAACAACAAGAAAACCAGGAGGAAGGAGAAAATGATGAGGAAGAAGAAGAAAACGATCTAAGCACCAATATAGAGAACAGAAACAAAATGGTCAGAAGGAAGAATCACAAACGACTTGGTCATGGTAGAAAACATATATCCAGGCATGGAACGAAGAAAAGGACAAAGAGAGACGCTTTGAAAGAAAAAATCGTGCATCAAATATTGCATCAACTGAAGAAGGCTAACGCGCACAAAGTGAAGTCATCGAAACGTGGACACCTGTCTATGATCAGTGGCAAATCGTCTATGAAAAAGAAGAATCATCAATTGCATGGAAAAATGGCGAAAAGAAAGAACAGCAAACGTCTGGGTCACGGTAAAAGGAAGAATAACAAGAACAAAGTGATGATAAAGCATGTCCACAATAGAAATTTGAAGAAAAAATCAAATGTTCACAAGAATAAACATTACATGCAGAGAAAGATTAACAATCATAGGGTTCATCATGCAGTGAATAAGATGAAAATAATACATCACAAAAAAATGTCTCTAGTTAATGACACTGAAGGTACAGACAATGACTTAGACAATAATGTTGACACTGAAAATGGTAATGAAGAAGAAAGTAACAATGATGAGAATAATGATGAAAGCAAAGATGATATAGAAGATGAAGAGAATGATGTAGATAACAAGAATGACGAAGAAAATGAAGAGGACAATAAGGAGAACGATGAAGAAGAAAATGAAGGAGAAGATGAAGATGAAGATGAAAAAGTAGACATAGAAGAATTAAAAGAAATGTACAAGGAATTTATGTTGAACGTTTCGTTAATACTTTCCAAAGCAAGAGGAATAGAAATATCGAGAGAAACATTGATGAAGGATATCAACGATCTCTTCGAATTCTCACTTAAAATGGCAGAAGTAAATAAATTTATCAATTTTTTCATTGTTCAATTGTAAAAGACAATACCGAATAGCAGTTCATTAATTAATATGTTCTTTTCTAGCTTACTCTGATAAAAGAAAAACCCGTAAACATAACTCTTCGAGATTTTCAAAAAGAATACGACACTATGGAATCCACCACACGCAATGGCAAGGTATAATATTTGACTCGTATAACACAACCATGTATAAATTGGCGTAAGTATAATCTTGGTCTGGGGTGGACTAGGTCCCTTTATTTTCATTAACAGTGGCAAATGTTTAATACAGAATTTTAGAATCCTATAATTTTGGGATTTTAAAATTTCAGAATTTTAGAACATCCGGGAGAGGCGCGGGGGGGGGGGGGGGGGGAGGGGGGGGGGGTGCAGATTGGCCCCTATCCAATTAGCCAAACCATGTATATTATAAAAATACTTAATGATAATGAACAAATGTTTAGATAAACTGGGTGAAAAAGGTGCAAAAAATATTCGCTGAAGCAGGTGTAGACATAGAAGACGATATTGATATTGTAGTAACGAATCCTGAATATATCAAAGAACTTCATGCTCTATTAGATAAAACCCCAAGTAAAACAATTGGTGAGTTGAAGCAGATAAATTATTAAATTATTTAAGTTATATTAAATAATTGTATAACAATTTTACACGTTTATTGCAGTCAATTATATTCACTGGTTATTCGTTAGTATGGCGATAATAGCTGGTCCACAAGAACTTAGATCACTAGCAGAAAACTGGTTTCCAAGACGTGTACATTTTTCATCAAGGTAGTATCAGTTTCTAATATTTTATTAATAAATGTGTTATTATTCTAACACCTTACATATTAAATAATTTAATAGCGGCCATAATAGATTCACCTATGAATGCAAAAACAATATTTCATTTTTGGTCTTAAAAATCACTCTAACCTACACTTATAAATTTTTATTGGGCTCCGATTTTATATATGGGCTGCTCCCCCCAATGGGGGAGTTACACAGTTGGGTAGCTTGGAAGATGAGCATCATAAATGTGGTGGTTCCAGGTGTAGAAGTCTTAAAGGGGCGGAGATATAGGGGTTCAAAGTTGCGATTAACTTGAATTTTACCTGTATGTATACATCCGTGGATGTATTCGTCCGCAAGCAACCATCGCTTCTCTACTGTTTCTGGCTACCGATCGTATAACGGTTGAGATTAAAATCAAAGTTAATTAATTTCAATCATTTTGACATTGGAGTTGCGGGGCCGGCCGCGCAATATTTAATTTAGCCTAACTTAACCTAATGTAAAACACACAATCGCGGATGTATACATACAGGTGAAATTCAAGTTCAACTTTGAACCCCTATATCTCCGCCCCCTTAAGACTTCGGCACCTGCAGCCGCGATATTTGTAATCCTCAACCTCCAAGCTATCCAACGATATAGGTTACACCCCAGTAGGTAGCAGCCCATATACTAAATTTATTGAAACATCAAAATCTACTAATACTGAGAACTATATATTGAAAAGCAATTAGTAATTAATGAAGTAAACTCTTTTTGTTATAGATAGAGCATTCAGCCATAAGTGAAAATTGGCAATTGTCATTAGATGCTTATATTATTTACTATTTTCTGAGCAGATGAGCAATTATCTAATGTGAATGTGCCATAATTAATAAAAAAAATATATATATTCATTCAAATATCTCAAATTATTAATATATTGTACTATTATTAAAAAGCGCCCCTCGCTCTTGAAAAACAAATATAATACCTACTCAATCATTTTATACAAATTTTGTCAATATTTTTCTATATTTCTATAGACCATCAGAATGTATACAGACAGTGGATATAAGTGACATTGTAGCATACCAATACGTGCAACAGTATTTCTCCGAAGATACAGCGAAAACGGTAAAAATAACATGTCATTGCTTGTTTGAAAGACAGAAATATTTTTTCAAAATTTGCCTCTTTACCACGAGTATTGTTTCACGTTAAAGGCCAGAGATATGATCGATGACATACAAAAGGAGGTCGAATATCAGATCAAGGAATCGACGTGGATGAACGACGACACTAAACATTTCATTTTAGACAAATTGATGAACATGAAGAATCTAGTTGGCTATCCAAGTTGGTATAAAAATACCACGATGGTGAAAGAATACTTCCAAGGGGTAACTTTCCTTTTACTAATGTTCAATTTAACATACCCTTTTTTTCTGTTTCTTTGATTGTTGATGTGCTAAGTATTCATTAAATGTACAAATTAATTCGGTGCTATTTCTTCTTTTAATTGAAGTTTTATTTTTAAATGTTATAGTAATTCCAATTATTAAATTCATCGTTATCGTTACCATATTCTCGCGACACTTTTCGAATTCACAGAAGCGTGGGAAAGTATTTAAATTTAAAAGAGTAACTAAGAAAATGTAATACTAAAAACACCGAATTAATTTGTACACCAAATAAATTTCCAAATGGGACTTGGGTTAAGGCATAAATTAATCTTCGAGCGGAGGATAAACGGTCAATCGTGACCCAAACCAACGAAATGTATTGTACAAGAATAATTGAACTAAAGTAAGGTACTCAAATTTTTTAACGAATGAATTTTATATGGTAAAAAATTAATTCATGTTTAAAAATTGCAAACAATGAAGAATTTGAAAATTAAATTTAGTGCTATCCACTATCCGAAAATTAATAGTCAAACATTAAATAAAGAATTTATAATGTTTAAAGCTCACAATCGGTCCGTCCTACTATGAGAATCTGTTGAATTACATTCGACATTTGAAATGGAAAAACTTACGACGAATTGTGGAAACGACAGGTAGAGATAAATCCAGGTAAAATTTTTAATAACATTAATTCTATTAATTAATACGAATAAATATTTTACGTATACGATTGTTGACAGCGAATATTTGGACCCTCTGATGTTGAATGCATTCTTCATGCCTACAGAAAATTCTATTTGTACGTAACGTTTTTTATTATTTATTTTATTTATTTTAACCGATTTCTAATTTATTTGATTTTGGTGCAGCTGTGACAGCGGCTGATTTTCAAAGTCCACTTTTCGCTCTGAATCGACCATGGTAAGTAATCAATTTTTTAAATAAAAGTAATCAATTTTCACTAAAATTTTCATTCTTAGGGCTGTTAATTTCGGAATCATTGGTCTAGTCATGGGTCACGAAGTAAATCATGGTTTCGATAATGAAGGTAATTCATTATAATGAAATTATCATATTGAAAAGAAAAGACTAATGAATTCATTATTAATAATAGGTCATCTTTATGACCATGGAGGAAATTTGATGGAATGGTTGTCTGCAATGGCAGATGCTTACAATAAGAGAGCAGAGTGTTTTGTTAATCAATTTAACAAGTACAGTATTGTTAAAGGAGAAAATTATACTATCGAGGTAAATGGTTTTCTCTTAACACTACGAATTAAAATAATCAAAAACCACACAAATCTATTTTAATTCCATACATACGATTAGTAATACGTAACAGTTTAATAAGATGAAATAATTCTTTATAATATGTTTGGTAATTTGGTGTTGATTGATTAACTTAAATTAATTATATTTTTCACCATTCAAATGGGCTGTTATATTTTCACCATTAGAAGGAATTTCAACAGAGAAGGAATTATTTGATACTACATATAGACATATATTAATATGAAATGTTACAGAACTATGGAAATCAAACAGCAGGTGAAAATATTGCTGACACAATGGGTTTGCAAGCTGTATTCAGAGCTTATAAACGTCGCGAACGAGAATGTGGAAACCCAGATCCAGCTTTACCGGAATTAGAAAAATTCAGCAACGATCAAATTTTCTTCTTATCGTTTGCTAACGTAAGTTTTTCTTATTTTTCTATAAATGAGAAACGATCACAACTTGTACGTTATCTTTTATTTAACCCTTTCGCTACCAAAGAGACAAATATTTTATCGGTGGTCAGATAATCTCTTGAAGCAATTACAAAGCGAATAAGTACACAAGAAAAATACACAAATACTAAAAATATAAAATTGGTAATGAAAGCATTAATACGTTCGTTGTCACAATGGTCATTAGGGATCGACGATAATAATTTATTGTCGTCAAATTATTAACGAATGAAAATGTTTTTACTTACATTTTTTTCTTATTTTATAGTTATGGTGTGAGTCAATAGACCGAGAATCTTTAATACAAAGCACCAAATACGATGTGCACAGTCCAGGACGTTTACGAGTGATTGGTTCGGTGTCGAATTCAGAAGACTTTGCTAAAGCTTTCAACTGTCCGGTTGGTAGCACCATGAATCCTGAACGAAAATGCAACATATGGGTGTAATTTAAATAACATCAAGATTTTATGTTTTTCTAAATTTCTGTTTACTGTTTGAGCGCTGTACTGGGTAATGAAATACAATATACAATTTGCAAATTATTTTTTGGCAGAACTTTCAATAATTTCTTAAAAACCCTTATCTTTGAATAAATATTATAAATATATCGAAGATTACAATAAATTTAATATTTTGTCAATTATAATTTAAGAAAACTAAGGACCAATAGGGTGTAGAAGAAACGTTTGAATCTATAATTAATATATTAATGAAATCTATGTAGACGTTTAGTGGAGGGGGTGAGAGGGTTTCGTCTCCCTGGACTAAAGGCGTCCGGGGAGACGAAACCCTCTCCCCCCTCCACTAAACGCCTACACCTAGAATAGTTTCCGTTTGTTAACTCAACTAATAATATTATAGAAAGAAAATCTTATTTAAGAAATTAGAAAAAATCAAACGTATAATTAAAATAATAGCGAGTTCAAAATATCTTTCTCTTGGAATTATTTACCAAAATTCGAAAATGGCAATTTTCAATCAAACTGAGCGTCAGTCGAATGAACAATCTTTTTCTGTATTTTTCTAATAATTTTTCGTTCGAGAGACTTTAACACAAATTCTGCGAAAATTTCGCGGATAAAGTTACCTTGACCATAAATTTCATATTTTAAATACCAATTGTAAGATGAAACGTATGAACCAGGGTTAAATGTTTTTGTCGGTCAACGCATCAGTGAATCCTCTTTCAGTGTTATCCTCTTTTGAACGGTTAATTGAATTTAACCTTCCTTTTTTTTTTGGTTCATCAGCGTCTGTGTATACCTTTATATAAATCTCAATTACTTTTTATCGAATGCTGCCTTGAACTCCATATATTACGAGAAAGAAAAAGCAGGATTTTACATTGGCTTCAAGGTAGCCGTCAACGCTAGATCCTTTGATGAGAGATGATCACGAGCGATCGAGCAAACAAAATGAACTATAATTCTTGATTTATACACGTTAACAGCGGCTAACGTAATTTCACCGGCTTCAAGTACAAGAACCTTCATTCGAAATATTGCTCAACGCAGGATCATGGAAATTAACCTTTGATCTCGAAACCGTCTTTCAGCTGAGGTATTCAAAAGAACTGTTGCGTGATTTCTCGAATCATTTATTAAATATAAAAAATAAAATTACTTTCTCCATTATTGTCAAGGATAGAAACAACAACTTCGTTTTGCGACGATTATGTAAATGTTTAACTTTAAAATTTCCTTTCCATCAATCGGTGCATGATTTTTTATAATCTCTAATAGAACATCCTAATAAATATCTTCGGAAAAAAACCAATTGAAATGATTAATTCAACTTTTGAAAACACCTACTAAAAGATTACATATTGAAAAAAAAAACAGAAAACAGATATTGAATGCTTTGTTTCTTGCTGTTAACATAAAAGTTATTTATTTCCATAATAATTTAACATAAAAAAAAAAAGAAAGAATGAAAGAAAAACTAAAAATTCTTTAACACTAGAACTACTGGCGTTCAATATACACTAAACTTAAAGTTGAAAATAAAATGGAAAAATAAATAAATAAAGAATCAGTATAAACAATAATTCTTGATCTCAACAAAAGTCAACGTATATTTCAACAAAAATACTTTAATAGATTCTATAATTTAAACTAACAATAAGAATCCTGTCATTTTGGTAGTTCGAGCGTTAATTAAAAAAATATTCTTAATTACTCTATGCATTCCTCCCATACAATACGAACTAACTTGTCCTACATACGAAAGGATTTCTATAGTGCTATCAAACGAGCATAAAAAAAGAAAATTGAAAAAGGCGCATAACTTTGTTAACCGGCAATAAGTCATCGACGTTATATCAGAAGCGTAAGCGTGTAACCGCATTGCATCGTTAACGGCACGGGTGTTGCAATTCGGTGAGACAGTTGTAGATCGATGTAGGGACAGTAAATTAGATCAGGCAAAAGAACATTACCTAACTGTAGCACGAGCGTTCATCTTCAGTTCTCCAACACTTTCACAGATCAAATAGTGAAGTGGTGAAACTGCGCGATTATACTGGTGCATCGAACGGGTATATATCGCATTTGTTCGGCCAGAGAAAGCACGCTCTGATTCATCGAAATAAATGGCCGCAGTTTTAGAACGGATGCATCCTATTATAATGTGTATATCCACCGATAAACTATCACTCTCGTCGATCGATCGTGATACCGTGATAACGTACTTTGAATTGCTAAATTTGTAATGCGCATTCGTTGTTTGCCTGCCGCGAATGTCGTCCTGCCTTTCGTCCTTCTCGCTGTTTCTTGCACAAGCGAGCGTCGCTGTTGCATAAATAACGGGGAAAGAGGGTTGCTGAATTATTTCGCGAACGACACGAATCTTCCGTGTTACGTTCGACAGTATTTCGGTGATACATCATAGCCGGCGATCGATCATACTCGAGATTAATTGAACGGTAATCGAAGTTCCTTAACGCGTTCGGCGCTGTGGGAGTCACCGTTGACCAGCGCTGCAAATTTCATTTGATGGCATAATTAACACTATAATTTCCACAGTGATATAGCACCAATAGGATATGACAGGCCAATTTTCAAATCTGAGCTTTCAATTTAGTACCTTAGATTATTAACATAATTCCAACGGTAGATTATTTCAATATATAAAAATCTTTCGTTTCAAAATTATACATTTAACTTTAAGTTAATATCCTTATATGTATATATAGATATATTTTGTAAGTTTGGGTCTCGATCAATCCAGATTCGGATGTTTAAAGGTTAATACTGACACGTGATGTATTAAATATGGTTATTATATTAAATAATCCCCAAGATTTTTCTTTCAATTATTACGACAAGTAATTATTTTACCTCTGTGCGATCTTCACGAAACACAAACGGTGCGTTGTTGTTTTTCTACCTGAATATGAGACAAGCAAGAAGAAAGTAGCAAGAAATAAATATTAGTGATCAGCAGATTCACAAAAGCAGGAAAATCGTAAAGCATTCAGAAGATAGAGATGATTGCAAGGAATTGCGTGTACAAAGAAAAACATACGTGATATAATGAGCATAATAAATAACTCGTTTGAAGAGTACAACAACGTCGCAACGAAACAATCGGACCGCGTAAAACAGGAAAAGTTGTACGCGTAGTAAGTACGTAAGTACATTCGTATATTCGTAAGGCAGAGCAATTGCTTTACGTAACAGTTATCTCCGAAACTAATTTGCTATCTTTCCTCGTTGACGCGCCGCTCATCCAGATATTATCATCGGAAAAACTATTAAGCAAGTTCCTCGAGTTAATTCAACGATTCGTGACTCCTCCGTTTATTCTTGCTCGTTTATTCTCTCTATTAAACGCGATAATCGTTGCTTCCCTCCTGCCACGTGCAATCATCAGTTTAGATAAAACGTTTAGTAGAAAGAAAGTTTACAAAATGCTTCGCAGAAATATAAACTGTTGAAGGAAAATTTTTACTTCAACAACTGCACTTTTGCAATTCTATGGGTCGTTTTACATGAAAGCGAAACTTGTTAAGCTTGCGTTTCAAAATTTCTATATCATGCGTTGCAAAATTAATTATTAATTAATCATAATTAACGCGTGATACAATGGATGCTAACAAGGTAGAAAAATGGTAATACGAAAGATATGAAAGTTTGGTGTGTTATAATTAAGTCAGTAACTCTCACGTGTGCTTGCCCACATTTTAATTATGAAATAATATTAAACTTGACCCACACGGGTAATGAAATGAAACACAGCCCAATTGCGTAACATTTTCGTCTATTTGAGGCTCCTTTTCAAACACAGATTAATAAACTTCGTTTGTATACAAAATGAATCAACGATTAGTTAACGATTAATACTTGTTAATTTAATTACTCGTTTTATCTAGTAATAATGATTTCGAGTGATCGTGAAAGCGTTAAAGAATACGCTTGATGCTTTTTGTTTGCAAATTGAAAGAGATTCAAAGGAAATTTCGTGTACGATGCGCATCAACGACACGTGAGCATCAGCTTTATCAAGCATTAAAACAGTTCGCCTCCGGTCATTTATTAAATCTGAATACTCTCGGCGTTGTTGCGCGATGCAATTTATGCACGAAGAATCTGTTCGTGTCTCGCAACGCGGCTAGGAACGTAGCCGATGTATAATAAAACGGACACGACGAGATACAATCGAAACTGTTCTAAACCGATTAAGACGAATTTCAGGATTCTCGAACACTATAAATCTCTGATCGTAAAAATCCTAGGTACCCGCAGCGCTATCTCGCTCGTGTACGATGAGGTGCTGATACAATAAACCTGTGACGCAATCTTGCATAATGTATCCCTATCTGAACCAACATCCCACGTTACCACCACCTGTATTCAGCACGAGTTCACTGATTGCACAAACCTCCTGCTGCATCCAGGATACAAACGTGTGTACACATTGGACAGATGAATCCTTCTGTCTGCGTGCCCTACTAATTTCGTGACGCGACATTTTTCCGCCGGATCAGATTTAATTGGCCGGAAAAAAATTAATTAGGTATGTCTTAGAGGTGTTGATTAATACCTTCACTGCCGCGTCACTTATAAGTGAGGGGCATTGGAATTTGATTTGATCATTATTAAAAATACTCGTGTTAGGTACTTAAAACGTTGTGGAATTTGTGAAAAATAAAAAATGCTACTTAATGAAATTTCCTAACTTTGTTCAAAACAAACAGCGTTATATGTAAAAATCACATTACTTCACTACTAGATCCTTAATTAGTTAATGCAATATTATGCATTCATTAGTTATACTTTCTATGAGTGTATTAGGTAAATCATTGGTAGACTTCATTAAAAAATATTCTGATTGAAATCCATAAAGGAGCAACAGAAAAATTCGTTCTGACCCAAAGTGTATTAATCTTCAAACATCAATTTAATCTACTAGAAGTGTTAAATATTTTAAAATATTTTCTAATTATTCACGTTTCTAAGTCGGTCATCGATACGCAACAATCTAATATTAAAGGGATCGTAAAATGTATCAAAACCATAGATTAATTACGCTACACAACAAAATTCAGTTTCTTTAAAATTTACAACCTGCATCATCGTAAAATACCCATTAAACTGTTTTACAGTTACGCAACTAAAAAATGTAACTTGTATAATTCCATGTGTATCAATGTATTGTATATTAGCTTTGTTCATTTCGCTCTCTTATGTAGCCATAACCGTATGCTAAAGGATGAGATTAAAATACATCGATTCGAAATGATCAGAATTCACGTATGTATGTACATTTTAAACGAAGATGTTCTTAATCCCTTCTTCACGATTCAATAACGCGTACTTCGTAAAAAACGTATGAGAAAGTCTCGCTCGCAGAAAGTACATCGTTGCCTTAACCGAGCGAGACATAATAGGTTTAATTGCAATCTCTCCTTTTCAAGTCCTCCCTACATAAATTATGCGATCTAACTTTTTTCAGAATCTTTCAGCTCGTTTCGTGCACATAGATGGTACACACTTTTTGTTATCAGTTGTCCAATTTGTCGTGAACATCTTCAAAGCTTAAAGATCTTACGACGTAAACGTTGACCCTAAACGACAGACTTTATAAATAAATTTTAATTTGAAGTTTAATTCTAATTCAATCAGTTGCTTAAAATAATACGCGATTAATTTTCAATCAATTTCATTCAATAGATATTTTTATTGATATTGAAATTGTATTAGGTGTAAAAATTAATTCGGTGCCTTCATTTTAATTGAAAATTTATTTTTAAAAAATCAGAGTAACTCCAATCATTAAAATAATCGTTATCATTATCATATCCTCGCGTCACTTTTCAAGTCCACAAAAGCACGGGAAGATATTCAAATTTAAAATAGCGATAAAAAAGGCATAATGCTAAAAGACAGCAAATTAATTCTTAATTAATTTTTAGTCCGTTTTAGCTTCAAAGCTAAACTCTGAGTGATTTCTAAATCCGAACAGCTTCCTACGGCTGGATTCTTCGTTAAGTAAACCCTCATCAGTGCTGGAAAAAAAAACGATGATAGCAAAGCGAGCGCACAAGTTAATAGAGTACCTACGTTGTAGCAGCATGTATTAACAGATTTCGAAATCGAAAGTGCGAAGGAAAAGAGAATATTACGCCACGTAAAAATTGGACTGTATCAAATCCATGACATTCGTATCGAAGGCTATTTATCGATTACGAAATTAGATGGATGATCTCGAAGAATATACATTTGGGATCAAGCGGTGATTAACAAAACATTTACCAAGTAACACCAGTCATTCCGTTTCGTAATCAATTAAATCCCTATTTTACGCTCGAAGAATTTGGCCCAAATACATTCAGCCAAGAAGAAGAATTGAAGAAGTTCCCCATACGCTAACGAACTGTGAGGCAAGTTCATATTTATGACAAACATACTTAAAACTACGTCTACATCACCAGAAACGTGTAATTTAGCAAAAACGTATATGAAGAAGTACGACAAATAAACGAGGTATCGTACCGTTGCACCCTCGTTTTAACATTGCCCAAGCTCGCGAATCAACGTTGAAGAAAGAATCGTAATTTCTACAACTAATTCATCACCGATCCGTCCAATCGATGGTCGTTTTGATGCTGCGTTAAATAACATTCTAGCTGCTAATTCGATAATTACCTGCCGTAATTAGTGCACACGCTTATGGTTGCCTAATGTCTCGTGTTGATCGTTGTGTTTCGAGGAAGGATCACGCGGCATCGAACAATTTCGTGAAAGTTCCGATGCGAGGACGAGCAGCATTAATCAAACCGGTTAACGAAGACGAGCGATCGAAGTTGCCATCCCCTAGAAGGTCTGTATCCTTACGATGTCCTGCATCCTTGTTGGTTACGTTCGTCTACCGCGAGATAGTAGGAGAACGATGCCTCGAAGTTAATGATGCGCCGCATTGCGTTACAATATAGGATTCGTAACCCGTGAAATATGGAACGAATCCGTACTCTAGGTGGCTGCTTCGGTCCCACTCTTCTTCACCATCACTACCTACCGTCACCGACTGATTCAACACCACCGTGACACAGTTACAACGTGCCACGCTGTAAATCCTACCGCTTGCACCAAACCATGATCTAGAAACACGGATGAATCCTGGGATATATAAAGCGGATTAGAAGCAAACTTTGTCATTCCCTCGACACCGTGCTACGGTGGAAGGTGTGCACTGGCCAAAAGATAGAGAAACGAAGGTAAAAGACGCAAACGTACCTAGTGCAGCACCTCGCATGATCCAGAGGCTCACCTTCTCAAGGATAAACGAGGGAAATAACGGTGGCTAAGTTTATTGTTCGACGGAAGATCCATCGTTTCAGCGCCATGTCTAAGGTGAGGAAACTTACGGGCCGCGAATAGCAGGGAAATTATATCTCTCGCAACTGATATGCATCGAATAGGAAAAAGCTTGCGACGAGATTGTTCGTACCTCGGAACGACGTGCTATTCTACCTAGGGTAATTGCACAACACGCGATACGAACTCTGTGTTTGAGCACACGAAACAATTCAGTGTTTCTGCTCGGAAAGATTGTTCACAAGGGAATACGAAATTTGTAATGATATTATCATAAAAATAAGTACCGTAGTATTCGCGCTATCGATAAAATTACACCTTGAAAGACCTATGAGCTCATCCTATTCAAGTATTTATGAAGCTGCAATAAGATACCAATAAACAAATAAGAAATTATAAATCTTAATGTTCAAGTAATGAATTCATAATTATTTAAGCTAACAGTTATATCTTCTTATTATAAACTTATTTGCTCGTCTTCTATCCTGTTCACAGATTGGATTAGCAGTATTTATCGTTGCGCTCACCCTGGTGCGTTCCGAGCCTCCAGTGAATTCTTATTTACCACCGGGCGGAGGTGGTCCCGGGGGTGGTAATGGTGGAGGTGGCGGAGGTCCTTCAAACACTTACGGACCACCTGGATTCGATGGCCAGAATGGTATCGGTGGAGGCCCTGGAGCTTCCGGCGGTGGTTTATCGAATAGTTACGGAGTACCTACTGGTGGAAACGGTTTCAACGGTGGTGGTTCTGGCAATGGAAGACCTAGCTCGAACGGTGGGCGAAACGGTGGAAGCAGAGGAAATGGTTTCGGAGGTGGTCAGCCTTCCAGCTCTTACGGGCCGCCATCCAGTGGATTCGGTGGAAACGGAGGTTCTGGTGGCGGAAAACCCTCGAGCAGCTATGGAGCACCTGGTGGAGGAAATGGATTCGGCAATGGTGGAAACAACGGCGGTAGCAAAAACGGATTCGGTGGCAGTCCATCGAGCAGTTATGGCCCTCCGGAAAGTGGAAACGGATTCGGTGGTGGTAATGGGGGTGGAGCTCCGTCTGGCCTCTACGGACCTCCGGGAAGGAATGGAAACGGAAATGGTGGCAATGGTGGAAATGGTGGCAATGGTGGGCGACCATCGAGCAGCTACGGTACTCCTGATAGGAACGCTGGAAGACCGTCAGGACTTTACGGACCACCTGGCAGAAATGGAAATAACGGTGGTGGAAATGGAGGATATAACGGTGGTAATGGTGGCAGTGGTGGTTTTGGACCAAGTGGAGGCAACGGTGGATATCCGTCCGGAGGACCCGGTGGCAACGGAGGTGGCAGCGGAGGCTTCCCTTCTGGTAGTCCAGGCGGCAACGGAGGCTATCCTTCGGGAGGTCCAGCTGGAAATGGAGGCTATCCCTCTGGAGGTCCAGGTGGAAACGGTGGAGGCAATGGTGGAGGTTACGGAGAAAATGCGGATGATGGAAGTAACGTAAGTTTATTTTTCACAAGATTATACACTCTCGGATTTATCATTTTTTTTAGTGAAACGTCATTTTCTCAACTAGACGGTGAATGAAAGAAACGTGACATCCTATACAACCAATTATAGCTATAATTTAAGCCAATGCTTTCTCTTGTAATTTTAAAATCAATGCATAATGACTATGACCCGAAACGTTGCTCAAGAAATGTTCTTATATTTCTTGAATTGATCAATAATCAGTATTTCGTCACAACGTATTCTATTACTGCGCCTATTACAATTAATATACTACATTTTGTTTTATTTTCTTCACGATTCTTAAAATGGATGTAGGAACCAGCAAAATACGAATTCTCTTACGAAGTAAAAGATGATCAATCCGGGGCTGATTACGGACATACCGAAAGCAGAGACGGCGACCGAGCTCAAGGAGAATTCAACGTATTACTTCCCGATGGAAGGAAACAAATTGTTGAATACGAAGCCGATCAAGATGGGTTCAAGCCTCAGATTAGATACGAAGGTGAAGCGAACTCGCAAGGATATGGATCTGGTGGACCAGGAGGTAACGGTGGAGGTGATTTTGGTAGTAATGGATATCCAAGTGGCGGACCTAACGGAGGTGGAGCTGGTGGCAATGGATACCCAAGTGGACCTAATGGAAATGGACTTGGTGGTAATGGATACCCCAGTGGTGGACCTAATGGAGGTGCACCAGGTGGAAATGGTTACCCTTCAGGAAGGCCAGGTAGTGGACCTGACTTCAACGATGGTAAGTAGAAAATATACCAATTCTATTAGCTAATCTCTATCCTATTAAGTTATTGAAAATATAACTAACACTTAAGATATTATAAATTGCTATTTTCTTAGGAGGTTTCCCGTCCGGAAGACCAGGTGGCGCCAACGGTGGATACAGAAACGGAAACAATGGTGGCAATGGTAATGGAGGATATCCATCCGGAAGCGGTGGCGATGCTGGGGCCAACGGAGGATACCAATACTAAATATTCATCTAGGTGTAGTGATATATACATATATCGCGTGTACTACAAAAAAGGGAATATATAGGGCAACGTTTATCATAACGCATAGGATAGTTTCTGTCTGGAACAGTAGAAATGCGAATGGAATTGCCAATGATAATAGCATCCGGTACGATCGAACTTTTGGGTCGGCATCTAATATATTTAATCGCTTTAGCACAATTTCAATTCAACGATCGTGGAATGAACAAAATGGTAACTCGTTTAACTGTGAAGACAAACAGGTTTTTAAGATGCAGTGCATCGTTTGTTTCAGACATAGTATCCTTCCTTAGTGTAAACATAATGATTATTCGTACGATAAACATGAAGACCTCACAGTTGATTATTAGACGTAAACGATATCGTTGAGTATTAGTTGCATACACTGTACCAATATGTACTCGTTCACGGTAGATTATGTGTTGCAATAATACTAATCGTATCGTTTAATTGACTTAGCAAAAAGAGCGGATCCAGAAGCGTTGCTTGAGAATGTTTCTGAATCATTTTTACAGAATTTAAAACTTATTTATATTAGCATCTTTATTCATTATAAAAAACGAAAAAATCACATCAAATATGAACAAATAATTTTTTTTATTAAAGCAAATATAAAAAGTATTAAAATTTGATAAGATCGAGGGCTCAATCACCCCCTTTTCCGGATCCGCCATTGCTTAGCGAATGAAACGTCATTAATTTTTCAATTTTCTTTCAGTACATGTAATAAGACTCATAAAACAATTGGCTACTTTCATATAAACCATTCGTAATCTTATGCATTTAATTTTCGAGTTCTTCGATAGAACGTTCGAACTAAGTATCTTTTTTAACTTTCACCAAGTAATTTACAACTTTATAACCATAAATCATGTATACGCTAATTTGTAACGTTTGTTAAGGTATATTTTGTATTTATTACTATTTATCATACTATGTATATTTTAATGATGTTTAAAAATGTAGCTGTAGAAACGAACATCCGCATAAAATAAAAATTGCGGTAGGCCATAATGTGTTCAATCTTTCACTCTTACCTTTCACGCGGTATAAATGGATTCTATACATTTATTATACCGACGAACAAAAATTGATAGTGAATAATCGAACAATTTTAAAAATATGTGAAAAAAAGACAATAACTTCAACCTTACTTTTATATCATATACCATGTTGTGTAATTGTAATTATCATATTAGACGTTTACGCATAACTTCTTTTTATATTTTTAAATTAAACTTACTGAAATTAACGTTCAAATGCAATAAAAAACATAAAGAATGTATAAGATATTATATAAGACATTCTATATACGTATGATTAATAACCTAAGCAAGGTTTTCGTTGTAATGTCATTTACTACATAAATACCTGAATTTCCAAGTAGAGGTAAATTTCCATCGTATTTCACTCACGAAATCAAATCCACGACAAAATACACTAAACACTTTCAATTAAGTGAAACATCACAATTAATGAGGATAAATAAACTACCTTTTAACACCATATTTAAATTCGGAATAGTCCGATACTACGGAAGTCAACTACTAACCTTAAATCGGTAAGCTTCACAGAAAGATGATAAGGTATTCTAAATTAATTTTATTTTATAAATTTCATTAGCATATAACTAACATGATTAAATACAGTTGCTATTCTTGGTTTAATAATATATTGGTTGCATTGGGAATTACCGGATATTCGGATATTAATTAGCATGAACTATAAAATATTTAAATATATTTATTTTTTAAATTATTTGTTTATACAGCCAAATGTAAGGAAGAAAATATTTTTTACATAATTTTGCCGCCATCAAAGTTTAATAGAACTAAATGATTTAATTATCAAGTAACATTTGAATGTATTAAATCAGCTATAGCTTTCTGCCTAAGGGTGTACAATTTTTTCACCCATTTGTCAAACCTCACTTCTTGATCAAGCATTATCTAAATAAAATAAAAATGCTTGTTAACAAAGTGGATGACACTATTAAAATTTCTATATGAAAAATAGCAAAACAAAATACAATACCGATGAATGAAAAATACTCTCTGTCCCACAAGGAATTTCAGCTACTGTTGGAACTTGTATAGTATCTGCACTAATGTCTATAACAATGTTTTTAAATTTCTTTTCCTTTGTATTAGATGATGTGAACTGTTTCGGTGTAAAACCTTCAGAATTAATTTCGTCTAATACACCCTCCTTAAAACGTGGCTCAATGGGAAAATCATCTATAACAAATAATTTCATATTAAATCTGAAACTTATTACAGAAAACACTGTAGTAAAAGAATTACTGGAAACACTGTAAAAGACACTGTAATTAAATTTTAATCAATATTATTTGTGACATTATACCTTTTATTAATATTGTTTTGGTTTTGTCAGACACAGTACTTTTTACATTAGATTGTGAACTACTTGAACGACTTCCAGATTTTTCTCTTGATGCGGATCTAACCTTTCTTTTAGATTGATCTGAAGAACGTGATCTAGAACGATACTTATGTCTTTCACTACCTTTTGAACTACTATTTCTTGAGCTTTTGTAACTTTTTTGACCACGATCTCTGTCTCTGCCTCTACTTCGAGAATGTGAACGATGTCTCCTTTTAGATTTTGAATGTTTAGATGATCTTCTTCTATGAGGTGATGAATCACTAGAATCTGAACTAGAGGATCTAAAATACAAACATAATTTTAATATAATGAACTATACATTAAAGTGTTTAATCTTATATTAAGTGAATTATTAAAATGTATACATATAAAATAACATTAAAAACCTTGAACTTTTACAAATAAGTTATGAATACAAAAAAATAACATATCAACATATAATTGTAAAAAATTTTAAATTACAAAGATATCTTTACCTAGATCTTCTGCTACGTCTTCTTCGATATCTGCTATTGTGGTCTGAATCCGATTCACTGGAGTATCTTGCCATAACTGTCAAAGACTTCTTTGGACTTCTTTGTTTACTTCATGTTTAGGTTAAGGTGATGCTAGTATGAAGGCCGAACTTTGAATTCCGTGTCGATAAAACAGTCAACGTTTCATCGAAAATTAGGCCGAACAGAAACTATAAATTTGTCACATATTATTTGATACATTAAACAAAAATGTTTCAATACGAAAAGTGTGTATTACATGTCATGGTAGCAATATGTAATAGTAGTTACTAAAATTATGAAGTAGTTTATGAAGTGCTGATATATTTATTGTAAAGTACAAATCAAAACAAATATATAAACACTATACATATATTTACATATCTTCATTTAATAATTATATGACATTAAATAATTATGTTACATAATTACATTAATATATAAATTATGACACAGAAATGGTTTGTACTTCTAATGCTGATACTCCTTTTTGTTTAATTGGTAAATAAACTCCACCATATATTTGTAAACCAATCATTGTTATATTTGCAGTATCTAATGGTTCTGCATTAGGTACTTCTCTTCCACGATAATATGGTTTAAAACTTGCCAAGGGCAATATCACAGTAGAAAAATCAGTATCTGACATTGAAGCCTAATATAATTTAATATAATTAGAAAGATATATTAATTGAAAATTATATTACTCATCAAAAACAAATAATTAAAATTTACCACAAAGAATTGTTCATATGTTATATTTCCATTTGTGTGAAGACCTTTATGTTCAAGAACAACTTTATAATGACTATTTGCACCTTGTCCTCTGCAACTAATTTTGATATTCTCAAAATTAGATAAATTTAAATTAGTTACTGTCTCCACTCCTGCAAAGCCAGCACCATTTGGTTGTGGATTCAAAAGTGTAAAAAATATGGCATGTTGAAAAAGCTGAGTTTTTTGCAATGTTAAAACAGCTTTTGATTTTCCTACTGTTCTAACAGTATCAGATACTTCCGTCCAATTATCCACATTGTCTGCAGTTGTAAAATCAAAAAGTATTTCCTTATTCCTAAATAAAATAAATATACTTTGTCATATTACACACACACGCACGCACACACATATACATCGTGTATATATATGGAAACGTTTCAAAAATAAACTTTGACAGTGACCATATTTTCAAATATTTTATTTATATTTATATTAAAAATGGTTTTCATATTCACAATTGGTATTTTTGTATAAATTGTTTACAGTTTATAAAGATTAATGTAATTATTCAAACTTACGAAGTGTTAATTGTTTGTAAAGTATCATCTAATGATCGAAACAGGTTATGATAAACGCGTATGATATGGTATGATAAACGCGTATAAGAAACGCAATGAGAAATTGCAGAGTTAACATTATTTCAAATTAATCACCTTATTCACTATTACCGACATTGTTTTCTTTTTCTGTATCCCGAGGTGCGCACTGATAATAATTTTTTTTAGATCTAATATTACGTAAAATACATATTCGTTTAACTTACTGAATATAGGGTTTGAATTATTTTGAATTAAATACAATTACCTCTTTAACTTTATAATAGTTCTCACTGGCAAACTGTAGTAATTAAATTTATATATTAATTCTTTTTTGAATTAATACTCAAATCAACCATGCCGCCGATGATATTAGTATATAGTTTTGATAAGTTAAAACAAATACATATTGTACATAGCTATTATATGAAGTCTCAATGCATAAATATAAATGCATACCAGTATTTATATTTAACAAACAAATACATTATTATAGGTATTTTTCAAATATTCAAAAAATACAAATGTATTAATTTTTATATCAAAGGCTATCATGAAAGATATCTCACCCCTTTGTTAGATGGCATGTCATTAGAACTAAAAAGATTCCACAAATATATTGTAAATTCATTGCCAAAGAAGAACTAATACATGAAATTATTTGATCCGTGAACTATTTAAATCTGTATAGAATGACTTTTCTAAAACGGGAATAACGTTTTATGCGGATCGAATTCAAATATCATACTACTGCATACTACCGCGTGGAATGTTCTGGAACCAAATGCACTTATGATGTAATCATTTGCAACTTAAAAATTAAAAACTCGTAAAAGCGTACAATTACAGTACGATTTATTCATATGAAGTTTATATTTAATTTACGGAATTTATGTTCAAACTTCATAAAAATAAAAAAATGATATGAATTCCAGTAATGATGATGAATATTTGAAATTTGAATATTTCAGCAATAATAATATATACTAAATTGAAAAAAGTATTCCACTTTTATCTTACACCTTAGATTGCTTTTTAATGGTTTGAAGTTTATTTATATATATAGACTTTATGATACATATATAATAAGACAACAATTACTTTTAAACAATCTTAAAAGCTTTGGTCAAATTTAACTGAAGTGATTTTTTGCACTTTTTTCTAATATAAATGCAAAATAGTTTTACAGTACATTGAATAAAATACAGACGTAATTAACAATATTTGTTGTTAATTCAGTTACTTATTCGTATAAAAATTAACTTCAGTTTCATTAAATTAAAAACAATATAATACGTGACGAATCATTTATGATGAATCCATTTTGAATTTAATTTCCATTATCAATAACATATAAAACTTTTATAAAATAAATTGAGATTACTGCCAAGAAAACAGTTTTCAACTAGATATGTAGAAATGATAACAAATTTACTCGTTTCTTAAGCTCGTTTGTAATATTGAACATGAAAAGCAAATAATATTTTAAGATGTATAATGAATTATACAAATCGGTATAATACTTCAGCTTTATAATATCGATTTAACATAACATAACATTATGTTCGAGTATAGATCTTATTAAAAGGATTGACAATTTAAAACATTTTCAGTATAATAGTAACAATAACAATGCATTAAATTCTGTCTTTACTAAGAAAAAATTGTCAAATTAGTAATTATATTGAAAATTAAAATATTTTTCGAGCGAAACATAAAACCTGCATCTGATTTTATACTACTTTTTATATCCCGTGTGGTGTGGTAATGAAATTATAGTACGAAACCATAGAACTGATATCAATATTGTTTCATTATGCTATTTTATGACAATTTTTTGTTTTTTGTTTTCATCCTGCTGAGAAATTTGTGTTACCAATAATTTTTTTGCATTTAACCTTATAGTACAATAACTTTCAAATTGCAAATTAGATAACAAACGCGAACAAACATGTTCAATCTTGTTCCACGAATTTAATTTACAATGGTAAATACATATCTTATTTAACTGTGTCACATTCACATTTATCATATTTTCATGTGATTAAGTAAATGTCTCGTGCAATGCACCTTGTACACGTGTACTATAAGATTTATGAATACAACATATTGTCTAATATTTAATATCCTTACACAACAGAATATACGATCTATGGAAAATATATGCAAATGACAATAATCATAAAAAAGCTTTAACATTAAAATATCAATCACAATGCCAATACAGAATGATTACCATCAGTATAATTTATGTGTGTATATTTATACTGAATCATATATTCATATCTTTGTTTTGCAAATTAATTCTAAAAACGAATTGATAACTTTTATTAAGTAGATTTGACTTATCAAAGGTAAAGGGATAAAGACAGGAGACTATTTGCTTGCTATACTTAGTATAAATCATATATGCATTAATAGTACCGAGGAATTCATGTTTCTATATACAAACAAATAAAGACCTAACAGGAGCAAGAGTCTTTTCCACCCTGCTGTTCATTAGATACTCCTTGAAGATTGGTACGTCCTGGTTGACTGGGATTGTGTTGAACTCCGGATTCTGCTGCATTTAAATCCAAGCTGTAAACAGATTATTACAGTAAAGTGTTTAGTAAATTAAAAAACAACACGGGTAAAATAATAAAACTCTGTTCTACTAACCGGCCATCTTGTATGCTTTGGAATATTTTCTTTGCTGTTTCCAGGAAAGCTTCCTCGACATTATGTCCACTGATAACGGAAGTAAAAGATTAATTTGTTATTATATTTTAAACATGTTCTTCTGACATCTAATTTGATTATCCCGTTATTAACTTACGTTTTTGCACTAGCTTCTACAAACATAAGACCATTTTCATCAGCAAATTGTTTTGCTTCTTCATAAGTAACATCTCGTTGACCTTCCAAGTCACTTTTGTTACCAATTAAAAATATAACCTGTAAGTACAACATATACAGTTCCTTATTAGTTACATAATATAAATATATCGTTATTTATAATATAGAAGAAATACATCATTCAACAATTCTGCATCAATGTAGTTACACTTTACAGACGTAAATACCATTAGGTAAAATATATTTTGCATACAGTGCTTGGATTTGTTAAATTCCTGGTATCTGTAAGCCAGCTGCTAAGATGATTATAAGTTGAACGACGAGTAATATCATAGACCATTAATGCTCCAGCTGCTCCCCGATAATAAGATCTACAACACATATAAATATATATTATACTGTGTTTTTTAAGTAAAAATTTATTATTAACATTGATATCTATACCTAGTAACTGCTCTGAAACGTTCCTGCCCTGCAGTGTCCCATATTTGTAATTTTATTTTCTGGCCTGCCACTTCAATGATTCTAGTTCCAAACTCAACTCCAATAGTATGCGGGCAATCTGCCATAACTGGAATACAATATAAATATATGTGTATATATATATATATATATATTATTTCAGAGTAGAAACTGACAAAATAATGTATCCAAATGTAAAAATGACTACTATAGCAACTTACACTTTTTTTCTGTAAACTGATGTAGTAAACATGATTTACCTACTCCCATATCTCCTATGATAATGTACTTAAAGATATAAGAATAATTATATGGTCCAGTTGACATTTTGTTTCTGTAAATAAATAAATAAATCAAATTTTATGTTTCACTGCATTATATAATAATATGTAAATTAATTTGAAATTGATTTGATAGATTAGAAAATATTGGTATATTAAAATATGATCAGCATATGGTAATATTAATAACACAATTTATTAATTATCTGTACCTAGAAATATATTTCACATTTCCAAGAAATATAAAACTGATATGTAATTCATGTAACAACTGCTAAAAATATAATAAATAATTGTTATAATAGGATATAATTTATAATGTTATATTTCAAGTAATATTTAATTGTTAATATGTAAGTCTAAAAATATACTTAGCTAATAATAAAATCATTCACAATAAACATGCTATCAAGTAAATTTTGTTATGATTACATAGTATTTTCAATGTAAAAGTCATTTCATTTAATGACTAAATAAGTCTATTTTCAGGTTGCATATATGAAATGATAATATATTAGCTGTAATTCTAACAACTAAGGCTTATAGAAGTATGGATACAAATATAAAAGGAACTTAAATCTTAAACATGATATTGACATTTTTATTTAGATATTTTTCCAACAAAACATGTATGATAAGGCAATAATCACTTAAATAATAATTAGGTTTCTGTAACTTATAACTATTACAATGATTAAAAGTTATCATACAAGAATATGCAATAAAAATTGGTAAATATAGGGGTTCAAAAGTTAATCTCCTGATGACAACTGTTTCTTAAAAAAAGTTTCTGATGTCAACAATGCACCGTCTACTCACCGTTTTACAGCGCTTTATCGGGAAGTATTTTCTCAAAAATTCAATCGAGGAAATCGCTTGTAATTATTGTTACTACATAAACAATAAACTATTGCACTGAATGTACAAATAATAACCGTAATAACGTAAATGTAATACAATTCTTTATATCACGCGCAATATGGCAGATCACTGTCGCTAATAACGATGGCGGCGAATAAACGTCAAACCACCTGTCACTAATTTTTTTAATTGTTTTATTCAATGATTCATATTTATACGTTAGAAATTTAATTTTAATGATATAACTTAAATATTCCTATAACTAAGAATAAAGCCGTTAATCGTAAATGCAATCTTTTCCAACAGATAACTTTGTATGCACGTCCATAGAAAGACGAACACTGATGAGTATCCTTTGATCATAATTTTATACATCCACCTATATATATCTATAAATTACAATATATTTCAAAATTATATAACTTTATTAATTAAAAGATTCTTTATCTTATGACATAGTTTTTAAAAATCATTATTTCTATTAAAATATGTTATGTATTAGTTGCATTTCTCATCATGAATTGACTGTCCATTCAATCAATCTATTAAAACCACATAAACCAACCACATTAAAGTTCCATTGAAGCTAAAGTATTGATTGGGTTTCTTTTTTCTTTTAATTTATTTATTAAATTAAACAGCAAATTAAATTGAACTTAACAAAAAATGAATGAAGGTTTTACAGCTGATATTTTACCTTCTCAGGTCATATTTCCAATTTTATCTTCAAATTTTCTTGTCAGATAAATTTTTATTTAATTAAAATAACTTTAATTAAATATAACTTCATATTTATATATATCATTTAATGTTCATTAAGTAAACAGAAAAAAGAAATGATGACTATTAATATCATATACATATAAGTTTGTTTAATAAAATTTCTCAAAATTTAAAGATATGAAGATCATTAAGAGTTCCTACATTTCTATTCAATAAAACGTAACATCGATTAATCAAAACATTTAAATACTTTTTATTTTAGAGTTTCATATCGCCCAAGCATTGTTGGACGTATTTTTTTATTGAAAACAGCCCAAATAGGTGTCGCTTAAACATTTTAGGATTTGTGGATTTAGCGGTAGTTTTATGTGGATTATCTGCACATATGCGCATTTTCGTAACTTTTGTATCTGTGTTGAATTATATAGTTATTGTTTTTTGATAGAAGTTTATTTTTAAAGTAGACACATAGAAAATCTAGTATAAATTTAAAAGTTCTTACAACGTTTAATGTGTCAATTTATTGTTTCTATAAATCATCGTTAAAATATAGTACAATTTTTGGTTAAGATTGGGATCAGAAAATCGAATTCCGTACATTGTACATGATAACAGGTGAGTGAAGATGTAATAATTAATGCAGTGACTTAATGACACGAATTAATTCTGAATAAGAAAATGATGTGTAATAATTTTAGTTTGTATAAGTTATAAAACTTTATAAAAGCTTTCTACTTCGTTGCAAACATGTAAACTAATAAATACCTTTAAAATCTTTTGGATTATTAAAAAAATTTGACATTTCAAACACTTGTTACTTTTAATTATAAAAGAACATGTGTTAAAAATACGTGGTGTTTATGATACATGAAATATAATTAAAGATTGTTTTATATCAATTCAATTCCATTTAATACAGAGGTATAGTTTTCCCAATATTTTTATTATAATAATAAAGTTTTCTAGGAAATAAAAATAATTATTATTATTTAAATAAACGTATGGAAAATGTTAATCTTGATATTTTTATATGATTTCCTTTTACATAACCTTAATATGACTTTTATGAGTTAAGAACGGACGAAGATTTATATTTTTTCCGAATAGTAGTTTAACAAAAAATGAACAGAATGTGAAAAATAAATATTTCTGTTTCTCGTTTATAAGCAAAATGAGATACTAGTGTTTATAGGTTAGGGTCGAAATTCGTATTACATTAATGATGCTGATACATTAAATCAAATGGTGATATTTAATGTGATAAATACATGTATTTCTAAAAATAAGGATTAAGTACGATATTTTTATGTTTCTATGTACTGTTATAAATAATTCATATTTAGATTCTAAATACTGTATTATATAAGTTTGATATATATAAATAAAATAGAATGTTTGTATTTTTATTTCAAATATATATATAATAAAATTTGTTTTAGAATAATATCACAGATGCCATACATTTTGGTACGTGGTAATCTTGCTTCATACGGTCATAGATATCCATGGAGGGTTTTAGTATCAGGTCTTAAAGGTATAGTTTCCTTTGAAAGCTTAAGTGTTTATCAAAGTTTATTTTTGTTTAAATTATATGTTGCCAATTATATGTTAAAACCATAATTTTTTAAAGGCTTGTGCTTTTTATAGTATATGTATATCACATATTTAATTTTAATTGATATGTTACATGCAATAATGCTTCTACTTTAGTTATAGATAAAATAAAGTTTTAAAAACCAAAATATAGTTGTATCTTTTGCTTTAAACATAAAATAAATTTGTGACATAATTATTAATAGTTTTATAATTATTAATACATTTGTTATAAAAAATTTAATGTGTAGATTTTAATAAATGTTTATGTCCCAATTTTATTCACATTATAGTTAGGTATTATGTATTTTGTTTATTCACATCGCTTTCTTTACTTGTATATTGAAATATTTAGGTGTATACATAGTACAGAAATAGTGTTGGGTATGTATAAATATAAATATGTTGTTTTTAACTAATGACTTATATATATTTAAAGTTTTTAAGTTACAAAAAACATTTGTTTATATTACTGCTTTATCTGAGTTGTAATATCGTTCATATAATTGGTGTTTTGTAAATTTAACTAAAGTGATATGTGTCCTAAGGCTTCATCGCAGTGATGCGCAGTCATGGGATTTTTTGACATTACAGCTAGAGATACATATCATGTAATGCCATAGCTGTATACATTACACACCTGAAAGTGGCCCACGTATTTTCTGCAGTTTGTCTTACCTTTGCAACAAATGTTGGTATTCTTATAATAAATCGGTTGCACACGTACAAAATAGCAATATATTTTATTAATATTATTTATACAGTATATAATATATTTCATTTTTATGGGGCCCAATGATACCTTCATATTTAAAGCATCTAGGTACGTCATTGAGATGGACCTAGTATTTTTTTATCGTTAGTACGCATGGCCAGAAATCTCACACTGCGTATCACTACTTCATCGTGATAAAACGATTAAAATTATCGTGTTCGTCGTAGTTGAAAGAGGGTATATTTTCAGTAGAAAATGTGAGATTTTTACAATTATCGTTATTTTATGATGAAACATATGTACATATCAAGCATCTAAATGTTAAAAATGTGTGATGTTATTCATTTGTGTTGTAGCGTCAGATATAGAACAACTAAGTCGTTTTGCTTCTGGGGGATACTGTGATGATTCAACAATAGTATATTTACAACATCCTTGTGTAATATTAACTGCTTTAGAAGTTCTTGGTTACAAAGTTGTGGCATCCTCAAGTACCAGTGTTAAACAAGATTATAATGAATATATGTGGACTATGAGAAAAGATTTCTCTGAACCTGAACCCGAACCTGTTCTTAAGGCAGGTATGATATGATGTACAGATTAACCATTATTTGAATAAAAAAATGACTTTGCAATGCAAACAGATATCAGTAAAGGATCGATTAGTTTTCGTTATTTGAAAAATTAATTTAGCATTTGTTATCTTTATTTTATGTTACTTTGTAAATTAAGAAATTAAAGAAAATTTCATATTTACACAATGTAGTATGTTATTTTTAAAATAAGGGGGAAAGAAAGTTATTAAATATGTATGTTAAAATTAAAATTATTAGGACCCAGAATTAGAGAATGTTTTTTTAGATAAAAAATTGTTTATCTGTATGTTTGTTCAGAATATAAACATTTTTTTAAGTTTATTAATTCCATTATAATATGTATACGTATAAAATTTAATTATTAATAGAATTTTATGATATGACACTAATTTATCGATTTCTTTGTTCATTTTAATATCTTTTTTTATTAACGTTTTTTGTAAATCAGTAGAATATGTTGATACACTTGAAGTTTTAGTACTGTATATAAACAATAGGTGGAACTGGTGTTTTGTGCTATGTCATATTAACAGTTGAGTCTTATTCTATTATATTATGCTAAATTCGAATCTATAGCGTAAATTGTAATGAATTATTAAAAAATTAAAAGCATTTATTATTTACATTACTTTCATAAAAACCGCAACATTGTGAATGTGTTTTACAAAGGTTATGTTTGTTGGTGATTGACGTTTCAATTTAAACAGATAGACGTAGTATTCAATATGTTTTGTATTTTATTAACCAATATTTTATCAACTGATTATATGTATTATTTGTAATTTAACGTAATATTTGCATAGAATGTTCGTTATTACGTAAGTCAGTATCAATCGTTTCCCTCGATATTATAAACTTTTATTAATCTTTATTTTGATTAATATACGTCAATAATTTTAATTTAATTACAAACATAATGTTTGTAATTTATAAAGTTGAACATTTATTTTTAATGAACAAGTGAATATTGAAATATGTGATATGTACACTCAATAATAATTTTAATAAATAACATATTGTATTATGTTTCATTAAATCATGTAATTATAATTTCGATGTTGCGCTAATAATCTACTATAATTGTAATTTAAGTTTTTAATTTTTTATGGTTTATATTTATTCTATTATACGAATATTATATGAGTTTGGTTTTGTGTAAAGAATAGAAGTTGTAATGTTTTTATTCTATAAGACAAAAAGCAATATTTTTATACATATATAAAAGTAATATAATATAACCAATGCAAAAGTACACCATGGAAAAAAGCATGGAATTGTGTAGGGTTACTACAATAAAAAGGTAGCAGGATTTCAAGTAATTGGATTTCATAAATTTTGTGATAAGTTACACATTCATAATGACACTCTGATGGAGTGACACATGGAAAGATGTCTAAAATGCCCAAAAGATGTTAAACAACAAGAATATTTATATGGATAAAAAAATAAATGATGGATGGCCAAAACAAGAACCTTCAGTTTGGGAGTGTGAAAAAGATCAAGTATGGACCGAAGTTCATTGATCTCATAGAACTTAAAGAAGAACGAGGAAGACAGTTAATTGAACAAAATAGAAAAAAGAGACAGTTTCACACATAGTGTAATTTTGTATTTGTATTATTTCCTTTTTACGTACCTGTAGCACAGGTTGTCCATTCATGGGTTGATGCCACCTCCAACATAACGTGCCTAAGTTTGTCTACGTTCTATAATCTTAAATAATAATTTCTGTCTACTGATAAGTAATACCCAGGCTTATGTTTATTTTTACAAAAGGGTACAAATAAATGAAAAAAGAAATGTAAAAAACTTACTGATTATTTAAAATAAAATGTAATTTGATTTTTGAACTTATGGTATTTAACTAAAACGAAATTTGTATACAAAAAAATATATATTGAAATGAATTAAATTTATATAGTTATATAACTCAAAGTTCACAGTAAAAAATATGTTGGATACTATTTTATCGTTATTTCAAAAACTATCATTGAATACTTTTATATAGTGTGCATACATAAGCAATAATTCTTTTTCTTTTCCCCAGTATAGTACATGGAAAGTTATGAATGTTGATTCTTCTTTTTGTTTATTTGGTATATTTAATTATAACTTAAATATAATATATGGTTCAAATAGAAAGAAAGATAACGTTATACTTTTTTGTGATAATATGCTAGATATGTATTTTTTCTTTTAGCAGTGAAAGGCAACGAAGTTTAACAGTCGTTTTAGCTCAACCATGACGCAATCAGGAAATGCATTGATCGAAAAAGTAACCAACATAGTAAACGATGAAGATTACTATTATGTTGGTGTAAGAGCTTCTCCATTTGCAACTGATTGTGTTGTCTTTGGTCTAACTTCCGATGAAATTGTGGCCCTCTCCAAACGTTTTCCAAACTCGGGTTCAGACATGGTCAACGGCGTTCTGATCAGAGGTTTCCATTGCCTATTTTCATTGTTTTTTTTTTTTTTTTACATACTGTATTTTAACATCGTTTTTTTTTTGTTTTTGCTATATTGTCATTTTTTATTTTTTGCAATGAAACTTATTGAACTTGAAAATAAATACTGCAATACATTTTTAAATAATACGTTTCATTTGGATGACTTATTGGTAAAAATAGTAACGATATATTTGTATAAATAGAATTATGATTTCTATTTTGTTTGCTGTACTTTTTGCGTTCTTTCATTTCTTAGAAGTATTTTGGGAATGAAGTATCCTGTATCGTAATCAGATATTGCATTATCCTCCTGCTATTATAACGTAGTTTGCTAAAACATGCTAAAATAAGGATTTTTATATATAAATATAAGTTTTTTTTAATTCATGAAAAACATTTATTATAGGTCCAGCATTTTCCATCATTAACGCTCTGGCAGAATTAGGATATAAAGTCATCTGTAGCACAGGAGAGGCTGAAATACTTTGGACGCTGCAAAGGGAATTGTAAAATCAGCAATTATTCTCAGGACTAAAATTAAAAAGGAAAACAAACTCATTCTTATAAATACGTATTTAAAGTATGCGTACCCGGCTTTCATACGCATAATGAATGAAAAATCAGTACGAACTAAGTATTATATTATTTAACTATATATATATATATATACCCACATACACATACATATATGGATGAAGTTTCTGTGGAGGAACATACGAGGGCATGAATGAGTGTCTTCAATTTCGTTACCGAATCATGATGAGTATATTTTAACTTCCTTTAGCGATGTGCATTTCTTTTATTGGGCGGATTAACATAAGCAAATTTCCAATAATGAATTTTACCATCTTGTTGTGTAAAATTCGTAAAAAGTATTTAATAGATTAAAGTTACAATCATACTTTATTTTATATATTTAAACTATATTAAATATGCTGGTTTATTCTTACAATTTTTAGAAGAATGAAGGTGTTATACAATTTTTCGTTAATAATTGTTTTATTTTCTTTCTACAACACGTTACAACACTAATAAGACTGTACGGGTACAATTTTCCAAATTTTCTACATGTTTCTTGATTAAAAATACTATGTTACAGTTACTTTGTACCGTATTGCAAGATCGCATAAAAAGCAATTATTAGGTGGCTAACTATATACATAGAATTATCAGATGTGAATTACAAAATAACTTATATTTTTACTAGATATATTTAATCCATACAGAATTAAGATTAGCAACATTTTTGGGGAGAAAACATCACTTTATTTTTGACTTTTACTCCGGCATTTTACATACAAATCATGTTTTGGATGGAATTATATTACTTCAACTTGACTCTTTGTTATCATACATTTATATAGTTTTTATGATGATATATAAAATATGCGGAATCAAAACTATTGTTAATTTTGTGCGATAAGAAAGAAGTATTTGTATTGCAATTAACATTTATTGTATTAATCATAAAAAGAAATGCTTATTAGCGCAACATCGTGCTTCAGTATGAAGTGAGTAGTGAAGCGATTATTGAAATATTCTATTTAATGTAAAATAATCTAAACTTAATAATAATATTATGCAAAGGCCATCTGTGCGTATAACGGCCTTATTTTCATATAGAAAGTCCGTATTCGTACAAGTTGTAAAATTATACACGTTTATTTTGTGTATACAGAATACACTTTTTGCACATTATACTGTGAATTTATTATAAAATATACGACTTATAATGGTATAAAAATACTTGTTTGTACACTATTATTCGTAACAACAATTACAAATAATTTATGTCATTTTCTATGCAATATAAAGTGTATTTATATAGGAAAATAGTGCATTTAAATGCAATTTGTATTTCTTTTTTTTTTTTTTTGATAAAATAATAGGTAGACGAGGTTCCTCCAAGTGCATATTGTTAAACACGTGACAAACATGGAGCACCATCATGGTAGCAATGATCGTTATACATGCTGCAGTTCAAATAATAATCACGATGTTCGTCAATCACTTATGGAAATGGAATTTGAACGTGGTATATGGTATGCAGGTAAACAAACTGTGATCCTTTATTATTTAACTACGTCTGTATTTTTTTCTGTGTGATTATCAAATAGAATTGTGTAATTTTCAGCACAATATAATGATCTAGATCGCGTGAAAGCATTGCTGAAGAAAGGTACTCCTATTGATGCGGAAGATTTTGCTGGATACACAGCGTTACATTATGCTGCTCGAAACGGAAATGATGACATTTGTAAATTTCTAATAGAAAATGGTGCAGCGGTGAATGCACGAACACGTTGTGGACGTGCTACACCTTTACATAGAGCAGCAATGCAAGGTCACTCCCAAATTGTTCGACTTTTATTAAAATCGGGTGCAAACCCTAATTTACAAGATGCCGATGGTTGTACCGCCTTACATAAAGTACTTGTAACGACACCTTCTATACCAGTTTGTAAGCTTTTGGTACCACGCACCGATTTAACGTTGCAGAATAACAATAAGCAGAGTGTAAAACAATTGACACAAGAAAAATGTCCTGAAATCTTACAGTTTATATCAACTTATGAGTAAAATTATATTTTAGAGCCATCATAGTTATATTTTTAATGACCATTTTTTGTGTAATTTTTTTATTGTTACAACGAATATGATTACACAAAATGTGTCTTGTTGAAAAAACATATAGAACTCAAACACGAAACTTATAAAAATAAAATTTTATATATTTAATGTTTTATAAAATTACATAGTATATAAGACTTAAATGAGGAAAGATAATAATTTTATTCGAGTAAAATATTATTCGATGAAATAATAAAGGAATAAATGTGTAAATAACGTTGATGGGCACGCATCATCATTTGTATTTCCTTCCATGTGCTTGCCAGAACGGAGAGGGTCGTGCACTTGATATTGAATCATTCGTGCATGGTCGTATATATTCGGAATCGTTCGGTAGTTATCGTTGAGGTTCGACAGTATTCGATGATTTGCGGTACGTGAAGCGCAGTACCGTCGCTGAAGCCCCCTTGCGATACATAGTGGTGCCACCTAGCGGAACACTTCCCGTCTTCTGTACGGCTGCAATCGTTGCATGGAGTCAGTCGTTTCACGAATACCGCGGGTAGTTTGCGCGAAGGCTCGCCGCCGCCTTTAACCGTTGTACGACGGATCGTCCGTCGTTTCGCGGTCCGAGGTTCGTCCGCGTGTCTTCGACCACCTTTCCCGCCTGGATTTTTGTGTGGTTTTACTCGTCGGATTTGAGTGACAATCGCAAGCGATGTAACCGTGCCCTGACGTCACACGGCTAATCAAGTGCACACACGAACACAAACACAGGCGCGCGCGCGCCTGCTACTCGTATCCGTATACACGGATGGTCTACGCAGCCTGCACGCAGTATACTACGTACAAACACGTATAGGGCTGTGCACACGGCCAAACTGATAGAGAACGAAGGAGAGGGAAGAAACAGTGAGATCGCGAAAGACAGAGGAGAAAGAACGGAAACAGAGAGATAAGAAAGAAAGGAAGATATATATGTATATATATATGCATGCGTGTATATATATATATATACGTTACGTAGCGTGAAAACGGTATTAGAGAAAAGAGGTGAGGCGTAAGACGTATACAACGGAGGACATTTCACACTGGCACATACATCTATACGTGATTAGTGAGTCTTTCGTCTTCGTAAAATACTGTACGCAGATAATTATTGGTGAAAAAGGACAGTGAGCTTGGACGTTTGTTCGATTGTGATATTGGGTAATCGATTTTTCTCGAATCCCGTGTTTTTGTGTCTCTCTGTAAAGGATTTCGCGTTTTCGACACGTGCAAGACAAGGCTATGAAATAGAATAAAGAAGAGGAGGAAAGAGTGAGAGAGAAGTATCTACATCTCGTGGCGCCCCGTTGTGTTTTTCTACGGAAAGCTGTGCTCGGAACCTGCGTGAACTCTCAGAGTGGAAGAAAACGTTTGGTAGGGAGTAAACGGAATAGTAGAAAAAAAAAGTTCCTTGCGGATGACGAATGATAAAAAAATTCTTTGCGGGTTTCTGTTGGTTTGAGATTAGTGAAATCGACGAAGAAGCGAGCGAAGCCTGAACTGGAACGGAGTCCGATGGACGAGAACAAGTTTTATCCTAATCGAGTCGGTCAGTTGAGTGTAAGAATTTTGTGCTTTATCGTTAACGCATTTCTTTGCTGTTGTGTGAATTTTTTATCGGGAGCGTTGAAGTGTGTACGCGTGACACGGTTGCGGGTGTACCTTGTTCGTACGATAATAAGAAAGTGGGGTCTCTGCCATGTTCCGTTTTTATTAACTTGTCGGACGGTCCACTGCTTTGAGAGTCAAGTTCGTCGCGCTTCGCTGTACGCGCCGTGTCTGGCGCGCGCATATTTCCTCGCGCTTTCAGTTGCGCTCCGCGACAAGCTTTCTAATCCAAGTGAGATGAAACATTTCCTCTCGGTGATATAGAAAACCATCGGTAAAGTTAATTTTCAATTACGCCAGTGAAACTTTCGATTCACCACGTTTTCCACCTTTTTCACGTTCATTTTCATCACAGCTCTTCTAAATAGTTATCTCAAAACTTCATTAACTATTGTTGATGACTGCAATTTAATAAATTCTATATTCCTATAATTGTATCTTAAAAAACAAAACACTTTCAAAAACTTCAATCTTAAAAAAATTTCTTACTTTTTAATTATTTATATAAAAATTAACCTTAATGGTTTAAATTTGATTGTATAGTATAAAAAATTGAACAAGTTTATTGTTTGAACGTATTTGCGATTGATGAGCCCTGTTTTTGTAACCTTTATCTCTGTTTCTTGTCTGGTCGACGGTAACGAACCACTTTGTCACATGGGTCATTTGTTTCTGTGGTTCTTAAATACAGTTTCTTCGGATTTATTTCGGATTGTCAGAGGAGTGATTGAATTGTATGGAAAAGTAGTGGCCATGGTTAGAGAATGTGAGCGTCGACGACAATATCGATCAACTTACGTGCCTAAACGTGCCTCGGTCTACATATGTTCGGCGGAAGCAGAATGGGGTGTGGACATGCGCATATACAGACCATTGTATTAGTAGTGCGTCGTCAAGTGCGACACCATGTGATGCGCGAGATTATGAAACAACAATAAACCCTCGTTCTTTCAGAAATACTTGATCCTCAATAAATTAACAATACATCAAATTAACGCAAATTAATTTTTTAAATTGTTTTTTTATAATAAAATAATAATTTCAATGGAAGAGACGGTTGTCTAGGTGTCAGATATTGTCATAACCTGGTCACACCTATGCGCCGAAAAATCGATAAAAATTTGCAAAGCATGACACGTGAATACGTAATAATTATTTAAAATTGTTTAAAGCTTCTCGTGAATGTCAAGTTCATATTTTGTCGCTACAATTTTACTTTCTTCTTTAGTCGACGCTACGCAACGCTTTGAATCATAGTTAAATTATTATTCTTTGTTTAGCATTAAATTCAATAACAAAGTAATCATGACCTTCTTTAACAGCTATATTTCTTTTTTATTTAGGATCGGCAAGATTACGAAGGTTAGAAGATCACCCGAAACGGAAATTCATCGAGGACGGAAGAAGCTTCTTCGATTTGATCGTGAGGAGGCGATTTCTAAAAGAAATAATAATTCTACGGCGCCTGGAAGAAAAACGTTTCTCCCTCGGTGATATCTTCGTAGAAGATATCTGTCATTGAATATTTACAGGAGATATTTGGAAGTTTGGAAAAGGAGAGAGAAAAGCGATAATGCTTCTGTGTAATGAGAACGACGCGACGGGCTAAGAAAAAAGACAGGGAACGCCTGAGGTTTCTATTCTTCGCCGGTAGATTACGCATACGGTTAACGAGAAGGAGACACAAATATCTTGGCTTGCACGTTAGCGAGCGAGAAAGTAGCGTGTCGAAAAGTGAACTCGATATTCGAGGACGAAAAGGAAACGAAGGTGTGACGGTGCTCGGTCGATAAGGAGAGTTCTAAAGTGTCTCGTGAAGACCGAGGGGAAAGGAAAAAAGTCTACTCCGATATAATATTTCGCGGTAGTGAATTTCGACGGCGAGGCGCGAATATATCCGTCGAAAGTACTCCGAATGTCGGTTAACGAAGAGGAAAAATACGATAGAACGATGCGATTAAGAACGCGTGTTTTGTACGTGAGTGTCGGTGGAGGGAAAGAAACTATTCGCCTTCGTTGATTTTCAACACGAGACCGAGTGATGAATTGTTTCGAACATTCGAATTACTAAGTATTTCAATTCGACGGTGTTTAAAAAAAGAAAAAAAACAAAACGAGAGATTCCAGGGATTTACAAATTTGGAAAGTGCTTGAAAGGTGGTGATAATTTAGTGGTGCATTTGTTGATCATTTGTTCACTGGTGATATTTCGTATTGTTTGGTGGTGCGAAAGTGTGGTGGTGGAAGAGGTTGTTGGTGGTGGTGGTGGTGGTGGTGGTGGTGGTGGTGGTGGAGGAGGAGGAGGTGGTGGTGGTGGTGATACACGTGTAAAAAAGAGAACACTCAACTGTGACTCTTAACTCATTACCACGGATCTCCCTCGGCAGTTTGACCCCACAGCCATCCTCGATGAGAGGGGGCACATGTCCATTGCTGTCGCTGAAAATGCAGGGTGAGTTTGCATCATTCTTTCTTTTGTTCTTTCTTTTCTAATCTTGAAGATTGTTACCTTTTGTACGAGGGACAGATTTCTACATAGAAAATATTTTTAATAATTATGAAAATTTTGAACACTCGCGATCAAATCAGGATTCCATAGGGGAAATGGATACTTCACGATATTGATATTAAAAGTAATTTAGAAAGAAAATAACATAACTTTTAATTGTTAAATATTATAAAATGTAGTATTGTATAACTAAAAAGTAGGAATACCAAAGTAAACATTTATTCAAATTTTCCCGCGTGAACGTTTATACGCAAGTGGCGGTCCAGGCTGAACTGAACCCCAAGGACGTAAAATGATTACATTCTTTATTTATAAGTTAATAGTTTTCGATCCGTAGAATCCAAAAATATAGGTCGTAGCTTTAGAAAATTAGCGGTTCAAAAGTTATGGGTATGTAAAGTTTCGCGTTTTTAGGGTATTTTATACGTTACTTTGACGCCATGTTGCTTCCATCTATCATTTGATTGGTCCGCATAGATGAGCATTCAGCGGCCATTTTGGCGGGATAAATCTAATGTTTCATTTGAATTTGTTTCACACATATTAGGTTAGGTGAGGCAATATATTTAAATCGTTTTCGTGAAATCATAATATTGTTGAAATAAATTCTTTCAAAGGGCCCTCTTCCAATCAAATGATAGATGGAAGCAACATGGCGTCAAAGTAACGTGTAAAATACCGTAAAAACGCGAAACTTTACATAGCCATAACTTTTGAACCGCTAATTTCCTAAAGCTACGACCTATATTTTTGGATTTTACGTGTCAACAACTATTAAAGGGCAATAATTTTACGTCCTTAGGATCCAAGTTTAACCGGTGGTCCGTCACAAACCTATAAACATATGTATGTAGGGGGCCCCTTTCGCTAAATTGTCATTTTCCTTACGGATGGCTACGGGGAAAGGCGGGAAACCAGGACTTCACTATTTTTCCTGAGTAAGCCTGATTTGTTCGCGAATGTACAGGGTATTCTATCAAATTTATTACAAGCTATCCTTAGTAAAAGAAATTAAATATTTATACAACTTTGGCCCGAAATGCTTTTTAAACTTTTGTATATCTCAAAATTTGTAACGATTAGTATTGTTTATATGAGAACTCCAATGTTGAGAAGTAGATTTTGGTAATTTAAAAAGAAAAATTTTCTTTACTATTACATTTATTTTTTATTTTATTTTATCCTAAAATAATTTAATACAGTTTAATAAGCAAAATTTCAAAAACTGTACGGAGGGTTCCAATCTTCCCCTTCCTACCATTCATTATATCACAGAACGAACAGATTTGCATACGGTGAATGTATGCAGTTTGCATTCTTTGTTTATGTAGGCGATTCGACATCACGGTTTTATTATCCTTTATAGCGGCACAAGTCCGTATGTAGGGTTTGCACATGTTGCACACGCTGGCCAGAGTTAAGATGTAAAGTAAATGGAACTGTTACTGTAGTTGCTTAGCACAATTAACCTCTTAAGTGAAGAAATTACACGAACGAAAGTTTTATGCATGTTTCCCTTTAACACTTTCGCTCTGAATGAAATTTCATTTTCTCCCCCTGGAAGCGTTATACCTACATGTTTTTTATTTTATTAGAAATGTCTTTTGTGTCTATTTTATATTATTGGTAATTGTTAATTTTGTGTACATTTTTTTATATGGTATATCAAAAGCATTGTTGAATATTTTTTATGCCGACACACCAGGTGTGTCTAGAAGAAATGTGTATTTATTTCGTAATGAAGCTCTCATTTAGCTGAAACTTATTGCAAGATATTAATTATTTTTCAATTTTTCGTCCACTAAGGGTTCTTTAAATGGATTTGATACATTTTTGTGCTCTTTGTTATCAATCATTTTTGGGCGAACTGGTTATCAGAAATAAATATTCCCATTTAAAAATTAATAAAAATCGTTCCTTAATTAAAAATTTCTCTCAAGTTTCTATTTGGTAAATTTTCTGAGGTGTAGATCAATGCGAATGCTCTACCGTGCGGTGAATTCAATTTTAGATTACTATATTAGGCGTTTGGTAGTCGGCACCAATTGTGGGTCATTTACACACGAGTATGTATATTCCTAATGTTTCACTCGCGACACAATGATAGCTGGTTCGATTGGGTTAGCAGAAAAGAGGGCAAGGAAGATTTCTGAGGTCATAGAGAAAAGGGTTCGCGCAAAAATCCGATCGCAGAACAAAAATGTTGCTGCGTATTTCTTACATTAAATTAATGGACGGCCTCGAAGGATTCAATGTGCCAGATGATCCCCGGGTCTGTGTACATATCTTGATTCGTTCTTGGACATCTGCTGCATCGAGAAATAATTTAAAACAATATTTTCGTTGCGTCACTGATATCTGGTATAATATATGACAGTCGTAATTATTGGGAATTTTGTTATTCGTACACTATTTATGTTAATCTTTTGAGTGTTCGTTGCAATAAGAGTGGTAACATTTATTTATGACTTACATTCCTAGTATTTATTATAAATAATATGGTAACTTTTATGGTAAATAAGTGAAAATTAATTTAAAAGGATTGAAAAGAATATTCTCTAAGCATAATTCAGTAGTGACGAGTAAAAGTGATAGAAGAAATTTTTTGTTTGTTTTTCAGATGTTTAGATAAATTTTAGTTCGAAATTATACGACAATTGCAAAATGTAATAAATGAATTTTTTTTAATTGTATTTGAAAATAATTTTCAAGATTTAGCAGGAATAAATCGAAATTCCATTATTTTCAATTAATTATTGAAATTATCCTCGTCAAAAGCAACATGAGATTTGTATAACATATTAAACCTTTGTTTTATAATTTACAGATTATCTATATTTCCGATATTTCTGTAACAATATTGCTTCTGATATTTCATATTTTACTAGACTTTTCATATTTTATATATTATGGGAAATAATAAGTTCCTATTAAATTTTAGTTTTAAAAATCGCTCTAAAAATAATTCCTCCAAATGAAAATATTTCTTCAAATGGAACTGTATGTTTGATATTTTATATTTTATTGTGGTAAAATATGTTAAATAATATTTTTTTGAAATGATTAAAAGTGTGTGATAAGTCGAAAATATCGGATAAGATCGGGTTGGGTTTTCGCACGTTTCTAGAAATTATGAATATTTTTAATATTCAACCAGAGAAATATGTACAGTGGGTCACAAAAGTGGCTCACCGTTTAAAACAAAATATCTCGTTTAAAATTGGACCAAATAACTTGAGGTTTCTCGAGAAGCTATACAAATTAATTTACTAAGATATGTGCTTTTGTTGTTTTAAAAAATTACAATTTGTTGAAATCGTTAAAAAAAATAGTGAAGGGTAATTTTTCAACCTTTTTGTGTGTCTATAATGAAAATTTAAAATATGTCTTTCGCCAAATTTTAATTTTTTAAAATGACAAATGCACATATCTTAGTAAATTAATTTATATAGCTTCTCCAGAAACCTCATTTGGTTCAATTTTAAATGAGGTATTTTGATTTAAACGGTGAGCGAATAATTTTGTGACCCACTGTATGTAGTGTCTGATATTTTGTCTGAGTCCTCTATAGAAAGAGTTAATCCATTGCCAGAAAACGGAGACTATTAACGTAAATTCCCAGAAGAAAAAGAAATTACAAATGAAATGTTACAACGTTGCAACACTGTCGTGAAATTGGGTCCATTTTCAAGTATAAATAGTATAATAGCTTCATTAGAATTTTCAAAGGTATTCTTTTGCACGAGCTGCGGTTCCCGCCAATATATATTAGTCTTTTAATATTCAGCATAAGCATATTCGCGTGTAATCCTTCAAATAGCTTCTCCATGTCCCCGTTCGCGTGCACAGAAATACACAAAATCTTCTCACGAAGAAGCAGGGAAGAAGAATAAAGGAACGGTGTATCATCGTTCGTTGTATTTGAGTTAAAAAATTTAAGAGCTCTCTTTCTCTTTGAAAGGTTGAATTGTGCCGACACCTGCTACTCTCCTTTTCCCCCCTTCTTTCTTTCTTTGTTTTCCCTTTTTTTCCCTGTTTTTTTCTCGAATGAAACCTTTTGCATCCACGTTCTTCCAGTTTATACCGAACCTATCTCGAGGCTCACCTACCTGAGATACATACCTTTCTTCGTATCTCGAAAGGTCCCGCTGCTATATTGGATGCCTAAAACTATCTCATCGCTTGTCTGTTGTTCCTCGTGCTTCTATCAATATTAACACTTTCGCTAACGAAACGGGTTATCAGGCGTTTCTCTGCTCCATAGTTTTACATCAAACGACCATATTTCTGACATTTCTAGCCGTTTCTTCACTATCAATTATAAGTTTGTCAGCGGAAGCTGTTAAAAATCTCATTAGTATTTTCATTTTGAACAAATCTTATCTATTATTTTCACAATGTTTCGCTGTTTCTATTATCCATCGTTTTTAGTATCTAATATAAATGATTCTAATTAGATAAGCCAAGAATTCCGAATAACATGGGCGATGAATTTCTATACAAATGCTAGCTAGATTTCCACTTGGAGTGCAAACGGTTAATCATTTACAGTTCATTTATTCTAACGTTAAACCGTATTTATTTCGAACTAACATTGTAAATATAGTAACATAAAATGAATGATAAGAACTGTAGTCTAGAATTCTTGTTCCATTCAAAGTATTTAAGATAACAACATCGTAGTGAACTGGTATCTCGAAGGTATACTTGGATTCGTAAAGGGGTTAATACCCATTCATCGATTTGAAATTCCAAACAGTTTAAACGAATTGTATAATTGCTCTATTTTAATGCGCGATTTCCAAGTATCGTTGAATAAATAAACTAGCACGTCTAATATTACCAGTTTTCCACCGTATGCAAACATTTATCCTTGTTTTTTACGATAAAAATAACGCGAAAGTGAATAATCGCGCAGTGCAGGCGGTTTTCTCTGTTGGTGA